TAATATTATTAATAATAATAATATTATTAATAATAATAATAGTAATAGTTAATAATAAATAATAAGTAATAAATAATACGAAATCGTTGAGCGCAGTGACTCTTCAGATAATTAATAACTCTCCAGAATGATAGGAGAAATATGGTGTGGGAAAGCGGAAAGCCCACATAAGTTTCATGAACAATTTTTGCAGGCAAGTTTATTGGACGAAGTTTTGATATGCAAAAACTCGTGACTAAGATAATTCCAGGAACTGTTTTGGTAAGGTGACAAAATTTGAATAAGGACTATTTTCCAGGTAGATGAGATGAAAGTGAGGATTGACGTTATATGGATAAGTTGAGAAACGGTAAGGATTGGAAGCTCTAACTGAAAGCTGAAAATATAAAAAGAATATCTAACTGAAACAATGAATTAACATAGCGTTACACTGTACCCAATCTTTTTCTCAATTTGTTAATTAGAACTGAACAAGTCCAAGAACACATCGCTTTTTTCCGAAACAGTTATTCATCGTGCAATAAATGTCCCTAAGATATTTAAACTCAATTGTTTTGTGGTCCACTGCATTGTAAGAGGGAATGTTAAAGGATCAGAAATGTTAAATAATATTGTCGCTCAATGCAACACCAAAGTGAGATGAAATCTCCAACAATGACTTTTTGCTTTAAATTTTAGTTAGGAGCTCCTCATCTCTAAACAAGCACCGATTTTTTTAGTTCAGAAAAACATTCCATTTCATTCAATTTGAAAAATACCAGGATTAAAGAATCAAGAGTGGGTTTCCAGTGATTCTGTTCGTGGCGATATTTGAAATAAATGATTTACATTGGTTTTTGGATTTCCTTTGCCTCATTTTATAGGAGATTGGGAATCTGATTAAAAGAATTGAGATTCTTGTGAAGAACAAAAAAGAGGAACGCGTGAAAACAACGAAACAAATATCAAATAACGATATGTTGTTCGTCATTCACGTGCACAATTTCTGGTAATAAGCTTATTTCAGAGTGATCCAATTCATCCACGGTATTCTCTGTAGAGGTATTTAAAGTCACACCTGCACCAGAATTTCGGTACAGATAATAATGTTGCACCATAAAGATTATATCGAATTGCATTGATACCGCTCCAAGACCAAGTTTCACTGGATTTCCGTAAAATATTGACCAGTCGTCTAAAAAAGAAAAATTTTTTTTATGGGCTACATTAGCTTTATAAAGCATTATTTTCATGAGGTAGTTACTCGTAAATTAATAAACAGGTCAATTACTAATAGTTTTCTTTTCTTCCGTTTTTACATCACGATGATAGTTTCACCTATTATTCCCAACATTATATTCCATTATATTAATGTATGACAAGTAGGCACAACAAGTTTAACCATTCCTCGCTTTAGTTAAGTTTTCTTCATGATCTCAAGATTACGAATTATCACTCTAATTACTTTAAATTTATAAAAATACATCCATATCAATCAATATGACCAGATACAGTTGTATAAAAAACATTTAAATTTTGGAAGTATACAAAAACTTCGCTGGAATATGAAAAGAACTCCATAAAGAACCGAACCTTGTCGAAAATGTAAAGGTAATAAATTGTTCCATTCAATTATTTCATTTCTTTTTTATATTATTTTATCAGTATTTATTTTTATGAATTTTATATTTCTAAACTTATTTCAGATCTTGCTTAGTAATACACAAAATATTCCTTCATTTCCTTCCTTTCTGAGTAGTCAAATTACAATGAAATTGGATATCTCAACACCACTACGTGGATACATCTCCTTCCGGATTTTTTAATATTTCTTTGATTCAATTTGTTTATAACCTGTATTTGCTCCTTGTAAAATCATTTGTGTGATATCCATCAGCCCACCCAAAAAATCCAACAAAACATTTCCTATCGACCATCCAGTCGTACTTTTCCGTCGGAAATTCATAAACGCCTCAAAGAAACAAAAAACGCTCTTTCGGAATTTTTCAGTATTATCTGTCCTTTTCGGGATTTCAAATTTTCTATAAAAAACAATATTAACTGGAACTAATACATAATGACTAGTATGCGTTCTTTTTCAGCCAATCCAGTGCTAAGAAAACCCCTAACTACATTAGAAAAGTTATCAATAATAATTGCATTTGACGAAAGATGTTACAACTTCAAAATTTTATAGTTTGCTGTTTTACTAAATATAATTAAAATTGAATTACTGGTATTAAAAAGCTTTAGTTCTGGATTACTGTATATATTACAAATTATATATTACTGTCTATATTACATCAAAGGTGTTTTTTTATTCATTTCATCTATCCAAAGGTGTCTTTTTTATGCCGCATATGCTGGCATTGGTGGATTTCTCTGGTATAGATTAAATTATTTCCAATTTTTTCTTATTCTCAAGAAATTACTCCATCTTAAATTTTAATTTTATTTTTCTCAAACATTTATATATCATAATAATCATTTTAATACAGGATAGGTTTTACCTGTGGGAAGTATTTACATATCGTTATAGCCATTTTAATATAAGATAAACCCATAATGTACTGCAATGGGTTCATTGTCCCGACTACGGTTAATATCAGCGTTATTCCAGCAATTAGTCCATATAAAGTTGCAAGACCCCAACAAGTATGTGAAATACGCTGATTACCACGCTAGAAACACAAATTAATCTTATTGGATTTAAATTTAAATCCCGATAAATCTGAAATTTCCATCTTTTGTAATTTAAACTATGCATCATATTCTTACGCTGAAAACCATAAATATTATTAGAATGTCAAATAACTGGAAACAGTTACTATCCAACATTTTTGCATCATTGGATATTTTTTCATATTAGCATTGCATGAAAGTAATAAAAATGGACATGAATGTAAGCTAACTTCGTAGAGAAAGCACTGGAAGGCAGTGATAAGGCATGCCAATAGTGCATGTGTAGCAAATACGACATCATTGAATAAAACGGGTATTAAACTATGAGGATAGTTATGATGGTATAGTTTCTAAAAAAAAAGTTGTGCTTATAGAATTTGCTTATTTGCTCTTTTATGTCGTTAGTTTATAGCTAATAATAATGTAATAATTGTTCTGAATAATTTAATTTATTACTTATTCGAAGCAGTAAGTAACAGAAAATTTTAAATTATATCAATGATTACTTTCGCTACCAATTATGATATAAATCTAAAATAAAAACTGAGAAAGATAAATTTTGTCAGTCTTTAGTTTTAACATTGGCATAAATCATTGCTCGAAGTTTTTCCCGTTTAATATGCTTCCTGTAATTCAAGAAAAAATTTGAAAAGTGAAAAATACTATTTTTCCAGGATGGGAATGAATTTAAAAAAATCTGGCAAACTTACGAAATATTTTTCATACCTGAATATATGTGTTAAAATACATTAAAACATTGTATAATGTATAACATGTGAAGCCAATAATATTCAGTAATAAAAAATCAAAATTCAACCCAACAACGCTAAATATAATATGATATAATGAAAAATTGTATTAAATGATTTAGAAAAAATTTAAATCAGACATCAAAATTTACGACTTTATTTGATAAAGCTTTTGATAAAATGACTAATAAAAGCCCCACTGTAATAATTTTAATCACCTTTTCCTAGTAAAATTAAGAATTATTTGCGGATAAAACGATGCGCTCCAAGCAACGAAATATATCCAACCAGTAATAAAAACACCGACTGACAACAACTTACTGTGCACCACTTTCACTGTCACAAAAGCAGACTCCAAATTACTGAAATCAAGGATAAATTTTTAAAAAATTCAAATTATTTTTGCTTGTGATTTGATTTATACATTCTACACGGCTATTAATTTTTTTGTTTAAACTCTATATTTGTTTTTTCAGAAATTGCACACTTTTCCAGAAAGAATTGCATACTCTTAATATATGCTGCACGAAAACTTCAAAATTTTGGTTTAATTTTTTTTCAAAAAAATTTTGCGAACCAAAATCGATTCGTACCCTAATGCATTCAAAGCACAATTTTTCACATTTTAAAAGATATATCCGTCTGAAAGAGAAATTTTTTCTTGTATGAAAACCTGCAGTATAATAAAAATTTAAAATTTCTAATTAAAATCGGAAAATTAAAGGATTAATACACTTAGTCTATTACTTATCAACTTACCTCCTTTCTTACTTGTTCATTTATTAATGTAGAATTGCTTTCTTGCCCAAGTATCTTTTTTTCTTTTGGAGCTATAGCTGCTAGATGATTTGCTAGATGATAATAGTCAAGTTATGACTTTGCTACTTAAACGGTTTTAATCGTTGCTGTAGGCATTCAAAATAATGTATTCCAATCTTTCGGTGAAGTTTACTATTCAAAAATTTTTTACTAAATCGACGAATACCCGATCTCGCTAATAGAAAACCATACTTCCTTATATGCATTCTTTACAAAATGCGAAATTTCAAATTTCAAATTTTGACAAAAAATTAAAATGCACACTCGAAGGGACATTTGCCACCTGGATTTGTAGAATTGCAATCTTCGATTTCCAATATGGAATGACTTGCAATCCGTAAACCCGTTACCACAATGTCTGCTGATCGTGTTTGATTATCGAGTTGGAAAATATTTGGGGTGCTGTCGAATAAATCCGATCGTACCAATTTGATATTAACAGGTGATGGCAAGTTACTGCTAAAATCCAGTGTAATAAAACGAATCAGAACAAGTAGCAATAAAGAACAAGTGCAATGGTAAGAACATCGTAAACTCAAAAACTAGCTACAATGCCAAATTAGGAGTGAATTTTAAACCAAATAATTTTGTAGGAGATGAAATTAAACTTAAGCAAAACTTAACTTACCAGACTAATGTTATTGAAATACATTAGATGTAGAACACTATACTTCTTAACTTCTCAATAAATGACATGTATCCGGATCTTCTCCAACAACAACAGTAACTACGGTAACCAATTCCATCTACCTAAAATGCCCATAGAAGTGGTACGATAATGAAGAACTTACGTAGTACTTATATGGACAGTTTTATCTTCTCCAACAGTAAGTTCAATTTCCTGGGGCTGAATATGGATCGAAATACCCGTTGCCATCCTGGCCATTGTTTGAAGGACAGAAAAAAGTAAGCAGTAGTTGCAGAAATCCATGGCAAATTAATCTCCTTCTTGCACTGAAGTAGTTATTCACATTTACTGATAAAATAGATTAATTTTGGAATGAATGTAATGCTGATACTATAAGAGAGAGATTTTCAACTTCAACTGATAAAAAAAAGCCTAGGAAGGAAAATTATTAGATATTAATACTCAAAGGGTAAAAAGAGATTTAATTGAAAAAAAATTTTTGACAATGAAATGAACCAATATAAATATAATAGATTCATTATCATTGTTATGTTCCTTTATCAGTCCTCCTTTCCTTTTCCTTCTTACGAGCCCCTCCTTCTCCTATGTTATGTTATCTAACATCCGCACTTTTTTCAAATTCTTTTCGGAAAATCCCCGCATAATAATTCTTTGACCATACATCGTTCTGCCTACGAATATTTTCGACAAGAAATTAAAGTTTGAAATGAATGACATATAATTGATGAAGGTAGCGAAAAGACTTCATTAATCAAATTATGCTAATTTTAATAATTGAATTAATATCGTGATCAGAATTTATCCTCACTTTTAAGCAAACGAAGTTCATGAATCAATATCAAGGCCCTACAGTTCGATATATATGTTTTACCAGTTTTACCGAAATCTCCAACAATTTAAATTCCACCTAAGGTACCAAATGCGAAATGTCACCTTCATGTTAATGTATTACTGAAAATTCATTCTGTTCCATTTATAGAAAAAATTCCCTAAAAATCGGTCCATCTGCTTTTAGTTGGTTTTAGTTTTCCAGTCTTGTCTATCTGCAATGATAAACAAAATGTTCAGGAAGTGGGCAGCTATCGTTATAAAAAGTGGAATGTGTATGAATTACGATATGTAAGTAATAAATGAATCCTCAACTGTTTCATTGCAAAATGCTTTCAATTCATTCGTTATTGATTATTTCACTTTTTATGAAATATCCAGTCATGTAATTTGCATTGTTGTCTTTCAAAAATATTTATTATTCTTTAAATTATAAAGAATGAAAAACTACGGTCATCATCACAGCATTAACTTGGAGTAATAGAATGATCGCTTACTTCAAAAAGGAGAAGCGGTAATGCAAAGTGACATTACTAACAAGTAATCATATCATTATTTTGCTGAATAATAATAATTTACAGTTTCAGAAAGAGAAGTTTGATATATTATTTAAATGATTTTATTGAATTATTCGTAATGAGAGGTAGAATTTTTAAAAGGTATCTTGATCTCTCATTGTTGTCAACAATAAGGGCAAAAAAAAAGCGCACTAAAACAGTAAGCCAAAGTGTATGCAATTATGCTATTATCAATTGACATTTCTACCATCCTTTTAAATTACCGAAAATGATTTATCTATTAAGAAAACGCTCGAACAAATCTGTCTGTTCCACCAAAATAAATCTGTCTGATTTACAAAAAAAAGGAAAAAAATTTAGAAACCAGTTCTTAATAAAAAAAGTACCCCCAATCACCCTTAATCATTTTCCGTTTCGTTCAAAAAACATTAATTAGCACTTTAATGCTATCTTATAAAACTACTTAAATATTATGAAATTATAACGAAAAATAATAAAAACTGCTTATAACAATCAAAACAAAACTCACTCTATTCTTAAATTAATAACTTATTGCATTTGCTATAAATATGATAAAAAAGAATTTCAGATTTTCACAAAATTATTTAGTTCTCTTATTCGTTAATCGTACGGGAAAAGTACAAAATGTAATTAGTAAATGGTTCGACAAAAATGTCATATTACAATTTTTGTCTTTATTTGACGCCATCTATTTGGTATCATTCATAACATCAATTATATCCAAACGACCATCCTAACTAAATCATTATGCACTAAACTATGTAACATTCCACTGAACTGTTAAAACGAATAATAATCATATGTGAAATTTCAAGGAAAATTTAAAACTAATTTTCATCTTAGAATGGAATAATGAAGCGCCAAATGAAACATTTCGTACAGTTTAACAGTGGAAAAACAAAAATGATGAAAATTGACATCCGTTACAAGTCATTCATGGAAAGATGAGCAAAAATTTCGACTGGATCTGACCTCAATTAATTTTTATTTTATTTTCATTTTTCGTCCTATTGTAGATATTTCTACCACTAAAAAAATTAAAATTTTTGATTAATAGAATAATTTTACTACTTAGGATAGGAATTAAAGAATCATTCAAGGCCAAAATCATCTTAATGGCTTCTCATTATTTAAAAGCAGAATTTATATATCGACCGGTTCAATTCCAATCTGTTAAAATTTGGAACATCTATTCTTTACAATGATTAATTTCTCTTATCTTTTCTATCAGCACACAACTTCTAGAGAACTTCTAGAAAATGCCCTTTGATAGCTGACATATGACTAAGGCAATAGTAATCTGCATAAATATCGACCGCAATATTTATGCGGATCAATGTTGCTTTTAAGATAATGCTTTTAAGATAATTGACCAATTACTCAATCGCCGCAAATATTAAATGAAATGTAAATATATGGAAATGTCAATGTATTTTAGGAAACGGGAACTTTTGATCAGTTTCAAGTCAAAAGTCTTAAAATGAAAATTAACCCATCATTAGAGTATGGTAATATTACAACACATTACAACACATTTTCTCCTTCTGTCCTACCCATTCCCATTCTCAGTTTTTTTCCTTCTTGAAAATTTCCGGCAAACTGCGCGAGCAATAAAAAAAGAAACTGATATTTTATGTGAAAAGTTAAGGGAAAATGAATTTAAAGTAAAAATTAAAGCAGAAGGAGAGGAAAAAGAATATAGGATTTCTTGCATAAAAAGATTAACTTGGAAATTAAGAAATGCTCAATTAACACAAATGTAATTGCGCTTTCAGATAGCGGATTTCAACCTAATACAACTAAATAAATACAAACCTATTTCCATCAATTAAAACAAAAATCAAAACAATTTTGGCATCACTGTTCGCTTATCTATGAATGACGACTGAACTGAGTTTTGCAGTTCCTTCATCCTTCTGCTTGAGAAGGACAACGCAACTCATCCAATTCTTGAACATATCTTACTAGCAGTGATTAGTTCAGTTTTAAGTCTTAGAGTACTTCTCCGTCTAACCACTGAGCGACATTCATGCCGATTGTAAACGGTCCATTTTTCATCGCATGCCAATATTCGATGGATTAATGTTTCACTGTTGCTGCTAGGAAGAGAAGATGATACATTGCATAACGACTTTTTATTATCTGATCTAGTAAAGTTTCAGGTGGATCAGCTTCGATGAGCAAATGACTGCTCACTAAGTCCTCAGTGGAATATTTTTAAAATCATCATCCTAACATATACTACTGACATGTGAGTTTCCTCAGATTTTTTACGCGTTTCTTAAACTTAAAAAAAATCACTAATTTTGGTTATTGTCATAAAATAAAGAATTAGTTTATTCCTTATAAAAAAGCAAAGCATAATAAAGCAGGAAATGAAATCATTTTTTGACCGATCTATTAACGATGGATTTAAATATTAGCACTAAATTCAAATAAAGAATTAAAAATGAAAAGGATGAAAAAGATTTTCTTTAGCAGAGGAGAACTAGCAGAAATTGGCTGATAGCTTACAGATAATGTTATTAGTGCTAGCGGATTATTCTAGTAAACATTTATTTAAATTCTTAGAGTTTGCCAATCCTAACTTAGTATGGATTAAAATGATAATTGAAGACGTAAAGTACGATGCGGTGAAATGTAAAACAGTGCAGACTACTTTCAAATTTTTTCTCTTCAACACTCGTCAAGGTAGTAATTAAAATGATTGATAACAGATGAGAATAATTTTGGCAATCACAACGAACTTTCATTGAATTTTCAACTTTCAACAACGAACTTTCACTGGTCAAGAAATAGAAAATGATATGCTATTTCAAAAAAATATTGAAATCGAAGAATTTCTAGAAAGGAAATGAAACAATTGCTTTGAATTCTTTGAAAGACGGCAGAAAAAACTGAAATTCCGATTGGAATCTAAAAATAGATAAGGGGAAGAGACTATTCAGTGAGTACAAATTTCATTGCTACATAAATTAAATGAAATTTAAAGACCAAAATTTCTAAAAATTGTTTCACAAATTGTTTGCATTTGTTGTTTCAACATTAAGTTCTTTTGATTTGGATTTTAAAAATTTTTAAAATTTCAGATCGTTCTGGAAATAACAAAGAAAATCTTTTCTTTTAAAAATAACATTTGGCGGGTAAAATCAAATGATGCGAATAAAAATGAATGAACAACTACCGATTTGCTTATTTAGAATGCTAACTTGCTCTTCCAGAATAATATTTTTAATGCTTTCATATGTCTTCTGAATTAATACTGTATATCGTCCCACTATATAAACTAAAGATTTTTTACAGTTAATGTATCGTCAAGACTGTTTGACCTTTCGATGGAATCCACCGTACTTGACCTTGAATGAACTTCCTGAAATGATCCTGATAATTTATAGAATGGGAAGTAATTTCTTAATGTATTGAATATCAAAGGGATTAACCATCACTCTATCTGGAAAAGTAAGAGATTAACTCTTACTTTTTCTCGGAGTAAAACGTTGAGAACTACTTATGTAATTAAAGATCTATTATATATTGACATTTATTCCCTACGAATACTGCGGAACTAAGAACGAATGCAAAGATAAACACAGAAATTATTATATATTTGGCAAATGTCTATCGATGACCAATCCATTTAACCAGTTCTTTACAAAATTGAATGAATAACAAGATGAATGATCGATCATAAGCAAAAATAAATTTATCTGAGAAGAAAGAATCAAAAATAGAGTAATCAAAATGGATAGTAAAAACTGCTTTTTGAAATACTGTTCACGTTTCGTCGAATTTTTGAAATTACTCAATTATGCATATATAATCCTTCTTCAACACTACTTTTGCCAAAAACGATTATGTAAAGTACAAAACCGTATTACTTAACTGTAGAACTTAATAATTCAAAAAATTGGGAATCAACATTACTGGAGAAATTTAAATTATCCAGAAATTCTCTGAATTAAAAAGATTTGCCATATTATTACTTTCGAATCAAATAAGTATTTCTTTTTCTCTATAACCGTTAACTGATTTAAAAAACATTGTATTCATAGGTAAGGAAAAAAGATAAATTATAAGACAACTTGAAATGAGCAGTGGAAAAAGATAATTGATATATGGTGCGTGAGAAGGTGACAATTTTGCGTCTATGTCAACTTTCAACTGGAACGTTATTAAATACGCTGGCAAAAAGTCAATTTAATGCATAAAGTGAAATAAATTTTTACTTTTCTATAAAAATCTTTGGGAGAATATTTTTTTTATTTCTCCCCAGTTCCTCCCACCTTTTTTCAAAACAGGGATGAATATTTGAAGAAAAAGATCAATGATATGAAAATAAGCTATCTGAAGTCACTGATTTCATTAATTAATTAATTATTGGAAAATACTCTTCGCAAGAAACTTACATTTTATGGCTTCATTTATCACCAGGTAACAAAATTATTTCAGTAATTTAGTAGAGTTCAATCACTGAGGTAAGAGAACGACGCGGATGTTAAGCTGCGAGTTCCGTTTTAACAATAACAAACACATGAACTTCGGTGCGCCGTTCTTTGAACAACGATCATTAGATTGTTATGCTGTAAGCGCGTTCTGTGAATAATGATTACGCAGTATGCATTGCTAATAGCGCCGTCCTACATTTCGCAAACACGAAATATCACAAAGAAATGCTCAGAATATTCGGTACGGTGGAAAGTAAAATATAAATAAGCAAAAGAGATCATGGACGTGTAGGTAGGTATGGATGTGATCGTATGTGTATGTGAGCTGATGTGTATATGTTATTATAAGAATTCATTAATGAAATGAAATTGATAACAAAGAAAAAGCAACAGAACACTAATTGGCATTAAAAGCAAATCATACACCCTCCATTCTCTCAACGTGCTTACCTACTGTTGTCGCTATATAAAATCCCCAACGTCAACTATTAGAAGGCAGTGTAAGAAATTTTAGAATTACGTCTTCAGGAAAAACAAAAATAGAAATATTTCCTAATCAAATAAATTGATCAGTTAATATTTGAAATCATTACAAGCCAAAAATTGCAAAGAATTATTACGACAATAAAATTAGGAGAACGCAAACAATAAAGGAATGGAACAAATAAAACAATCAGACCTACCATACATTTTGATAGCTCAACAGAAACGAATCACAGAAATTTGCCACACAAAGTCCCTTTTTAAAGCCATTTATAATTTCATTCAAACCTGTGAAAGTGGCTGTAATAAGAAGATCTCGCTATATCAAAACATTTCTCTCTCTCTTCCACAAAAACACTTCATATCTCAATACTACACTTTTATTCCTCGAATTCCCGGAAAATACCCCAGAACTATGGTAGAGGCGCCATTTCCTTCAATCACTAATTATTTCTAATTAGCCTACAACATATCATTACCTATCTTCTCCATATTGTCGGCAATTTACCAATTCATTCACCTATACCATTTCTTGCCTTCACAAATAACCATTCCCTACGCATATATTCTCTTATTTCAATTTTTGTTTCTCCACTAAATCATCACATTTTTCTTTTCTCTCAACTTCCTTTCCACAGTATTTCTGTATCATGCAATCTTTAATGTCTTCCCAAAACCACACTATTTCTCAATACAATTTAAAACATTCCAGCGATTAGCAAAAAGGATTTTAAACGTGATTTATGCGGTCCGTTGATAGACTTAGACGTTTTGATTGTGGATTTCGAGTTTTCCCTTAGTAGCACCGAAAGTACAGATTTATATGTTGAGATTGGAGTGATGTATGGTACCGGTATGATCAATTCGGTTTATTTGACCGACGAATATGCTACCGAATTCCAAAAGACTTTGTCCGGTTTGTTTCTTCTTTAGCTAAATGCTTTAACTGTTGTCCGGTTTTTTTTCAGACTCTAGAATTCAGAAGATATTCTCGGAAATCGGAACTGATTTTTCAATTTTACTGATATCGTATTGTGCTACAATAGGAAAGGTTATATGAGTGATGATCTTTTTTGTCATACAGTATCTGAACTTATGAAGATGCTTCGTTCCTGTCACTGTTCTGCAGCTTTTGAAAACCTGAATGTTCAGAAACTTCTGGAGATCTTAATACTTCTTTAGAAGAGTGTTTTAAAAGTTAATCATACTTACCTTATTTCCAAAGAGACCATTTCAGGTGGAAGTCCATAATCTCTTTGACGGAAGCCTGCAAGATTTTTAGATCTAAGTTTCGGATTTTTCTAATGGGTGCCTACAAGATTCTTGGGAATTTCTAATTATTTTTCAAATGGCTTACGAGATTTTTAGATTTGTAATAGGAATTGTCATTTTTATAGAATATAATATTAGAAGTTGATACAAGCTTGTTCATGTTGAGATGTTATTTCATTTTCAACTGTACTTCTATCGCAGGCTGCGCCTAAAGCTTCATTTAAAAAAACATTAAAATAATGACTGTCCGGGAAAAATCTCTGGGATCATTTCTTAAAAACGAAAGTAAATTCCGAAAACATTTGTACTTTTCGATAATTAAAATGTCTTTTTCACAACATAATTATTAATTCTTTATTTTACTTGCCCAAAATAAATTTCCTTTTTTTGCAGGTAGGAGTCAATTTTCGAAACCTTTTCCGCATTTTTGTCTCCCTAACTTTTTTGCTAGCAAAGAGTTTGTGGACGATCTACGATCAGAGTTGAAGAGTGTACGGTATGATCGTAAAGATAATGACCTTTATTCACTGAGTCAAACAGCTGATTTGTCGAACTTTGATGCTAGCAAATTTCCAACGCTGACAAAATTCAGGCAAGAAATTTGTTTACTTTTAATATTAAGCTGAATGCTTGTAGAAATGTTTCATACGAAAAAAAATTATTACCGAATGCGTACGAAAGTCGAAGATTTGCAGTGAAGGAAAGGAATTTCGCAATCTTTTAGGGGTGATCTTAAAATTTTTTGGTAACTTTACAAAATTCCAAGCGGCATCAATAAGGGTGTAATTATATTACGATCTTATGCTGAGTATCGTAAGATCAATTAATATTTTTGAAAGATATGTATGTTAGTTCTTGCCGTTTAATTTATCCACGGATTCAGCAGTTCTGGAAAATTTAGTTTTCCAAAATATTCTGACGTTTTTGATCGTTTATTATTGAATTTCAATTTCAGTGCTATTACTTCTTTAGGGATTTGTTTAAGGACGATATTCTACATTGGCTACGTAGTGTATCTGGTGTCGACTTAAGCGCTGAAGTGGCAATAACTAGTAGTAATTATAATTACACCGATTTACTCCTACCACATGATGATCAATGCGAGGGACGCAAATTTGCTTTCACATTTTATTTGACACCAGATTGGAAGGAGAGTGATGGTGGACAGTTATTACTGTATAATTGCGATGGTAAAATTATGTAATTGAAATCTGTAATCCCGCACCCTCGAATTTTGATTATATTGCCTTGGCGATCCAGAGCTATTTATTTAATCAGTGCCTTATCAGCTTTTAAATTTTGCTCGTCATTCATCATATATTGACACTTTTCAAGAATACATGCTTTATTATCGTATTCCTGCCATATAGTTAAATTATTCTAAGGTTTTCGCAAAAAAAAACCTGTTACAGTATCCAAGAACAGAAAGATTTGACGGAGTAGCTTAATGTTTAATAATAAATTATTTACATTAAGGTCGAATATTTTGATGCCATTATATGTATTATTATGCTGAATCACATTTAGATGATAATAATCCCATATCGGTTGCCCAAATTATGAACCCAATAGAAAATATGCTAATAATATTCGAAGTATCACAACGATCATGGCATATGGTTACTGAAGTATTCTTTTGACATATTTTTGTTTTTGCTTTGTTTTATTCGTTCTATTTTTTTCGCTTTTTTCATATTTCGATTTTTCTTTATTTCATTTTACTCTGTTGCTTTTTATTTTGCTTTACAAATTTAATTTCATCTTTGTTCTTTTTTTACCTTTATACTTCTCGTTCCACTTATTTTACATCATTTGTTTTTATATTCGTTAATTTTTTAGTCCATAAATTTAGGTACTTTCGCAGAAAGAGCGTCTCTCACTACACGGTTGGTTTTATCATACTGAATGTGAAGTTTCTGATAAACTAAAATTATCATCTCCCGAAGGAAAATTGAAACCACACATGAATATTACTGTAAGTATTAATAAGTTCGTATAGATGAACTTCTTTGCTTTTTCTTCACTTCAAAAAAATGAGTCATTTAGAACGTTTTAATAATTATTCGCGAACAACTTTGACGAACAATGCAATTCAAGGGATTCCCACCTGTTCCAATTCACTTAGAATTACTTTAATGTCTTATTTTAATGTCCTAGATAATTAATTCAAAGCTAGAAAATCTCTTATAGCATAAGCTGCAATGCTCTGGAATGTGAAATGAAGTTTAGTATGAAAGCTCAGCAAAACCAATGCATAAACTTCCATATAACGCATTTTTTAACCAAAATCTTAGATATTTAAATCATTGATAAATATGATTGTAGTATGAAGAAGTGTTGGAGTGGATTAATCCCAAGTATATCGATCCCTTACAGCAGTCGAAAATCCAATCCATTTTCGAAGAGAATTCCGAAATCAGTTTGTTTGATTTTATCCGTGTAAGTGTTTATTGTATTGAACTATATGTATATGACTAAGTACATTTGAAAATGAAATAACTTGGAAAGTTTTCATAATGAGACAGTAAATTATAATTTTTTATTGGTTTCCAGGTATAAATTTCTATAACTATTTTAGATTTCAGTTCATATGATACTTGTGTTTTGTCTGTTTCATAAAGCTAAAAAATCCAGAAAAATCTAAAGAAAAAGTCAGAGAAAAAAGCATAGTTTATAAGGAATGCAAAAATTATCCTCTCCTTAGAGAAAAAAAAGCATTATTTTTAGGAGGATAAAATCATGAGCGTTGTCATGTTTGATGTAGATATATTTACAAGAAAAAAATTAATTTTTATTATTAAAATTGGATTTTCGCAATTTGTTTTGAACGAATATATAAATTATAAACTTTGAACAATTTGTAAGAATTTTCTTTCCTGTCACATAAATAATGTGATAGGATAGAAAATTCTCACAAATTGTTTCAAGTTTTTCTACGGTGATTCCTGATCATAGAGCTGACAGTGTAAAATTTTGGAACAGTTTGGTAGAAAAAGAAAAAACTGGGCGATAGTGAAACCAGGTTTTAAGTTGGATACGCTTTGTGGAACATTTTTCATTTTTTTTAGCTTAATTACTTCTACACCTTATTTAGGTAAATATTTAATTTGGTGAGTTTGAGAGAAACCTAATGTTTGTGAGAATACTTTAAGTTTTTTTATTCTATTCATTTTATTTTGATTTTTATTGATTTTAATAGCTATTCATTTGTTTTTTTACGTTTTACTGGGTCTAGTTCTAGATTGTATTGCCATGGGGATTATGATGAAATTCATTTTTTTTCCTTATTTTTGGTTTAAGAATGGTTTTGATTTTTGAGTTTTTGTTTTAATTTCTATTTTGTTTATATTTTTTTTTTAGTTTTAAGTGATCTATGATTTTTGTAGAATCTGACTCTGTATCGAATCCCACTCATGTTTTTCCAGAATACTATTTTTTTTCTTGTTTGCTTTTACTATTTTTCATTCTATTTCTAAGATATTATTTGGGATTATTTCAATACACAGTTTTGTTTTTGTGTTAATAACTTTTGTATGGTCTGGGAGTTATTATGCTGCTTTGGATAATATTTTATAATTTTTCGTGATATGTTTTATGTGATTTTTTTTTTTTGATTAACTTTGGCTCTTCAATAAATATAATATTTAGGAGAATAAATTTGAGTTAGCTCTACACGAATTATACAGTGCATGTTTCGAAGATATTGGACCGCTTAATAAAAGGTATTTGATCTTTGCAGTAAGCAATAAATCTCTATAATTCAATTTTCTTTAAACTTTAGCTTTTCAGGTTTCTGTAATTTCTGATGTATTTCTTCTTTTTGGGATTTAAAAAAGTCTTTTTCTTATAGAAAATTGGAACGTTTACGAGAATATGCATTACCATTAGATAGCAGTCTGCTCTCACTTTTACGTTTAGTGCGATCCCAGGCGATGACATTACTTCTCTCGCAATGGACTGGTCTATCTGTGCATTCTGTTGATGATTGCAGCAGTGAACCGGGCATGTTAAATTTTCCGTAAAAGATAAATATGGGTTATCGTTTTGAAACGTGGTATTCCGTTTTGATCCAATAACGTTTTTTTCAGATACTAAAAAGAAAAAAGTTGATGAAAATGAATGCGGAAGTGTTACAACCTATGACGGTAGGAGTTTCTGCTGTAGATTTAGTGAAATCTTTTTGGAAGTTTTTACGACTTATATCAGAAAGTTTTCAGATATCGAATGTTGTTCATCAGTATATCGAATTGGAAAAAGTTCTTATACTATGGTCGACGATGAGGTTGTTAGTGAAACGGAACAACTTGGCTGTTGTTTAGATTTTAATGTAACTTTTTCGTTGTCGAAAAGCTTACTATTTTTTCGTTTTAGCTTTTTCTAGTATGATCTAATGTATGAATATCGAGTAAAAAAGTCATTTATCATCGGTTAGAAGTTATTAAGGATCAATGGTTATTACCGTAAAACAAAGTTTGAAAATTTTTAGCTATTTTTATTTGCAAGTGAATGGGATGATGAGCATGGAGGATTCATAAGCTATTTCACAAAAAATGAAGAAGAAGAGGTTTGTTTCTGGAAATATTGCTTGTTTCAGTCATGCTTTTCATTTTATTATCTCTAAATATGGTCTTACATGGATGACTTACACTGTTAGTCGTCAAGCCATTCCGTTTAATCAAATCATGTTAACATAGACCGCTAATATTATATTATTTCAGATTCTAAGGATATCTCCTGTTCGGAATAGTGCTGCTTTGGTATTTCGTGAGCCTGGGGTATATCCATTCGTGAAATATGTGAATTGTAAGGCAGGCGATAAACATTATTATGTAATTAACTGTTCTTTTTACGGTTTTTCAGTAGATGATTGTTCCATTGGGAATAACGATGATGTTGAAAGAGGTGATGGAGCTGGACCCAGTTGTGATAGAATCTGCTAGAAAATTGTGATGTGGATTTCAATTTTAATTTATACAGCTTTGTTATAAATTGATTTTAGCCGCATTCAACATACATATATATCACTAATAAACGATGTGTTAAACCGAAGCTCTAATCGTAATAAATTAAGTTGTTAGGTGACCCTGTCCACTGATTGGAATCCAAACATCAAATGAATTTTGGAATCATTCGTTACCATTTAAATAAACTATGCAAAAAATGTCCCTTGCCTGATTGATATATTTTAAGCATTTTCATGATGTTTGGAATGATTTTTCTTGCTAGATTTGTATTAATAAAACATCTGAATAAATTTATTGATTTAAACTGTGACAACCATAGCAGTCGAAATGAACGAACTCTTTTCCAAAATTTTCAGGTTTCTAGATTCTCACTTTTAGAAACTGTAAGCGGGAATGCATGTTCTTTGTTCAGCTTAAATTCGGTGAATGATCCGGAAGAGAAGGGGAAGGTAAAGAGGATTTTATAGTTGTGGTGGTCCGACGCAAAGGCATGTTTTACGACACCATAAAAATCGCGTGGCATTGTTCGAAAGACAGTATCCTGCAGCTGCCCAATTGCTGCAATTGGTTACATTGAATTCGTCTTTTTCAATATTGCAGTCCATATGGAATGGTTTCCCTGCAATAAAAGTTTTTGAGGTGATCACTTTTTTAAATTTATGAGGTGAAAATCACTACAACTCTCCGTCCGGATGTTAGGTAGACATATTATCGACCAGAAAAAAAGTGATCTCGGGCATAACACTGTTCCGCTCATTAAACTCACTTTACTCTTCCAAATTACTCGATCTCTGTTTTTTGTTTGAAATTGCTTGATCTCTGTGATCTAGTTTACTAAATCTTTATTTTGTGATTCGAATTACTTGATCAGTGTTCTACATCACGGATCATCTCTATTCTGTATTTCAAATTACCTAATGTTATTTGGCACCTGAAACATTCGGATATATTTCGTTGCGCTTTAGTACTACTATCTAACTTAATATAGTTCCGCATGCCGTTTGGAAATATATCGAAGCTGAATTTTTTGCTATGTGCATAATATCAGTAAGTGGTAGAAGAAGTTCCTTTTACTGAATATTTAATTCATCTCCTTTTCAAAATTCTTATTTTTATCACTCCAAATTGTATTACCAAGCATTTTTCTCTACTCTCTAAGTTTATATTTATTTTGTTCTAACAAAAATAAAATTACCTAATAAAATGAAGTAATAAAAAAAGGTTAAAATGATATTGCATTTAATTCACAGCTGCAGCATATCCCAGAATGAAATATCTGTCAAAAATAGTATAACTCACAAAGTGGTTGTTTATTGCGCTTCAATAAGTTGGTTTTATGGTTTGTGGTTACTGCTTTTCCTGCGGAATCTGAAATTTTTTAGATTCAATATAATTCACAATTTAGATTTCCAAAAATTGGGCAAATTCTATTTCAACTTCTTCCGTTTCTACGACAAAGCTGGCTTATTTGGTTTTGTTATTTGAAATGTTTAATCATTTTCATGTCTTTATGATTATTTTTCAATAGTTAAATTTCGATTTCGATTGTTAGCTTGATTCTTCTCTTCATTTTCTCAAAGGGCCCTTTTATTACTTATTTATCTAAAAAGAATATCATCGAATAGATCCTCTTCAGATTTATAAATTTTAACGTTTTTTTGATATTAATAATGACAAGCGCATTATCAGAGGTTATCATACTAAACACTATCCAATGCTACCACAATTATGCAAATGTCAAAATGTCAAAATATTTTGATATTGTATGTCAGTTTCATTTTGAAATCGTTAGTTCAAATTTTTAGTTCTATTGAAGTTAACGTATAGAATAAAGATGTTTTACATAAGAGAAATTAATTGTATAATTTTTATTTGCGGAACAGGAAAAAGAGAATATATCAATTAACTAACCATTGATAGTATGAACTTGAATTTCAACAGTCGTATTGATTTTATTCATGTGGTTCGAATTTGTTATATTTGCTGTTGTACTGTTAAAAATATCATCAAAATTTTGTTTTATTTCTGGTGGATTTGTTAAATTTGATGTAATAGTCAGGGCCGTTTCCGACGTTGTAACATCAACTTCCGATAAATTTTCCGATACAGTTAGATCTGTCTCATAAGTTTGGTCGGACTTTTGCATTATTAGAGAATCCACTGTTCCAAGCTTATTATGGATTTTCCTGAATTCCGCCAAATTTTCTGTCATTTTAGACAGTTCCGGAAACGGTGTTTTTAGAATTTTTTCGTATGTATTTTTAGCTTGTCCATCAGTTTTCAATTTTACAGCACTTCCATATTTGCCTCGTTTTTCCTTTATGCTTTCACTCTTACCATGTTGATTTAATTGAACAGCAGCAACAGGAATGGAATGAATTACTGTTGTACGAGTTAACTGTAACATAAGAATACCGGTAGCACTTTCCGATGCTTCACGTTGATAATCCCAGAAAATGACCGATTCATTTAATGAATCACAGAGTAATTCAGTTATTTCCATAACTTTTTCACCGTCTATGATAAAATGTCTGCAAATGACGGATCTTTGTGCACTAAAAATATCATCCACGCATTCATCCGGATCATCTAGACGACAAAAATTATGGAAATGTTGTTCCGTACAGATAATTTGAACCATTTCTTGATTTGTTGTGCAAATTCGGATCAAATTATTAGAAACATTCTCATCGTACTGTTGATATTCTTTTAATAGTTGCCAGGCTATTTCTTGACCGGTAGTCGTTTCATTCGATTTTGGAAATTCGATCCATTGGCTTAAAAGCACGGTGTTGCTGGTTTGTTCTTCTGAGAATATCGTAGTGCTATTGTAATTGTTCAAAGCGAGTGCGATATCCAAGTTCTGAAGCATTTGTTTAGCCCAAGTTTGAAATTCCGGATTTCTGGCATTTTCATTTTGTCCAACGATTATTGCGCTCGTTTTATTATAAATAATCGTTTGAACCCAGTCTACAAACGTTGAAATTGATGACTTACCACCACTTTCCAGACATGGATATTCCATAGAATTAATGAAGTGTCCGTTTTCCGGATTAATATTAATGCAAAATTCATGACATTTCTTCGATTCCTGCGGTACATTACATACGTTTGTATTTTTATTTGTAAAATCATCTACACTTTTAGTAATTTCTTGGCAACAAAATGCTGATTTCTGATCTGTAGAACATTTTCGATTTATCATCGATATATGCAAAATATGCAAGGAATGTTGGTTTAAATCAATCGGTTCTAAAGAGAAATTCCAAAAACGGAAGTATTCTTTGAAAATAACATGTTTTTGTTTTTTATTATTGGAAATACAGGAAGCTTCCATTGTTTCAGGTTTTTTGAATTTCCAAATTTCATTTTTTGCATCTATCCCGTCATTTATGTTGGACTTTAACTGATTCTCGAGAACATTTGAATGCAACCAATTTGGTTTATTTAACTGCGATCCATTGCTATTATTCGAGTATAATCGAGCTGCATGAGTTTGCTCATCGATCGTACGATCTTTTGACAAATTCTTATTAATCAATTTGATAAACATTGGACTTGACTGCTGTGTATTACCAGCAATTCGTGCAAGTCGATCGTATCTCTGTCTTACTTTTTCAATTTTTTTTAAATTTTCCTGCAAAAGATTTATGTTTATTAGTTGAAAAGATTTCACATTTTATGAATTTCGTAATTATCCTATAAATATGCAAAAAAAGAATCGGAATTTTCAAAAGGAATAAATACCTCTGGCTGAGAGTGATGGAATGAAATAGATGAAAAACTTGATGATGCAGGATCTATAACTTGACCGGTACGTGGTAACACCGGAAACATTTTTGCCAATTCTAAGAATTGCACACATTAGAAGAAGTACTATTTCCGTCTTTCTTTTAAATATTAATTACTATTATCACGAATATTTTTCTAATCGTTCAAAGTAACGCAGAGCTATTGTTCGAATGTTTCGATTTTATCTTGACGTGAAAGGATCTAATGGATATCATTTAGACAGAAACATCAGATTTATTTTCCAATTAGCAATTTGGACTATGCAGGAGATAGTTGAAACTTTTACAAATTATATATTGCTACAATATTTCGATTTCATCAGATATTTACTGATTATGATAGAATTTTCTGATCGAGTTAACATTTCGAAATATAACAAATATCATACCTAATTCTGTGATATTAGTTGTTGAGCATTGGTGCAAAATGATGCACAGAAGAATATTCTGAACCGTCATTACAAAATAAGTCAATGGATACTAATATTAAGAGTAGTAATAGTAGTAGTGGTAGTAATAATAACGCTGGTAGCGATAGTAACTAATCGGTAGGAATAACAACGAGAATTTTTATTCAAAAAAGGGGAATTGATAATTTTTGATGATTTAAACCATCCCTTGAAGAGCAAGTAATTAGAGCAGAAAATAAGACCCAAAAAAAAGCATAAGAAGAAACATTCATAATAATAGGAAGAGTAATACAGAAAAGAAATTACTTTGTTACCTTTAGAAGAGGAGGAAGAGAGGATGAAGAAGAAATAATTTGATAATATATAATTTAAAAATAAAATGAAAAGAGAATATGTTATTGTCGCGCGGAGAAGAATAACATATTTTTCTACAAAAATTCATTCAGTTTATATAAAAATGAAATTGTTTCATTCAATTTTATAGTTTAAATATTGATTCATTTACAAATATTTATCAATTTTAGGATATTAATTGAAAGGAAATAAAAGAGAATTAAATTAAAGGAAGCAATCTTAAAAGAAAAATATTTTAGTAAAATTTCAAAGAAAAAATTTCACACTATTTTTTTGTATTTCCTTTTGCAACGAATGATATTATTAAATGCATGAAATTTGCATAAATTAACAAATTTCAATGAATTCTTTTGCCCAATACAAAATGTTGAATTTCTTGATAGATTGTCATTTCTATCAATTAGAAATTGGAATTATTGGTTGCTTCTTTGATTTGTGGTTAACCTGAGAATTCAGCTTGATGACATCAGACCCAGTGGTCAGTGTAGTTGAATTGGCCGATCAATACAAGAGCGAATTTGAAAGTGGCCTTAGCAAGTTGATGAAACATGCTACAACATTTGTTAATTCAACTAGCAAGGTGCTATAAATTTCCTTTTTTTAAAGAGGCGATTGAATCTAATTGTTTTGGCTTGGCTTTGAATTTTCATATAAGTTTGATTTCAATTAATACAAACCAGTCAAACAGTTGTCACTTTTTCTTATTTCGCTTCAGCTTATTCTACTTTATATCAATACTCTTTTCCAGTCAATTTTCTCGATCTAAATTTGAACTTAGCCTGAATTTAAACTCTAATAATTTAGATGAAATTCTATTAATTTAGATACGAACATATCAGCAGCACATCAACGTTCTTCACCATGAATTGTTGAAGCAACGTGATCAAATGTTGGTAATGATACAAGATACTCAATCTACCTTATCCGATTTGGATACCAAGAACCTTATGAGAGTCTTTTCCTGGATGGCTGTTATGTCATTAGGCCTAAGTTTCGGAGCATTCCTTGGTGGCATTATTTTCTCGTCATTGCTTGGATTCTTTATAAGCGGTTCAGATGCAGCCTTGTTGGCATACTTTGTCCTTCCGCTTACTGTCTATTACTTCCTACACCTACCACTGAAAATGACAACAAAGAATGAGCTTTTCCGACGATATCTGCTATTTTCGTTTGCTGCTTTCGAGGTAATTTTCATCGGGTTAAGATATTTTTAGTCCGAATTGGTATAAATTCGGTCAATGGTCATCTATTAGATGTAAGCGGTATGGGTCAAAGGCTAAGCAGAGAAAAGCAATAAAGATATTTTAAAGATTAGACAATATTTGATTAGACAAGATTAGACAAAAATATTTGCTGTTGCACCATTGTTATAGCACCGCTATTTGTATTTCTCCTAACCATTCCAGGGACTGTTGACGGGATATATCTTCTCAGATAAGGATCTGATCGGCATGCCACCAATTGCAGCTTTAACACCGATGGCTATCGGATTAATTCCTCATTTTGGATCATCGATAATCGGTAAAGATCATGCAAAGCTTATATGTTTGACTATTGGTGGTGGATTCTTCCTACATTTATCCTTGGGAGCCATTATCGACTTATCATTACCTTATCTTCTACTCGCTGGCCTCTATGGATTAACTGGTTTCGCTATATTGCAACTGTATATAAATAATCGTGGACAAGATCTCGTTAGTCTTAAGATTTTTTAATTCATTGGATTATCTTTTTGCGGTAAACGTAGAAATGATGTTGACTGAATATTATTATTCAGTACTGTTTCTGCATGCTGATTAGCCAAGAATATCATTATTTTAAATGGCCAGAAATCTGGCTGTCAGATTCATGCAATATGAATAGGAAACACTGGAAATCATATATTTAATAGATGGGAGAGATGTGTCGGGGTAACCTAAAAATCATATGTTGGTGCATGTTCGACGGGAAATTGCACTAACACAGTATGGCGAATTTTGTCTTTCATACTGTACATTATGTTATTTAAGTTTCAAACTTCAACTTTTGAAAATAAAAATGATTTTGAAAAAAAATTCAGATAGTTACGCATATCTATCAACTTGCGTTTGTTTGCGCCGTAATATTATCGCAAGCATTGGTCTATGTCATTTTTGGCTTTGATGCAAGAGAATTAACAGAAGCAGCGTCACGCTCCTCATTATCATTCTTGTAAAATCATATCATTCGTCCTTTATCAATCACAGCTGAATTTAGCATCGACAAAAAATGAAAACTGACTTGAAGGAGAAAGCGAAAGTTAAGTAATCAACTGATTGATGCTGAAGTTCTCTTAATAAATCTATTCACTATTGATGATTTGTCTGTCATTAGCTACAGAATATTGTTTGGAAAAGAAAATAGATGCATGAACTCCTAATTTATTCGTTTTCAATTTAATTGCTATTTTCTTATTACGTTTGACGTCGTAGATAACAGTATATCTTACTACATAGATGCTATTTATGACATACAAATAATGATAAAATTGAATTCCGGTGAACCCTGACTCTCAATTCTGTTGGATTCTAAGACATGACTTTTTACTGATGCCTACTATATTATTAGTGTAGTAATTATTTATAATGCGAAGCGAAAAATGAAAAATTGAGATATGTACGGCTCAAAAATTAGACAATGGTTGATATCTAAACAAAGGAAGAAGATTGTATGTCATATGTATTTTAATTGCAATTTTCATAGGAATATTATGAACGACAAATAAAATAGTATCACTTACTTTAAATGAAGGATGGCAGAGCTGAGGATCTTGAATACATTTCCTTTTCTTCCTAATCTTAATCAACACGGTAACGATTACTACCGTATCATATCATTAATGATTGCTTATAAAAGAAAAATGAACTCTTTTAATACATAGACATTGAGTTACTATACTGTCTAATGAAAAAAATTCGATAATGTTTGAAATATCTGTGTGTTCTTCGATGCTAAACTCTTTCTTTGCAAAAGTTGGCTTTTTCTTTTAATCGAATTTATAATTAAATTGGATCCACTTTACTGCACATAGATAAGTGATGTAGTGACAGTTTCAATCAAATTAACATGAATTAATTGCAGGTTAATTCATATACAGGAATTGCTTTAGCATTATTCTTTAAATGAAATGATCTGAGTCTCGAAAATTAGCTAATAATGATCGATTTAATACTTCTCAATTTATTAGAAGCCAATCCAGACAACTTGTTAGCCTGATAATAGGGCTATATGATAAAAATTAGCATAAAATTTATTTCAAACAAATGAATTAGCCATATTTCAATGAATATGAAAAAGCAACTTTCTATTATTGTTTAATCCGAAGGTACCGATCGGTTGCACTAATAAATACTTCTCCTTCACCAGTATTAATGTATGGATTGAAAATATATTTTATTGGTAAGTAAGATAAGATGAAAGGAATGAAACAAAGTTATTTCGAATTATTCATTAAAATTTCAGCTCTTTTCATCATTATTATCGTTCATTATCGCATTAATTAGAAGCGATCAATAAATGAATATTTAGTTGCATAGCATTCTTCTTCCATACATTTTAATAAAGTTTTCAGTCTTAACTAATGCAATATTGCTAGAAATTATTGATTGTAAATGGATGAGAAAATCAACAACAACTATTTCAATCAACAACAACAACAACAACAAATCTGATACGATGAAAAGAAAGTGTGTGTTTAAAAAAGGCATAAAGCAATTGGACCCAAAATTAAATCAAAATTCCGAAACTCTCAATAAATCTGACATTTTTCGTGCTTATAATCATGTGAAAATGTTAGTAAGTATGAAAAATACTACGAAAATAAGGATGAGAAACGCTATCATAATCGGCAAAAAAAGTGCTACAAAAATGAAAATGAGAAATGCTCTTAAAATGGGTATAAAAAGTGCGCTTAAAATGGATAAGAAAAATGTTTCAAAACAAACATCACATATACCTATGTTTCTTGTTCATCAACAACCAAATATATTAAATGATACTGGAGAGGATGGTTCTTTTCCAATTAGAGGTAAGCTTTTGTCACCTGAAATTTATATTATGCATTGATTGGTTTTATGACAGAAGAAAAAAGTAAAAATTATGAGAATAGATAAAATTAGTTAATTACACGATGTAACAGATTTTCTCGTTATAATATTGATAGTATGATTACAAAGTTATTAAGCTGTATATAAAATTTCGAAAAAAAAAAGATGCAAATGGTATAAATTGTCAGATGGAATCTTATTTTTGCTAATTAAACTATTAATATATCGGTTGATTAGTCGTAGCAAATTAACACGTAGCGCTTTCTCAAGTTTGCATGAAATCTCTCAAGAATGAAGCCTCTGCATATTATTTATTACCGTATCCCATTAAGTATTCAAATAGATTTGAGCTACGATAGTGCATAATTAGTTTGAAAAATGCTCATAAATTGAGAATATTAATTACTCTTAAAATATTGTAGTGTTTATGCTTGGACATCTTTTCAATTACTGATAATTACAACAACTTTGGAATTTTCAAAACAGCACATTTAATTGAAAAATAAATTTTATTATTTCTTTTTATAACTCATTAAAAAATTAAATTCAAAGATTGAAAATTTTACGCTCATAAGACTTCAAAGATGCTAACTAATATTGATTTAATTAAATTTATAAATCGTAAATCCTTGAATATTAATATCTTCGCTAGTTCATGATAAATGTAAATATCTTACTGTTTCAATCAGATGAATGGTTGGATATAACTAATCGAATTGATGAACATCCATCTACTGAAGAATTGGCATATGATTCAGCCAGTCAAATGGTATAATATATCTTATATTTTAATAAACATTCTTTTTGTACTCATATAGGTTGAAATTTTCTTTGATTACTTTGACCTTTATCCTTTTTGCAGTGAATCGATTAGAAAGAGAGCATGAAATGGATCAGTGGTTCCGCAAGAAATGACTAGAGCATACTGAAATGAATGTATTTTAAAATCTAAAAAATATTTTGAATTTCAGACAGTTTTAAGCTCATCACTTAAATTAAGATTTGCAGGCATATTTAATTCGTGAACGACAGAATGATGAAAGCTGTAAATCGTCGGTTGCTGCATGCGATGCTTATACGTCAATGTGGCCACAAATCGATGGTCTTTGCGAGTAAGTTATTCACTTCGAGTAAATAAATTATGATGATAAATTAAATTGTGAATTCAAGTAGAATGATCAAACAATTCCGATTAAAAAATTTGATTCCAAAGACTGAAATTACAAATCGGATAGATGATATCAAATATCTCAAATAGTATTAAATATTTTTCAACTGTGGCAGAATTCCAATTTAATTATAGTAAAATTAACCTAAAGTTATCATTTGTATATCTTTTTTAGTAGTCAAATAATTGTGATTTTTGAAAATAATCTTTTGTTTTCATTTATTCCTAAATTTTCAATTCTAATATGAGAAATTCTCAATTTTCAAGTCTTCAATTTTAACACGAAATAAAATTGTTCAATTTAGTTCAATTTAGCTCAGATGTCATTAACTTTCGTTGATTTAATGCTAATTGTTTAAATGATTAGCAATTAAATGATTAGATTAGCAATGATTAGCAATTTAAGAACACCTTATAGTAAGAAATCAAATAAATCCTTAACATTCAAATTTTAGCTAAAATTCTGATTCATTTTTATTTTAGCTTATTTTTTGTAAAGTGTTTGGTTGAAGTAGCCGGTATGATTTGCCGTAATTATACTGAGAAGGATATTTTCAAATATGCACCAGACTTATGCGATAATGTATCCGATTTCTGTACTCAAAACCGAGTAAGTGTGAAATAAACAACCGAATGATTTCTACTTCTATACTTCTGAAGGATAAAATGAATCTGACACTCTTGTATTGTTTTTAACTTTATTATACAGTTTCAATATATACAACATTTTAGAATTGTTACAAGTTTCAATGTTATAAATTTAGGAAGCAACGATTTCATTCTGCTGGGCGTATCTCTATCATCGATATGGAGAAATTTCAATGAATCCGCAACCTTCAAAGACAAGACTTAACAAATTTATAGAAAATTTCATTTAAATTACCAGAATTTTAAGCTTTCGAAATTTGACAGTTAATTGTAAGAAAACAATTATTGACAATTGTGCGGTCATTCAGTGTTCATACATTGATTAAATGAGTAAAAGCTGATATGGTAATACATTTCGAACTTCAGTCAAAATTTCCTTTTCAAATTAAAATTCTAAAATCAAGAATGATTTCTGACACTTCTTCGTTCTAATACCTCCATGAAAAAGTTAAGGTATGAAAAAGAAAATTAATATCATTAAATTACATAAAGTAAGAAATTAAAATGAAGAGAACTTGTCAAATTTTTCAATCTTTGAACCATCTGCTGGGCGCTTAATGAAAGTTTGATTTGGATTAATTGATTAAATGGTTGTACCTTTATTCTTGCTCAAGCGAGACTATTCGAAATTAGAAGCTAATTCGATAATAACTGGAAATAATTCATTAATCAAAAATGTGAAACTAATTTTAACCAGTCTTTTACTTGCTGCTTTGTTCTATTTTTATTTTTAAATTGAACAGCATAAACTTCTCTGGAAACAGTATGTATTAAAAGTTTTTATAATGCTCGTGGTTTCAGGATTTCCATACGTAAAGGAACATTTTTGTTGCGCAGTTTACTATAATCTGCATTATAGATTGTTTACTTTGGTTATTAATGGTAAAGACCGTAATAATTCTATTTTTCCACTCTTATCTTTTCCGGTGATTTCTTCTTCGATCTCTGATCATCTGTGAAGTACTCTGAAAATTTGGAGTAATTGCAAATTACTCTATTTTCTTGGCCTTTTGCTTTTGGAAAAAAAGAATTAAAATGAAGTGATTTGTCATTTAATATATAGCTGTATCAAACTGTGCGATTAAATTATTCAATTTTTACTTCCTCTTTTTGTAAAAAAGTATTATTGGATCCTTCGACCTATCATTTACAGAGTATGTGAATATAATATGGCCGACGTTCAAGCAATTAAAAAATATGAAAAAATTGCAGCATTCTTCTTATCTGTGTTAGAAGCTCAAGCAATGAGTTATTTCTTCTTTTGAGGCGGATAATCTCAAATTAAATGGCGCTATATGTTTAGCAAATGCTTGTCAGAAGAAAAAAGATTCTGCTAGAAACATTGTGATATTATAATCATAATTATGATATTACAATATTATTCCGACGGCATAATTGTGCTATCATAGGAGAATTATCATTATATTATAATTGCACTATCAACATATCATACTACCATTATATTACCGTACTGTAATCATTAATTATCACTGCATTATAGTTGCTCCCTCACCGTAACATCCACATATGATGTAGGGGTTTCACAACGATTACGTGTTGCCGATGGTTTTCCGGTTTGGTCGGAATAACTTCAAGACTTAACTAAGTGCGGGGCGTGCAGGCGTTGCGTTTGTGTGCTTTCCTTAACGCCTCAGGGATTTATTGTTTTAGCGGAATTCTTTTTTTTATCAGTTCTACAAGAAATAATTTATGTACTGATATTTAAGATGAGTTGCGTATTATTATGAATGGGGAAAGATAGTACAACAATTTTTTTTTGTGTGGAAGTTATTGCATAGTTACTGCGATGTTTCAGTGAAAAACATGACATGCGCGGTTTCAGACTCTGAAAAAGTGAATACTAATTACAGTCGTGAAAATTCAAACGATGGCAGAGGTTTTGACAACATTTGGTGAAAAAACGAAAAAGTTGTATGTCGATCGCGTGGTCATTATCAGCACTTTACCGATGCAACTGCAATATGAACCACGAGAACAGTTCAACGAAACCATTTTTCGCTTGATCAGTTTGAAATTTGATCTTGAAAGTGGCGCCATCGATCGTATTATTCGTTTCCCATTGATCAATAGTGTTCTGGATCAGGTTACTCATTTTTTACTTATCACAAAATGCATGAGAAGAAATGAATCACTTAATTATTTCAATGTTTTATAAGTACGAGCTGATTCCGTACTTATCATATAATGTTATGTTTGACATTGAAGAATATATGGTGGTATAGTTTATGTATTATTTAGAGTTAGCATGTGATAGCGAAACGTACGTGAATTTACGTAGCTTTACTCATAAAGCTATCATCAACAATTAGGCAACAGTCTTTTGATTAACTGAGCTTCGATTAAGTGAATTAAGATGATGATCAAATTCGCGAGCATCAGTCAGAAGAGATCTTACTGGTGCAAACTTGTTCAGTTTTGCACGTGCTGCGTTATCGACATGTGTAGTTATCGGCAACAATTACATTGTTGGAAATAGTCTGACAGCTTGCACATTCTACGATTCTAAATTAATAGCTTCTATTATTAGTTTTTTGAAGTCGTTTATTTCTTCACTGTAAGCGGTTTCCTTTCTTATTTTTTTGCATAAGTAAGATATTCAACTGTGGGGTTACAAGATCCATGGCGGGATTTCTTCCTGATACTAATATATTACGCTTTAGCAGATAATGATCGTAATGCCTAATATATAACCCTTTTATATTGAAACGTATTTATTGCTGAACAGTGATGCCTTTTATTCTAAACCGCTGGAATTTTTGTATCATTTTTTGTTTTTTCCTTCTGCTTTTTTGCGTACCGAATAGAAACTTACTGCCGGCTGATTTGGGAAGCTTTTTTGTTTCTGACGGAGCAATCATATTAAAGTAACGATAATTTAGCTATCGTATTTTTAACTTGCGGAAATAACTTGATTTATTCTATGTGTTTAAGGCAAATTTGTTATACGTTCATACTTTTCACGTCAACTTCTATTTAATTTTTCTCTTTGATTAACGACAAATATATTCTAGTAATTAAATATTGTGGGGATAAGAAAAGATATTTATTTTTATCTTCTATACCTAAACCTAACTTGCCACTTCCAGTTTTTCCCTTTTATTATTATCCTTCGGATAATCAAACCTGATACGGCAAATTACTTAAATTTCCTATGTGGTTAGTGGCACTTTAGCTTAGTTAATACATAATTCCTCATTAGATACGGTTAGATTCTAATTCGATCGCAATAAATCTTTATTTATATACATTTTCTACTGGTTCTTTCATACATGGTTTTATGCTATATTAACATGTGGAACATGTTGCTGACGTAATAGTCGCATATTGGAAGCATCCACGACTCCTCGCGTGTACTCTATTTCTTCCGGGTTACCATTCCACCGTAACCTAATCAATCACTTCAGGAGCTTGGTGTGAAGTGTTTGGTTTCATTCTATTCACGAGTGCATCGAGATCGTGTTATCTCGCAAAAAAACCGGCTTGACCCGCCAACAACAGTTGATTCAATCACTGAACCTCCGAAGGAGTTGAGCGGTGAAGCAGAATTCGAAGCAGTAGCAGCTCCGGGAAACCTTGAAATGGCTGGTGAACGTAACAGTAATCCGGCTGATACTGTTGCTGTTGATGCCGATAGCGGAGCTCAAAGTGCTATAGGTACTGATGTACCGAATATTCCAGTAGCTCCAATGGCATCAGAGCAAGATGATGTCGTTGTTGTACGTGATGACGACGGTGCATCGAGACCGATAGTTGGCAAAGATGGCAAAAACGGTTGGCCTATTACTTTGCTTGCTGAAGTTAAGAAGCCATTGAACATTACCACTCTTAGTACGGACCGAATATGTCTTTGTCATTTCTAAAGTTATCACGACATGTTTTTACAAGTCAGGTGAGAGAGTATTTCATATAGATTCATGTAAATGCACTTGCACTCCTGCTGTAGGAAATATTCTGTTTGAATCGCTTTTCTATTTTATAGACTATAGAAGCAAACATCTGAAGGATGTGAATTGTTTTTTCTTTTCCATAAAATGAATTTCCAGAAACTGGCAGACATATAATTAGTAGAAGCGAATATCTTCGATTTGAAGTAGTGAAATTAGAGGGAGACGAGGATACTTCTAGATCTTGAGACTTGAGAGCTTATTTTCTAATTGAATAAAAGAATTGTTTTTGTTTTCATCAGATTAATTTGTGATAAATAAAAGTATAGTTTCACCGCTAAATGTTTGAATTTAACAAAATAAAAAAGACGGAATAATCCATTTGTTTGACATATGCCGTTGATACTTTCTTTTTATTTTCAGAAAAGAAAGGGGAAATTGCAAATATCGCTCAAGAAACGGATACTGAAGTAGTTCTTGCTGTAGTGGAAAGTTTGAAGAATATAACGGTAAGAAGTTTGGGTGAAGAAACGGGTCCAGATAAATTAACCAACAAAATGATTATGGCGGAATATTACAAAACACTGCCGGTTGATTGGGATGGTGCTCCAGAATTTCAATGGAGGCGTAAGTTTCACGTTAATTGTATCATAAATGTGATCAAGTTTGTCCGGTCATTTATCTCTCCACGTTTTTATATGTAAATAAGGTGCTTTTTGATCTTATGTTTTTTATATATATTTTTTATATGTAAATAAGGTGCTTTTTGATCTTATATTATACTGTCTTTAGCTATTAGTTGATTAGTTGTTTTTTAGTTTTGCATGCACAGTAATATTAACCGTTACTCTTCACCACATATTTATCATCCTATTGAAGGAAGGATGTACATCCAGAATAATCCTTACATCCAGTTTAATTCAATCTGTATCGAATAAAATTTTTACAGTGTGCAAGGATGAGTCAGACCGACGTGTGGTAATTTTTGAAAATGTGTTACCAGCGGATATGCACAATCCTTGGTTTTATACTGCACTTTTACGTTGTAAGCGAGTTATTATGGAGTTCCCGCTGTCAGCTGGAAAAATTGATGCGGATTTTAATCACTTATATGGGTAGGTATTGTTTTTCAGTTACCTTTGGAAATAAATCTCTTTAAAAATTCAAGAATCTTCTATTAATCAATGTTATTTATTCCAGACGAATTGAAGCATATTTCCAAAGCGATCATCCCATTGCATACTGCGCTGTAAACAATCTCGTTCATATACGAACTGGTGCACATAGGGTGAAAATCTATTTACCACAAAGTAAAGTTTCATTTTTTGCTCGAAAATAAATTTTGTTGCAGCATCGGATTTGCGGTTATTTGCATGTTTTGTGTGCCTATGATTTATTTTCTGCCATCAGTAGTTTTTACTGACTTTAATTCGGAATCTGTTTCATATAAATTTTAGCTCATTGTCGGATAATTATCCACAGCTGTGAAATTTTTTATCCTTTGATGGTTCAGTAGGGCCTCATTTTTTTTCCAATTATCTAACTTTAGGCGGAGTTTCATTAAATTTGTTTGTTCAGCATTACTTCTTCCTTATTTCCTTCTTCATCGTTGTCTAAAGTTTTCTATTCTATACTGTCGTAATTTTAGCAAAATGGGTACGAAAATACAAAGAAATATTGGAAAGCCGTTTGGGTCGAATGCGAGAACCGATGGAAAGTATGCGTTATTTAATCGTGAAACCTGTAAATGATGAAGTGACGGAGAAGCAAATTCGCGAAACTTGTTTTAAAAATTTTCCGATCGAAAGTATACGTTTTGAAAGGGATATGTTAGGGTAAGTGTATAATTTCATACAGTTTAAAATTTTTGTTTTTTTTTAATTTCTGTTTTTTTTTTTTTAAATTACTTTAGTTTGTCTATAAATTGACACGATAACAGTTCGTAAAATTTTGGAGACCTTAATTAGTTAACTTGGTAGTAACATGCGCTTGTTTTGCATAAGAGTCTAAAATATGAATGCTGCGAGTATTGAGCATTTTCAAGCAAAAACATTACAGGCAACGCATGGCTGTTTTGTTGTTTCCAACTGCTCGGGAAGCTGTGGCAGCTCATTCTAATAATGATTTTGTTTATCTTGGTGCAAGAAATGTATCGAGTAATTATGTCAAAGTATATTTCCCTAATGGTAAGCCATTTATGATGAAACACATAGTTATATAAAAATGTAGCGCAGGATTTATATTACTGTTTGGGATCTAAATTTTGTATGATTTGTTGGCTATAAATATTTCTTCATAAAACCATACACATTCATATTTTTAGTTGGGATGAGAAAATTCTTTCATATTTGTGGCATCAATTATTGCAGTGGTTTTACTATTCAGAAAATTTTCAAATTTTCTTCTTTTAACTTTAATTTGCTTAGGAAGTTTGCCTTTAAAAAAATTTTTTAATTTGAATGAAATTTCAGTGGATTTCCATGGATGGGATCGGCTTATTGTACCAACACCAGAAACCGATATTTACTGTTTATTAACCTACAAAGAATTCATCTCTTACACGCAATCCAAAAAAATTGAACAGGAACAAGAAAAGTTATCCAAAGCATCAGTAGCGATAGAAACGAAGCAGGCCCGAAATGATGTTACAAAAGCGATGCAAGATCGTAAGCGTTCACAGGAAGGGGAGCAAGAAAAAGATATTACCGAGAGCGGTGGTGATAATAGTATTGATGGTAGTGCTCCACACGGTTGTGAGAGCATCAAGCCTGCTGAGAAAAATGCTGGACTGAGAAATCTTCAATCGAAACCAACGTTCCCAAAAAAAGGTCAGTCTTCCGGCGATGCGAAAAGAATAGCGGAAGATGATGGTGGTGGACCATCTCGAAAACGGCGGAGGTTAATCATTTGAAAATTTATATATGTGCGATTGCAGATTCTCTGCATGACAAAAGGAATCATAAATGTTTAGTTATATTATCAGCATAGCAAATCTTTTCGAAACCGAGAGAAATTTTGTGATTTCAGGATTTTCCTGTTAATTATCAATAATAACTCTTACTTTATCAATTATTTGAAGAAAGTTTCGTTTCTTTTGCAGAGCAGGACGGTACAGAAGGCGACGATATAGTCGATCCGATTTATTTCGATCGATTCCATCCTATTCAATGCCACCAGCTCCACCGCGGTATGGAGGAGGCTACAGAGTGGAACCGTATGTCTTTTTATTTAGAAAACCACTGTTTTGTGTTTCACATGTCACTCCTTTTCCAGATTTTGTAGAAATGTTCCGATCCGGCATTGCTTCTTTTATTCTCCTAATTTCCATGAGAAGTACACGTACTTACCTTTATTACCTACGGGTTACCTTTATTACCTACACTCACCTTGGGAAGAAGGGCAGTATAGTACCTTTGTATATCAAAGGTTGCTGTCATTTCTTTGCTTGTTGACATTGTCGTTTGCTAAGCAGACAAAGTTAAGAATCAGTGTCATTTTCAGTTGGAGACGTCCACCACAGCCAGCTCCGTATCCATACGGCCCTGCTTTCGATTCGTATGGTTACGCAGATGCCAGGCGAAGGAAACCACCGGGCAAATTGCCCGTGATGGACGTTGCCGTAACAGATGTAGCTCCGCATCCTCCACGTCCAACCGTTCCATGTAATGCTGATATTTCATTTTCTGCTTTTTCCATTTTGGAATATAAATCATTTAACAAATTAACAGAAATTTTGACTAAAAACTAGAGAGGTTCGATGATTCAAAGTTTAACATGGGTTCGTGCATGCTCTGCTTACGATTATTTGTTTATTACAGAGAGAATTGCATGATTATTATTACGTGCATGTTTTTTTATTTCAGTCAGATTTCTTAGTTTATCAATTTTAGTGAGCGGTGCCATGGAGCGCAGAAAAGAAATGGATTTGCAAGAGCATATTTTACGTCAACAAAAAGTTATTGAGTAAGTTTTACTGGTTTTCTTTTTTGGTTATTAATTTCATGTTTACATTTGTTCCATTTCTTATAGAACAATGCTCTGCTATTGTTGAAACATCATGATTCATATATTGTTTGAGCGTGTGCTCTATTCTGGCTCAGGCAGGTTTCATGATTCTGTAATTTAAAGAATGTCTTGGAATTTATTTTCGTCGAAGGATTGGGTAGGCATTTAAAAACAGTCTATTGTTCTTTATAAATTTTTTTAAAATATTATAAATCTCATTCCTTCCTCATTCTTAGTTCTGCGGGTTCCACTTCGTATCTTACTTCATTCTGATTTTCAGGCATTTCTAAAATTGTTATTATTGTTAATTATTTTATTTAAAATTGTTAATTATTTTATTTTATTTTAATTTTCTGAAAATTATATCCAGAAAAAAACTCAAAAAAATCGCTTTGATTTTAGATCTATTCTTGGTGTCGTTATCGATTTTTTCTCATGTAAGTAGCAAAACAGTTTCTCAGGAGCTTGCCAAAGATTAGCTTATCATAGTCAATCTCAATAGATACTGTTAAAAAATTTTTTTAAGTTCTTATTTGTAGCGATCTTGCAAAGAAGTTGTCCACACAAAATACTGCACCGGATTACATGAGACGTCCAGAAACGAATGATCCGTACGCAGTTATGCAAGTACCGTCAACATCATCATTGCCAGCAGCAAGTAACACGAGTAAGATGCCAGCGTGGGTTACACCGTCGATGTAAGTCCCGAAATCCCTACCTTCGCTGAACGCAGAACTTTGATACGGTAAACCGTTTCGTTTGCACTGCCTATCAGATGTTTTTAATCAGAAACTTTGGGACCTCAACGCTCAGATTCCTTTTCCGAGAAAAATAAATGTTATGAGGCGAAAAGAGAAAGAAAGAATTAAACAGGACAGTTAAGTAAAAGAGAAAGAAAAAAAGAAATAATGAAATTAAAATGGAAAAAAATCACTATTTCTTCGTCATTAGTTTGGCATTCGAATACTTAGACTTGAGAATCAGTTCTATTCAAATATTCCCTGTAATTATTGCTGTTTGAAAGGGTGAGCGCAAGACTTTTGACTTATAGTTTAGGTTTTGGACTTAGACATGAGATTCCAAAATGATCTGATCAGCTGCATAAAAACTGTATCTTAATTGATGTCACCATTCCTATTATAATTCCTATTATAATTTGTTTGTCTTTTGATAAGCATCTTATTTCAATTGCGTCTTGGATTGGGAATGCTAGGGAAAAAGATTTAAACTCACAACGTCTGGTAGGCTGTGCAGTTGCTATTATTATAAAAGAAGATAGGTTGAAAGAAATAATAAAATATGAGAAAACTTTAAGTGTAGAATTCAAGAAGGAGTAAGAGTAGAAAATATTTTGTGGTCTGTGTATACTAATTTGAGTTTTCTATTCCCAAAATCTTATTGATGAAATAGAATTTTCAACCTTTAGATATGCTCAACCACAAGTTGGCAACTCTGCTGAAACATATGAAGCATGGCGATAAAATGTGGAAAATAACGTTTTTGGATGTGGCATATTTCTCGTTCTTATTCTCCCTTTCACTCTTTTAAATTTCAAAATTGAATTCAATTATAGTTTTCATTCTTATCGTTGTTGTTTTAGTTTTCTGGATTTTATTTTCCTGCTTTTGCTGCGATCTCATTTCAGTTGATACATTTTTTAAGCAGCGTTTTTTGATATTAATTTTAAAATTTTTATGCAGAAAAAACGAAAATTTGTCAAAAGCCGGTTTGCTTACATAGTTTGGTGAAGAAAATTTCATAGGACATAATTCTACGTGGTAAAGTAGTAATTAATTTTTGTATTTTTAAGAATCTAAATTTAAATAAACTATTTAGTGTATGTTGTATACATTTTTTTCTCTCTCTCTCCTTTCTATGTTGCATATTTTATTGTATCAAGACTGTATTAAATCGGAGAGAGAGGAAGGTGGTTTGAAATTATGTGTATGATGAATAACATTGTTTCAAGTACTACGCTGCTTGGTGTATTCAAAACTTTTAGGTTTTTGTAAATTTGGCAATGTCTGGAAATTAATGATTGAACAAAGTAAGTTATACTCATAAATATCAGTCGAATCATTCATTCCATATGCTAAAAGAAATGGGATGTAATATTCTTATGGAACAAATCAAGGAGAAGTTATCGTAGTGTACTTTTAACAAAAATGGTAGTGTGAGGTCCCGATGACGTCTGACGATCTTGATATAATGACTTTAGTGCTGTTAAAAGGAAAATGATAACTTTTGCTCGTCATTTTGTTTCGTATCGTTTTCGCAGTATTTTACATTCGTTTCATTTGTATTGCTATAAGAGATTAGCTCTATTATGTAATCAACTGTTTTACGTTTGATAATGAGACGATTCGCTGGTAATTAAGATAATACGTGGCAACATCCCAGGTGGTTTGCATCTATACTTATTGTCGGGATGTGGCGATATTGTCTGGTATTAAAAAGTTGAAAGTAGGCTTAGTTAAGTAATTCCTAGATTTGATCATATTTTGCTATTGCGTTCAAAAGTCCACAAGAGAAGCATTATTTATTTTCAGTTCTTCTCCAACTACTTTAAGAACTCAGAAAAGATTAAGAACAAATAAGTGTTGAAGATCACATGAGTAAGTTCGGAGGTAGATCTTTTGGCCATAGATATGAATCACGGGTGCCTTTTCGTTGTACCGAAAGAGTAGAAATGTATGCGGCACGTCGGATTTGTTCGTTTAGCTGCAGTTCCGGTCGTTTCACCAGGAAATACGCAAATGCGCCACAGAAACTATCGCCAGCACCCTGCTAAGAGCTGTCAATAATTTTTGTAGTAGGCAAACTTCATTTTTTAGGAATGTGTTCTGCTTAGTGCTTACTGTAGTCTCAACAACTTCAACTGCTGGTACCGTTACGTGACCGGAATCGCCCTGTTTGCTAGCATATGTAACACCTTTCGCTCCAAGCGTTAAAATGACGATTAGTGGACCAGCTTCCAGTAATTTGTTGGCAGCTTTCTGCGCATCTTCAATAGATTCAATATGCTGATCTGAGAGATATTCGGACTGAAATAATACAGAGATTTAGGAAACGCAATACAGGAAAGGTTAGGAGAAGTTTTCATAAAGGAAAAAGCAGGAGTAAAATGTTTGAAGGATTTTTTGAACTCAGCATCATTACGAGTCATTTATCCAATACGGAGAGCGTTGAAGCGCTACATGTTAACCAGTTCCACACATACATCAAAATCATCTGTCATTACTGAAAATTAGATCAAAATCAAATAACTGAAATCCAAGGCCTGTCGTTAAGTTACCTCTATTTCGTTTGCACATAATATATCCGCCAGTTTTAAAATATTTTTAGCGAAAGTCTCTTCAACTGGAGCATAATTCAAGAATGTTTGCACTGAAAATGTGCTGAATTTCTTTTTTAATTTCTCAATTTTGAATCTTTTAGGGGTTTGGAAATATTTGAATTGAAATAATTTTGAAATTTTACTGCTAACATTTACTTATTCAAGGAAATCATTCTTCGTCATAATAGCAGCAGTTGATTCACTTCGGAAAAAAGACAAACCATTATGCTTTCTGGCTAATTCAAATATTCTTCTTACGGAATCATATGCTGTTTCATTTTGACAAAGTACCAATTTTGCGGTAGCGATAACTCCCTCCAGCTCATTAATCCGGGATATCAAACATTCCTGATTTGCACCCGGTGCAATCACTATTGAATTTTCACCTCAATTGGAAGAAAAAAAATTCAGTTATATTTCTTATGAAGAGTTCATAAGAAGAAACATTGTAGAGTACTGAGGACAGCAAGAAACTTTATTACTGAGGAAGGTATATATGGAAAGGAATAGTAACCGACATTATATTTTACGCCTACCATCCTTTGTAACAATTATTGTTGAGCAACCAGTTTTTTCGCTGTCACTAACGTCAATATATTCAGTATTTACGCCGAAACTTTTCAGATTACTCACATTACTTGCTCCAAACGCATCTTTGCCAACCTAAAATAAGATATAATTATGATCGTTAAGACAAACATCGACCATATTCATTTTTGATTACTGCATAATTTGGAAACATGAAGTTGGATTTCTGAATGAGGAGGCTTTAGAAATTTTAAACCTAACTCAATTATGCAATCAGCATAATTGAGTTAGATTTAAAATTTAATCACAAAATGCAAATGTGACTTTTCACATGTGAATCATAGTATTTTTTACATGCTTTCTTGCCTCCAACTTTCACTTCGTTTTTCTGGGAAAAGTATGAAAATTGACGTGAGGTGAAGCGCACACCAGCACGCCCATATTACAACGATATTTCTTACATTGCACTTTTTCCTTGTGATAAAAGAAAGTAGCAAAATAATAATCAATCACTTACTCTTCCAATCATGCATACTGCAGCACCTAACATTGCAGCTTGAGCAGCTTGATTAGCACCTTTCCCTCCTGGCGATGTAGCAAATGTACCTTTTATAGTTTCACCTGGTCGTGGGAATTGATCCGTGTAACTTAAACAGGTTCAATGAATAACTTATTCTGACGGGAAAAATAAAGAAAAAGGAAAGATGTGATATTGTAAATCTGTAGCGGAGAATGAATTACCTTTCGAATTATCTTTATCCCTTCATTATTTCCGAAGTAATTATCGGAAATAATGAAAACGTCCAGGTGAATGTCGATCAGTGATGTGAAAAGAAAAAATTACGACTTTGCTTGTTATCACTTTAGTTATTTCATGAAGTTAATTAAATAGTTAGAGTCGTTAGCAATAACTTCTTACTTGATTATTATTATCTCAAGTTAGCACTTTAAATCTTTGCAATCACTTCACTTATCTTTCAGTACTATAAAATTTTGTCCCGCGTTTTATTCTTTTTTAAGCTTTCCTTTTAATTTTTAAACTTACCTTACCAAATCTTGCGCAATACTTCCGTAAACAATAATATCAACCATAATGGAACAATTTTTCAAATACTTTTTCTGAATGCAAAATCTAAAAAAAATGGCAATCAGTCAAATTACAATGTCCATCAAAATTATGAATTTTGCAAAAAATATTACTACTAATTTTCTCCTATGATAAGAAACAAAAGTCAAATTTCATTGAATCTAAAATTTTGATATCTTTCAAATTGAATTCAATTCGAATGGTTAAGTAAAAGTAAGGCAAGCAATGTGATATATATTTTATCTTTTAATTAAAAAACAAAACAATAACTAGGTAATTCATAAAAGATCGCTACAATTACATTAAAAATTCGAAAAAATTGACGCTTGCAGAAATTGAAATTTCAAAAAATTTTGAAACTTAGAAAACATAGAAAAATTATGTAAAATAAATCATACATTCTGATATTAACTCCACATGGATCTTTCATCCTCCCCGCCCTAAATGATATGAATTTGATTATTAGAGGGAATAGGAATTTAGATATGCAATATAAAATGATATATCGAAACTTAATAATAGCATGCCTATTTACTTACTTTCATATTTATGCAAATTTCGATACATGTAATGTGTGAAAAAAAATTTATTAAGTTTAGTTGTTTTGTACATTACTATCTGTTTAAATTTCTACATTAAAGAGTACCTTTTATTTTCTTAATATATCGTTCGATGGTTGACTAAGTTTTAAGCGTAATAAGATGACAAATTTCCTCTTAAACTTAAGTGCAAAATGTGCTTGTCTGAAATTATCACAGTAAATTTGAATTAAAGATAAGAGAGGAAAAATTTTGTTATTTACAAAATAACAAACAAGTAAAATCAATATGAGTAAGTAACTGATAATTGCTTCCCAAATAAGACAGGAAAAAATGAATTTTATCAAATGATAAACAATATTAAATGGTTAGGTTTCACAAACATAAATTAATGACATATGACATTTCATGTCTAATCAATTACGGAATAAATAAAATGACATAGTGATAGTGATAGTGATAAGAATAAGGAATGTATCGGGTAAAAAAGAAAACTGGAAAGAATAAATGAAGCGTTATGGGTTGGTACAATTAAAACAGATCGTTTTCTCTCTCGAAGTTTTTTCCCTTTTTTGATTTCATCTTCAACTTTTAGTGCTTATCGTATTTGTTCGATAAATTTAATAATCCTTTCCCTTTAATTTTCCTATTTAAATAAATAGACATTAGATATCTTTGCCACTCTATTCAACCAATAAATAACAAAATTTGATTTTATTAATAATTTTAATTTTTAATTATTTGAAAATTTAATTCGTTAATCCAAAATTTCCTTTTTTCGAATTGGAAAACTAATAAAATTAAAACTTTGAAAATTTCAAATATTTTCTATTTCGTATTAAATTATCATTCTTTTATCTTTTATCTTTTACTTTTTAATTCATTTTTGTTTTGAATTTTATACTTTTCTTATTTTTGTTGGAAAATATTTTTAGCCTTTTATTTTAATTTACATTAAAATTGATTAAAATTCTAATTGAATTTTAATCAATTACTCATAGTTTTAGGTTACTTTAACTTTAACAATTAAAGGTATAAACACTGCGAAATATGAAAATAAAATAAAATTTCTCTTTAAAATAACAATGAGAGAAAATGGATACGAATAGAAGTGGAATTATTCATTTTGTTGAAATTCAATTATGATTTGATGATTTCTCCTTTTCTAATTATACACCATCATTCAGTCGCGATATCCCAATTTTACCTTCTAATCAATCACCTGCTGCTATTATCAATGTAATAAAAATGGTTACATATTGTAATTAATTACGATTAATTTAACTAAAATAATAGGACGTATATTATATCTGTTGCACGTATGATTATGTATATCAGTAATCAATAATTAATCTAAGAAAATCACTTATGATTCATTTATTTCAATTGTATGAGAATGAAGAATAAATATATCTTAGAATTTGTTGCATCATATATTAATGAAATGAAATAATTGAAACTTATTTAGTTGTGAAATAAATAAAATAAATAAATAGGATTAATAATATGATTGATACAATAAGACAAGGTTACAAATTTTTTCGACAAATTAATTTCATTCACAGATGTAAGGTTGAAATAGTTATATTTAAGCAATAATAATTTTATAGTTAAGAAAAGTTATAACAATTAATGAGGTACAAAGTTATTAGTAAATTTTGGGAATCAGATTTTTTGAAGAAGAAGAAAAAGATACCATTAATTGAATATAATTTGAACATTAGCAAATATTTTAATCTTAATCATTCTTATTGCATTGATAGTTAGTAACGGTGGCAGTGGTAAATCAACTAGAGAAAACTCATTTTTAAATCAAAATTTTAAAGAACACCTTGGAAATGCTACAACATTACAGAAGTACCAACGTTATCCATTTGTCCATGTCTGCTTTGTTTAGAAATAATAGCTGTAATACTGGAATTTTGACATTTAATGCATGAAATGGGTTGTCGGCGTATCCACCATGAACGAACCGAATCGACGAATTTTGGGTCAGCGAAGAAATTAATAATTGGATCAAAGATCATCGCTAGAACCCAAAAAACTGCAGCAATACATGCCAAAATTTCGACTTGTAAAAAAAGTCTTCCATGAAGAAATGTTTTACACGATGACTTATCACCTAAGCCTGTAAAAATGTAAGTAGACACCCTAAGTTTCGATTAGAGATAATTGATAAGTAGAGCAGATTAAGACTATATCAATTGATCAATTATAGCATATAGTCTATTATTAACTCAGATAAAATTATTCTGTTGATTTATTTGTAATTAAATCTTTCCTTTTCTCCATAATTTATGAATCTATACCCGAAAGAAGCTTCTACTTAATTCAAACTTTGATTAGTGCATTTTAGTTTGCTCTTATCCTTGAAAAATATAATTAGTAGGGATATAAAAGAGTTGATAATATAAAAAGAGAAAATTCAAATTTGCTGAAATTCACCTAAAACAGCCAAGTTTTTCAAATTAACTGTTGCAATTGTTATAACAACAAGTATTGGTAATGAACCAACAGTAAATGTCATCAAATTTAGTGCCAGTCTATTCATCGCTCGCATATTGTTTCTTCCTATTATGTCAGTTTCCTGTAATTATCTCACTCTTTTGGATATTTCTGATATCAAATATTTCGAAATTATTATTCTCGTTCTCGATTTTTCACTAAATCTTGTAGTGTAAAATAGCATGAATGTTTTTAGATTGCCACTATTTTATGATGATTTATAAAAGTTTTATTTCTTTCTTAATACATGATCATTTGACTATTTACCAAACACCCAATATTGCCCAGGATTTTCCTTTATTCCAGTATTATAAACTGCCATTAAAAAAACGGTGAGAAAAGGATAAAGGAATGTTAAGTACATGGAAACCAATCGAATTAAGGAAGGTGGAAGATCATGGCCCAAATTTTTAGAAAATTAGGACTATCTGATCATCCATTGCAGTACATCATCTACACATGACGGATATTTGCTTTCTCCTTTCTGTTTAATTCAACCAATAAAAAATACTTTTAACGCTGATAGTTTTAATACTAATAAATGATCGAAATATGAAATATTTACCAATCGACTGCTTCGATCTCTCTTGCGAAGAAAATAAAGCGTAATTAGGTAGAATATAATTACAACAATAAAGAATGCAGAGAGAAGGAAAGCAACAAAGATAGCAATAGGTTGTTGACATCGGTCGAATGAGCAATATATTAGCGCTGTTTCCGGATAAAACAATGTGGCACCATATAAGCCAAGCAAAAGCTGAATTCAAATGCGAAGTTTCTAAATTTGTTAACAATTTTCACTCAAGGAGTAAGTTGAAAGAATTAAAAAATATAATATAAAATGAAAGTGTTTCCGTTGCATATTCTGAATCATTTAAACCCTTTGATCTCCCATACCCAATTCCAGCATATTCCTCATCGATCACATATGTATGCATCAATTATGGTAAAGCTACAATAAAAGGGAAAGTCAATATTTGCCCGAAGTATATTTAAAATTAGCAAATTTTAATTACTTCCTTCCAAAATTTCAAAATTTGGAAAAAACCTGGAACTAATAATTTTTAAATATTAATTAAAAATGAACAAAAAATCATTATTTTATAAAATTACCGAAAAAGCAATAGAAATAAACCAAAGAATAATAATGACAACCAAACACCGAGTAACATTAACAGCATACAGATATCTTAACGGATGCACAATTGCTAAATAAAGTAATGTTGTCATTGCAACGTAAGTACCTGCAAAAAATGTTTTAGTACCGAAGATTTCATTGATTCTATTGTTGCAAAACTTGAAAATTCGAAATTCATAAAAATTTTTTTTTAAATTTAAAATTACCAGCCAATGTTAAGAATGATAGTGATCCGATCAGAATGAATGCAACAGCAGATGCATACCGGAATATTTCCAATTTCCAGGCAATTAAAACAATATATAAAAGAATGAGGGCAAGGATATTGCTTATTGTTCTACTTAGCAGGAAACTGTACCGATGCAAAGAACTGAAATTCTAGTGGAAATTTTAAAATTTGAATGGATTAAAATTGACAGATAAAATGCAAAAATTAACCAGTAATTTCCATTTTTACCTCTCTGAGACAAATTTCCGCACATTTTGTCACCAAACTTTTCTTTGTTTATTTTATTTCCTGTTACCTTATGATTCGGTTAGTGTTATAATTGTCGAATATTTTCATTGCAAAATGCTTCAAATTGATTAACTTCTTATTTTGACTTATATCAAGAAAATATGATACGGAGAATTACCTCAGTTTTTTCCTCCGCCATAATTCTATTATCAATATGCCATAGGCAATATTTATCAAAATGGCAAATGTTGCGAGTATAAGTGGAATTGTAGCAAAAAGATACTTTCGGATATCTTTCGCTTCATGCAATTCCTGAAAGTAAACAGGAAAAAATCAGGGAAAAAAATGAATGAAATAAGAAAATAATTGAATTAAGAATATACATTAAGATGAATTTACTCATTATCTGAAACTAGTAATGCAACTAACAAATGATATGATATAACTATTATAATATCGTTATCCTGATATAAAATGTATTTAAAAAAAATCAGAATATTCGGAAGCCAATTTCGAAAAAATCTCCTGAAGAAAAAGATTTGGAACAAAACAAATTTTTTGGAATAGAAGCAAGTGGAAGGAATTGTTTATTTCCAGCATTACATTAATGGCTAACCGTTAATAATTTGCATGGATTTGCATCCGTTGGTATATGACATTGTACATATTTGATATCCTTGGAACGATATTCATGAGAGCAGTTTCGGAAAATTTTTGGAACTGTTGTACTCATTATCAGCTGAAATTCTTTAGTTACTCAATTACTGAAATTACTTATTATTGAAAGAACAACCGGCTATATGATAGATATATTTTCCCTGCCAAAGTGAGTGTTTCTGCAAATCTTTTACCTTGCTTGCAAGATGCCATAAAATAGCAACAAAAGTGTGAAACTCTCTATGAATAATCCGCATAGCATTAGCAGTGGTCGTAATTCGGTAAAGATATATATCGGATTCGATTAAACATTAATTTCTTAAGAGGTGCACATGATGACAAATATTGGTTATCTTGTTGTCAATCAATCAAAAGGAAATAACTATTATACACAACTCATTTATGCACATAAAAAAAATGGATAGATCAAAGTTAAAATTCGATTCATTCTTTCTGCTCCCAAACATTTCCATACAGTATTTGTTCTTATGACTCACTGTTTAAAGTATTTTTAACTTTAAAAGTTTGTTTACTCATATCTTTTTTGACTTCAATTATAACATCGATATGTTAATTTTTGGAAACTTTCCCTCCCCAATAAAATTTTAGTTTTTCAAGTATTTCAAGGATTAAAAATTTCATTTTGAAACCGTCTTGGTTATAGATAATCGGCAAAGATGGCAAAATTGCACTATTTCGGCTAAAAAATAAAAGAAGAGAAGAAAGTATGAATGGAGAAAATTGCAAAATTAAAGATGAAATAAAGATGTAAGGAAAAAATATGGAAGAGTTAAAATAAGAAGGTCGGACAATTAACTTTAATTAAAGGTGAGTTAAACTGATGGCTTAACTTTTATATAACTCTTCATTTTTTTAATCATTGTCTTAATTAAAATCAAAGCTAGTTAGATTTGTCCTACTATAAAGTTTACGATAATAATCGTGCTTATTTCATGAAATAATATGAGTACCAAGTATTAATCGTTTTTCAAATTAACTAATATTTCAGTTATAAAATATATTTTATTCAATTTCAAATTACCACCTCTTTAGTATAAAATTTCAATTACGAATTACAATTATTTGCACATTATGAGAACGCTTTGTGCTAACATATATAATGATATTTGGTGGAAAAAAGAATAATGAGAAAATGGAGCAAATTTTTACCGCAAAGCAGAAGTGAAATTAAAATGGTCGTTGATTGTGGTGAGCGAATATCATCAAAAATCGATTACATTTCAAAAAATTTTGTTTGGAAGCCATAAAATAAATATTCGGGCATTGACACCTTTTGTAATGTCATTGGAAGAGAATGCAGATTACAGGGAAACATATAGAAAACTTACAAAAATGAATTAATATGAAACGTTTCGAAAAAATCGATAATAAATTTCTTTTTTTGTTTTTCTTTCGATAATCCAGAGTGATAGCTGATAATTTTATTAATCAATCAATAAAATCTCTATGATATAATAAAAACAGAATTGGACGTCAAAAGAAGCGATTATCTTAGTGGAAGAAAGATGACTTTTCATTCTCTCCTTTAGAGTGAAAATATTTGTTGATTTCGATTTCATGGGAACATTATTCATTCGTTTCAATGTTCCCACAGTAATAATGGTTCATTAGTTATTGGATTTTATAACAAAAATAGCACGCATATTGTAAATATTTCTGTAATACATTTAAGTTTGCTGAATCTGAAGAGATAATAAAGAGTTTAAAATTCTTCGTTTCTTTTTCTTTTCATACTGATTATTTTTGTTTTGCTATGATATATAAGGAAAATAAGCAAGGAAATGGAGATGTGTCTGTGTATGCATGTATAGATTTAATTTAGGACACCAATTAGCCTTTGACCTCAGACACAAGGGGAGCTGCTGAGTAGAAGAATTACAACCGTGCACAAATGCTGGACGATATGAGGTAAGTCAAAACTGGGTTCATTTCAAAATATTACCAACACCTTGAGGAAAATGTTGCTTCTCGGGATACTTTGATAGTTATCACGGCTGAAGGTTATCACGGCAAAGATATGTTATCACGGCTGAAGGACTTCTACCTGATAAGGAAAATCAAGTATGAATAATGCTTTATAAAATATTCATTCCTGATTCTTTTGCAACTGAATTACTCCAAAACAATAAAAACATTGCTAACATTGCTAATGAGAAGCAGATACTGCTCTAACTGCCTCCATTTCATTAGATCCAATGAAATGAAATAATTTGCTGGAATTCATAGATATTACTTGAAAGGAAAAAAAGGACTAATAGTCCTTGAGATAATCAAGGAGCGAGACGAGCATTAACATATTTAATACTGCCAGTGACTTATCATCATCAGTCACTATGTCTTAATTGCCACCTTCTCAAACATGCTATGAAATACCCACAGCACTTTACAACGAAGATATTGTGACTCATTTTTTTTAATTCGAAACTTCTTAATCGTAAGCAAAACCCTCTTTACATGCAGTTTCGCTTACAACTGCATTATTCCGCTCACCCATAATTTCCAGCCTTCTGTAAAAAAGGATCCTACCATTAATGTTTGTTTAATTAATATTGAAGGAAACTATTCCCGACCCAGCGCAGTATAAGAGGTCTTTCAGATTTATTGGAGTAACATAGGCATAGAAAAAATAAGGAAAATATAAGCAATAAATCAGAATAAACAATTTCAATTGCTATCAAGTCATAATTTCCATCTTTCTAAGCTGTTCAGTCACACAACTGCTTGATTAGGAAATAACAATAACAATAAGATTGAGGATAAAAGGAGAGGGAGAGGGAGAGATTTTGAAATGATGAAAGAAAGTGAAATTATATCATGGTTTTCATAGGACAGTAAATAAAATAATTATATATAGCAGATCTTCGATAAAAATCCTTCTATCCTCTTCTCAAAAGAACAGCTAGAATCTTTGACGCAAACCATATCTCAATTCGGCAATTAAAATGGAACTTCATACTGATGAGGTACATATAATGCAAGGAAATGCACATACATTGGTTACAACAAATGTTCAAATAAGATTTCAAAGGAGATACAAAATAGCATGTGTTTTGGACATAATCTAATAAAATTAACAAAAAATGAATTGCGGAAAATCAGAAAGATTCAAAAAGCTCTTTTTCGATAATTTTTAAATTTGATTGTAAGAAATTCCTTAATATGAGAAATAATGATAATTATTGAATAATTTCCCAAGAAAACATATGAAACCAAGAAGCTTATTACTCCAAATTTATGTAACAATTATCCAATAATGCATAATAAATTCTAAAATCAAAATTTATGGTTAGAACTAACAAGTGCAGATATTGGAGCAAACAGAATGGGAAAATAGACACTATAGGAGTGACAAACTGGCAATAAAATGACTGATGTTAAAAAGAGTCAACTTGGCATGACCTATATTTTCATTGAAGTTTCAAAAACTGAATAAGTAATAGCCAGATAAATGTCAGTAAGATATTTTGAAATGAAATATTAATTATGGATAATTTTACATAATTAAAATATATATACACAACAAATCATGAAGTCATTATGAAGCATTGATACTTTTGCTGGATAATTCTTTGAGTGCATTCAAAATTTTTACCACTGGACCAAGTTTCAATCCCAACAATGTTACTAAATTATTATGAGCATTATCTGGCAGTAACAACAGAGACTGGCCGTCGATATCCTGATTACGGAAAGTATTCGCACAATCCTCATTGCCGGTTATCGATGACACCCAACTTGCCACTTCATCACACTAGAACGAGAAAAAGATATTAAATGCCTAAATTCCAAACTATGCAATTACCACTTCGAATTTAATTTCTTACGCTATATACCGCCGATAAAATTTAATGTTAACACACATATAGAAATATACCCACAATATTCCAGAAAACTGATTAGTTAAGCAATCCGTTTCTTCTAGATACAGGAACTAATTAATGTCATCATTTGTAAAGCAATTATACAAAGGATCGAAGATAGTTTTCCCTCCAGTGTCCTGCCCAATGATCTTCAAATACTCCGAGGAAGACAAAAATCCATTTGTTCTTCAAGTATTTTGAACGGTTAAGTTATAGTAATGATCAAGAAATTAGCTACAGAAGATAATTAAAAATAAAATTATGTGATGTGCATATCAGCAGTATAAATGTATTACCTAGAAATAAAATGAGATTAAGAAATGTGGCAATTCATCTTTTATAAGAAAAACTACTTACGGTCCACGTTTTTGTAGGCCTAGAAAGGAAATCCATCGGTGCATGTTCAACTGCTGGAGCTATAGCCATAGCGGGAGAGACTGACGTCGACGGTATTTTACTGCATTCACCAAGCGAGTAAGAAGTGCACAAACCACGAGGAGACTTCACGATTTCTGCCTGCTGAGGTGAGACCATTTTCAACGTTAAGGTTGGAGGTGTTCGTTGTTGCAAATCAAAACTACCTAAATTTTAAATGAATTTCATTTATTGTGATTCTGATTACCCATAATGTATGTTTTTAAAATATAGCGTAATTTCATATTGAAAAATTATTTATTCATCGCTCTTTTAATAAAAGCTAACGCTAAATCAAACCAATCTTTTAAACACTTTTTTTACATATTGTTTCAAAAAAAACTTCAATTGCTTAGGCTGTTAATAACTTGGACGGTCTGATTTTCGTTAGTAATATATCTCTCTGTATGCTGTAAGGTCTTATCCTATTTCTATAAAGTAAATTCAGTAGATATATCAAATAACGATATCAACGATATACTAAAAATTCTTAAGAACCTGAAGAGGATGGTTCTGAAATTACGCTAAAATTTTGCACTGTTACTGTAGGACTGATATCTTTGTTAATCGGCGATGTATCCGTCGAACGAATAACTGGTAGTCGTGGCGATGCATTGAACGAGCGCCCAACTATAAAAAATCAGCAGTAACCAAAGAGAGAAATTGAACTAATCATTAAAACCAAATTTCCAAGAAAAAGATTGGAATCCTTCAAAAAAGAGTAAGAGACAGCAATCTAAACATCGCTTTATGCTTTCAGCAAGAAAAATTTATTCAGTCCTTAAATGAAATAAACTTCAAATCATTCGAGAAAAACTCATTCCTTGTTACAAATCAGATTTGAAAATTACTTCGAACTTTTAATGAGTAGAAGACAACTTCAAATATGTCCTGTACTCCAATTAACGAGTAGAAACACTAATAATATAAATCTACTAATATTTGTGGCATAATCTTCCTAAGCGACTAATAAAAGTCAAACCTTGATCTTCACTAATTGTTGGATTCTTCTTCCATAATTTCCGACATTTTTTTGAACAATACTGCGGATGGTTTTCCAAACGTTTTAGACGCAGCAAACCATTGCAATAATTACATCTCTCTGTGTCAAGCTCTTCATCCGAAAAACTAACTAACAAACTTCCAGTCGCTGTATCAGCACTACTTTTCGAAGAATTCAACGATTGATCAGCAGTTGCTGGACTTTCTAAGAAATCTTATGCCAATTAGCAAGTTCGAAATTTCCAATTAAATTAAATTTGAAGTGTACTTCAAAGATCGGTTGAAGCCCATATCTTTCCATATCCATATCATTAAAATTATCAAATCATTACCAATTACAGCTCATGAATATCTAATTTAACATTAGTTAGATGTACCATTGTTCGATGAGTTTCTCACGTCGTTCATTTCATAACATTTCATTAGATTGCTATGAACAATCTCGCTATTGGAGATTAGCGAATTTTCATATTATTTACAAAATTTACTATTTTCTGGCTAAGAGTAAAACGTGAAATATATTTAGAATAAAAAAAAATACCTTCACACTTTTTGGTTGCAGCTTTTGGCGACATATCCGCTGCGTCCTCAATAATGAATCTTTCCATTACCGGTTCACTTACTTCAGCTTTTTCTAATTTTTGCTTATCTATTGATGAGGAAGGTGGTCGGCCCTTTGGCTTTGACAAACAGCCCTTTGTTGGTGGAGGTAGTGGAGGAGGAGGCAACGTTTCTTTACTGGGCTTATAAACGGATTTTTGCATAATATCAGAAAGACGTCCATGTGATGGCCCAAAATCCATTTGTAACAGTCGATCAAGCTATAACATGACTGATTTGCTAAAATTTTTTGTTTCATTTATTAGTTTTCATTGTACAATAACGCTTTGTTCTGCGCGACCAGCCTTTATCGCTTGAAGACTGTTCAACGGACCTCGCTTCATGTTAATTTCTTGTAGGATTCTCAAATTTAAAACCCGAATTAAAAAAAAAAAACATAGTAATATGCGGAGAAAAGTGCAAAAACAAGCAAACCTCGTTTGTTTTACGTTTACGAGTTTTCTTTTCTGCTTTTTCACTAGACGCTTCAGATTTTGTTGGAGATGCTCTGCAAAGTTCGGCAAAAATTCAATATTTGACATTTGGATAAAAACTTGGTATGACGATCAAATCTGCCTGCGGACAATTGAAAAACATCATTATCATTTTTGTTCGAATGCTATGCGCAAAAAGAGATGAAAAGAGATGTATAACTCCCGAAGAGTATGTGGTAACAAATAATAACAAACTATAAAACTGAATGATTTAAAATATTGATCTTACTTTGCGCGCCCCTTTTTGACTTCCACTTTTCCGGCGTTTATTTTTAATACTGGTTCCTTATCTTTCTCACTAATTAGTTTCCTTGTCGCTGCAAAATAACTTCCTAAATTTTAATTTTGAAACTTGAAGTTCTGATAACATTAAATGAATTAAAGCTGTTTAATGCAATATTTTTAAGGCATCTGAAATTAGTATTTGTTGACTATTCCTTATTACTTCCATTATGCATTTTAAATTCAAAAGTACCCGCAATATTTATTATTTACAACTTTTAATAATCCGAAATAAAACAAGAACCAAAAACTAGGCCCTTGGCTTGTTTCATCATTTAAATTTAGTTTCTATTATTGCAAACGTACATGTACTCCATCTACGTTCTTTGGATACCTTCCTCCCATTTTTATCTTCTATCTCGGATAAAAGCCAATCACTTAAACGGCAAGGTGGATCACATGGGAACGGCTCATCTGATTCCTGAAAATACAGACTGTTTCTTTATACTACCAAATTTCTGCAAAATAAATTAATAAATTAACTTCCTGATGATCCCATCCGTTACCTCAATTTCAAATCCTTCGATCAAATGAATAATTTTGCCTTTTCGTCCCGTTTTTTGATAATATCGTTCGGCTTCCCTCGTGAACATCATATGAATATCGAGTGCATCTTTCGATTCCCCTAAAATTCAACAATAAAACTACTTCAATGATAAAATTCGATATATATCGGTAAATACTAAATAAAATAATTTTGTATGACAACTTATGATACAAATTTGGTGCATTATCAATTTAAATTCGCTAGAAAATACTTCAATAGTTGCTGCTTCTGTATTAGATTGTAGTGGTTCTGAATCGCACGCCTCAAATTCAGTCTGTTAATAAAACATGAAGACTTTTTTTGGAACTGATAAATCCGAAAAATTCATCAGCGAAAGGTCTCAATATGACCCTACTAGAAACTAAGATCTCTGAATATAAGTATTTCTTTTCTATCTATCTAATTTGCAGAACTAAAAAATAACCCTGAACAAGAAGTGGTGGAGGCTCATTTTCGATCCCCGAATCACCATAACCGTTGTCATCATCCGCAATTGCTTTCTGAGAATCATGGGAAATTGCGTCTACAAATCGTCTCTTAACTACGATAAACTGTTCTTCAACATTGACAAAACTTTAATAATAAAATCATGGAAATTTGATACCCCTAAGATCACGTAAACTTAATTTTCATAAAAATATGACCAACGAAACTTTAAACGATGAAATCCAGAACAATAAAAATCATGGAAATGCCTGGAAGTACAGAAATTATACAAAGGCAAACCTTTGAAGGAAAATTTAAGGAGAAAAACCTTGGACTTGAGATTGCGCTGATTGGGAAATTGGAAAGTGAGCAGCACTTTGTTGCTGCTGTTGAAATACCGGTATCATTTGGTGTGTTGGAACGGGTGGATTTGCGATCAATTGTTGATGTATGATTTGTCCATTTGGTCCCATGAATGGTACCGCGGCATGTCCCCCAAAGGAACTTAGTTGAGGCATCGGAGCAGACATGACCATCATCGGAACTGGCGCACCAACCGGCACCAAATTTGTAGGAGCTATTGGTTGAGGTGTTGCAACTACAATAAACCTAATTGACTGTATCAAACTTTCATACGTAATTCCCTCTTCATGACGGCTTCTGTCTCATCGACTTTCTTTAAGCTGTCCTATAGTTGCAAGAGTTTAGCTGGATGCTTAATTTAGAAACGCATTAGCAAAAAAACACATAAGTATAAGCAGGGAAATTAAATTGTGAATAAGGCTTTTAGGACTTAATGTTTTATATAGGAGAGCATTACGAAAAAATAAGCGATAAAATGATCAATACAAAATAAGTGATAAAATGATGAATTAAGAACTTGGAAATAAACTAACTTTTCACTGCACCCATCTTTCGCCCACTTCCCGAATGCTTAGTACCACCTCTGGCATTCTTTGATAAGGTTTCATTATCTTTTAAAGGAGTTGTCGGCGGCTTATTAGAAATTGAAACCATCTGTGACAATAATTGACTCTCTGGAATTATGTTCACATTTAAAAACTTGCAAATGAATTTTAACTAATTAATATAATTCCGGATATAGGTAGTAAAAGCGATGCCGAATACTAACGAAAAGTTTGTCAGAAAAACATTCTCAAGAAAACTCTGAAAGCTGGCTTGCATTTCGGAAAAAATATTTGATTTCATTAAGTCAGTTTTCAACATATATCCGATTTCAGGACCTTCTAGAAAACAATAAAACCATTTAAACAAAATCCACTGTTTCGAATACCCACTGAAATTGATTTACGAGCATATAAAACATATAAAACCTTTGTCAGTCGTTGGCGAAGCATTGCTCTCTCTTTGTTCTATGGTTGCTAATTCCTTGCTGATGTTGTTTGATGTTTTCTTATTTTTTGATTCAGCAGTAGCTGAAGTAACGGCTTTTTGAGAGGGTGAACTATTAGCAGAAGATTGCTGTGGCTGTTGATTTTGTGACTGACTTGTTGCCACCGCTTGTCCAATGCAAGCTGGAATTGATTGCTGTTGAGGTATCGCAATAGAGGTGCGCTGCTGAGGAGTAACCAACTCTGAATTTCGACCATTAATTCAAATTCGAATTCTATAATCTCGACAGAATGCAAAGAACACCTGAGAAGAGTGCACAACAAATTGAAAAGAAAGACAAAAAATGAAAACTTACGATGCACATATGTGTATGCTCCGGATGGCATCTGGAAGACAATACCTGATGAACCCGGTGGTGCACGGAGTTGGATTCCTACAAATGAATTTTTGATAAGTGCTGGAACTGCTATTGTTAGTAGAGCGAATAAAAAGGTTCTTCACTATATGCTTTAAATGTCTTTTTTTTTAACCTGAAACATAAATTAAAGCAACTGGAAATTTGGAAAAAGAATACGAAGAAAAGAAATTAGCCATTATAAAGCGAAGAATATATCAAAACGAATTATGAGATTAATTAACCGTACTTAATTTACAAGGATACATACCTTGGGAAAACATTGATGGTTGCATCTGCTGCACTGATGCGGTTCCCAGCTGTTGAGGGGATTGTTGCTGCTGCGCTGATCGTCCCAATGATGTATCATTTCCTTGTCCAACAGTAAATGACGATGTTGTTGTGGTAACCGTTGTTACTGTAGTTGATGGTATATGTGTACTAGTCGCTACTACAGCAACTAAAATTTCTTTTTTATTCGCTCTTCTGAATATCTACAGATAACATAATTTCAGTTCTTGATACTGAATTTCGAGTTTTACCAATAACAATCAGAGTATTTCCCTTTACATAAATATTAATTTGTATTGGGAAATTATAATACTCAATAAAATTATTTTAATAGAAGATTCCATGCAGCGATGAAAATAATGCGTAAAATAACCACAGTTATGACATCTCTACCAAAATTACCCCAATTTTCAATGTAATCTTTTTCATATAGTAAATGAAGATACAACCATCAAATCTTCAAATGAATTAAAACATTGAAAGTATCAATTATAGAAAATTAGCATTAAATATAGACATATAGACCCGATGATTCTATTTTCATATATAATTTTGTGAGACATCGAAAGCAATATGGGACGAACCTGATCCTGATCCTGGTAATGGTTTTGGTGCTAGATTTCGTGCAAGTTGCCCCAGTGTTGCGTTATTAGCGACAAAACCTGGCTGCACATACTGCTGCTGTGAAGACATCTGTAAAATCAAAACAAACAAGTTACCACAAGATCAAATTTTGAATTATTGCCCAGAATAATAATCTTTCAAGATTTCTCAAAAATTTAAAACCTTTCTGAAAAAATTCAAAAATCAAAAAGATAACATGATTACACCAAAAAAAGAATATTCGGGTGACAAAAGACATCAACAAATCAGGACAATCTCAATACAAGAGTTTACGTCCCATAGAAACGATGATGACATGAACTTCACTGTACAAAAACAAGTGGTTTGACGGAGAAAGTTAAAGTCTGTTAAAAATCGTCAACGTTTACCAAAAATTCAAGAGAAATGGAAAACCTTTATCAATGCATGCATTCTTTCTCTCTATTTAGTTCTATAAAAAACAAACACCTTAAAAATACACAAATAACCGCTCTAGAATAAAAATATATCACCAAACTACTGCCATTGCTCCTAATTTTATTCATCTATACCACCCTCAGTCCTGTTTATTATAAAAAAGCAAAGAAATAGGTAACATTTACGCTTATGAAGAGAAAAAAAAACCTTGAATTAAAAGATTAAAACTATATAAAAATTGATCAAAAATAGTTCTAAAAATGAAAAAAGCATGCAAGCAGTGCTGGTGGAAATGAAACGAAAGGGAAAAACCAAATCCATGCCGGGTGTGTGTGACGATATTGTTGCTGTGAGTAAAATTGTTGAGTGGCAGACACTGTATTTGTAGAATTTTGAATCGACTGTACTTGTTGCTGTTGTATCACTTTGAAGAAATCCTGTGCCGAAGTGGTAATGGTGCTAGTGCAGGATGTTGTTGGTGCAGAAAATTGTTGCTGTTGTTGCTGTTGCTGCAAATGAAGTGGAAACTAAATTTAAAAAAAAAACAAAGGAAAGAAGAAGAACAATAAGAATAGTTAGGAAGAACTATAAATTGCAGATGGAAAAATAACGCGCTAGAATTGGCTCTACAGAAAATTAAATATAAAAGAACTGAAAACCAAAATAAATTGGAATAACAACAGCAGTGCGGATTGAAAATGAAAGTGATACAGTGCGTAGATTCAAACAATAAAAGAAACTTCAACTTGTCAATAGAAAATTACTATTTCGGAAATTACCGGTCTAACAGCAGCAATTTGTTGATTTGCACCGAAATATTGCGTTGCTGACATCATGTAGCACTGGCCATTATGATGAACAAGCATGAATTGCCCAGGCTGAATATTACAGAAACTTTCAATAAACAATCAAAATATAGATTTACACTTTCATTTCTTTATAACAATATAATTCAAGATAATCCAATTGTTGAAGTTCTATGTCTTCTTAGTTATTAAAATTAGCGACAAACCAAATAAATGAACAGGACTTTCACATTAGCATAATGTTACTTGTATCTTATATAATATTACTTCTTAGATATAAAAAACAGAAGATATTCAAAAAATTTGCTTTATTAAATTAAATTCATCAAAAATCAACAGAAAATACATTTGTTTACAATAGGACACATGAGAAATGAAAAAATTATTTTTCATAAAAATTGGAAGAAAATTACCGAAGCAGAAGTTAGCATTAACGGTGCTTGTGGAACCATTTGCGTAGCAGATGAACTAACAACTGTAGTAAAAGTTCTAAAAAAAAGAAAACACATCTACGAAAAACGAATACAAAACGATTTTGTAGCATTGAAGAACAAACTCAATTAAATTCATCCATTATGTCTAAGTTAAACTCAAACCCATGTAAACTTTGCCAAAGCACCAGCGTTCTAATTCATGTAGCAGTATTACACTTTTATTTACTCTGCTAAAAATCTTGTCGATACAGTATCAAAAGACTCTTCAATATATTATAGAATACATCCCATGTGAAATGCGATATGATGCTTATAATTCATGCCATATCACTAAGACCGAATTACTAAGATACGCTAAGGAGTAGTGGGATTATTCAGTGAATATAGCAGCAAGTAAATATCTTTAAAATTTTCTGCCGCTGAACCTCTTCTTTCAGATGTACCTCGCAAAACTATTTCAACTCCATATTACCAACTTCAAAACCAAAAAGTTGAAATCTTACTTCGCTTTATCGGCAGCATCTTTTTTTGCACGGGATGTTGGCTTACGACGACTTTTTGGGGTTGGTTGTGGTGTTGAAGATGTTGAAGAAGTCGTCTCCGCATTGCTACTACTTGCTGATGTTACTGTTGCTGCTGCTGTTCCACCACTGCTAGCAATAACATTGGTTGCATTTCTGTTATCCGATGTTGCACTTTTACTCGATGATGATACAGATGTGTTAGAAGAGGCTGAAGTATATATAAATCTGAACTGTTCTCTATTTATGTGTGATAACTGTTGCACAAATATACAGAACTACTAATATTAATTCGAACCAAAAAATGAAACTTGAATTAAATGAAGTACTATGAATGATTACTAAAGACAAAAACGAAACAACGTCAAATTTAAGCTGAAATTTGAAATTTAATGAGATATTTGCAATCTTGATAAGTTGTAATATCTAGACTGAATGAGGAATTAAAATTCAAGTATATGAAGAAATTGCGGGTGGTAATCAACAGAAAAAGTGCATGCTGATATTGGATAATGCAAATTAGTAATTACAAGTGAATCACAACCTGAAATAACCTGCGTTGAATCGGAAAGAGAACATGATGAAAGTGACACAGCAGTTGTTGTTTTGGTAAAGGAATCATTACTGCTAGATGCCAATGTAGTAGTACCAACACATGTCACGGTCGACATTGAATTGTCTGCAGTCGTGGTAACACCACACGTAGCTTGCTTTATAAGCACTGGTGGTGGATCGTTGTCACTCATTTCATTCAAACTATGAAGTGCACAATTCTTAACTAGCTGCACAAAATAGATGAAATTTTCACAAGCAGTGGAATGTGAAATGAAAACTCCTAACACGTAAATGCAATTCGATGACGCAATTCGTAAATGCAGTTTAAAATTTCGTACAAAAATGCAATCTTATTCGTTTTTCGGTAATATAATTTGACACCACAAGCTTTATATTCTCCTGAGACTTACAGATATTCCGAGTTAGCACGCTACCTCCATTCCCCAATCCCCGCATCAATGAACAGCTACCTAATCTGACCCCACATCTTCCGGTCTTGCAACCCCACCTGCTTTCTTATCTCTGAATTCTTCGTGCAACACAAAATTCGGATGAACATGTGGTCATCTTCAGAATATTCTCTAATATTCGCCATGGTCGGTAGACGCTGGTCGCTAAATTCCTTACTTTTTATTTATGGAAGAAAAAGAGGTGTGGGTGGATGAGAAGCATATACAGATGAGTTATTATGTGAGGTTCATGTCAAGATGAAGTCTGTTCGGATTTACACAAGGAAATCTTATTTTGAGAGACGAACTTTAGAATAAAGAGATGATAAGAATATTGTGGAAAAGTACTAAAACGATATAGAGACATAAACATAAATATAAATGCAAAAACACATTAGGACTTACTCTGAAAGTTGTGTAAGAAGATGTAGATACTTGCTTGATACTGTCTAAGTAAATTTTAGTCTGTAAGTGAAGTGTCAGGATTTGAAGTATCAGAATATTTGGAACATGACAAATTAGCAATCGTTTCGAAATACAATATGCAAACTCTTCTTTTGTTTTTCAAGTTTTTGAAATTTGATAGTTCTCAGTGCAGCCGTTCATAGTTTAGCTGATGGATATACTAAATTCAGGAAGTGTATTTTTGACTAGATTTGGTATGGCAGTCAATTAGTTTTCGTTAATCAATTTCTCATACTAAACGAGGGTTGAATAAAATGTCTATTAGTTGCTAAATGAGCATTATTATATTTTAAAATACTATGCTGTCAAGTTATAACTTAATCGTACGTTCAAGTTTTAGATAAATCAGGATTTGATAATTGAGGAAATAGTAAGCAGCAAAAGTGATTGTTGGCATATTTGTTGCAGATATCGACGATCTACCGTGGTCTGTTTCTAGTTATCCAGGAAATTCAGCGATACTGATTAATGGCGGGGGTCAGAGGTAATACTTGAGTTAATGATTTTTTTCTATTAGACTTACTAGTGATAGCAATCCTGTGACAGAAGTAACTCTTTAATAGTTGCACTTTTGAAACTCGTAATCTTGATGGTAACCTCCGTAATAGTAATAGTCTCAAGCGATAGTGCCAGTCTTACTGGAAAGAAGTAATATTAACAGCAGAGATTCGCTACATTCTCATCTGAGCGTAACATGTGAAGTTCCTAGGTAACCACTTTCTTATTTCATCCACCCTGTCAACATTCTTCATCCATTTTCAAAATATCTTCGTTTTATTGTTTTTGATTTTTCTTTTTTGCATTAATAATAAGTAATCCTTAAAACATTAAAAAATGCAAAACAACCAGAAATGCAGTCATTTATTACAGTATCGTTATCATGAAGCAGTTTACCTTATCGTTAATAGAAAAAAATGATATTGTTTTAGCGGTTGTGCTCTTGGCGTTATCTGGTGTGGTTGGTCTTACGCTGCTTGTTCTTGGATGTGCGTTGCCAATGTTCGGGTAAGGAAACAAATTCAAAGTAGTTTTTTACGTATTATATTTTTTCGTTTGCCATTTATTCGCAAATATAAAACTAATGGGATTAATCATATCATAATCTGAGAAAACTTTTAATTGTAGAGGAATTCTACGGTTTATTGAAAGAAACTTTTGTTTAGTATTTGGTGGCCATTATTCGTCGTAATCTTCTATGTATTGGCTCCAATACCATTGTCAATAGCTCGGCGATCTCACATTGATATGACTGGTACTTCAGCATGTATTGAATTTTCATTATTCATAACCACTGGCATTGTCGTATCAGCGTTTGCATTACCAATGGTCCTTGCACATGCTGGAGTAGTAAGTTTTGATGAACTTGCCTCGAATCATGCAGTTGTTATTAATCATCGAAAGCGAAGGAGTGCACTGAAAATTTCTTTTATGGAGGGTTCATTTAAATTAGAACATAATCCAATGACTTCACACCATTTTTCTTATTTTTCTGGAATATACTTTTCAAAAATTTTGCATGTCATGATTTTTAGTTGTTGAAGTGCATGATTTTGCATGTAATTTGTTTCTTTTACTGAAGTACTGAAATCATTGGTTAATTCATATCCTTTTTGACAAAATGTGTAATTGATAAAAATAGTTCGAAGTCAATTGAAAACTTACGAATTTGGCCCAAGAACACGTAGTTTTTTCTACAAAAAGAAAACTTTGGGTGATCCGTCTGAAACATTTTCCGAACTATTGTAGATAATCAGAAGATTATCTGTCTGGAAGTAGTTTATATCTCGTTTTGGGGTTAGTGCGTGCTCCTACTCGTAAATGAATGTCACCCATCGATGAGGATCCCATTTAATAATTAACTGAGGATCCCATTTAATAATTAACTAAGTATAAAGTTATCTGCTGGAGGTATATTTTCGATTTAAATCTAACATCTAAAATTTTTGCTTTTCTTAAATTTAAATTTGTTCGAAGTGAAAATCTGAATATATTAAATGTATTTTGTCTCCTTGTTGTGATACTACTCATATAGTAGTATTTGTTGCACGCGGGTACTTTTTTTATTAATTTAGATCAAATGGTTGGCATGTTTATGCGCAAATCTTGGTTCTGTGGTGATGTTTTTGACGATCCTTAGTTATTTTTATTTACATCGAGAAGATGATGGAAGTGGATGGAACCAAACGCTCTTCTGATTGATATTTTGGAAATTCGTTATGGAAATCGATTATATAGATTGAGCAGTGGTAAATGCATGTTGTATTTTTCATTTGCAAAGTTTTTTAGTCATAAAGTGTCAAAAAATATAACTTAAGGTTGTAGGTCTTAAAAAGTGAAATGCTATCAAAAAGTATCTTTAACGAATTCATAGGTTAGGAATATAGTCTGTTTAGTGATTCAGATACTAGGCTGATTTAGAATTATTCCGATTTAGTCAACAAATGCATGAGTTTGCTTCTTCTTTCTTCGGCTTCTAGCTATTTGAAGGGACTTCGCCACAACCGCGAACAAATTTTTGAAATGTCCTTTGACTTAACGTGAATGGCAGCTTAAATGATCGAAAATTTATTTGCATCAAGCTTACTTATTGATAAAGAAACATGCATATTTCATGCAGTTTCAGTGTTCGCAATGTTTGGAGTATTTTGTCTCTTTAGATGCTTAATATGAGTTGTCAATTCCGTAATTTTTCTTTATTTTTGAAGTAATGAAATAAATATTGCGGGGTACTAGTTCTGAAAATTAATCGGCATATTTTCCTTAGAAAAGGATTCACAAGTTAAGAATATTATCTAGATTTAGAATCGAAATTAGATTAGAATGAGCAAAGGAATGTGAATTAAGCTGTTTTGCTCCCATGCTTTAACATACATTCTGTAACATTTTCAAAAATTCAAAATTATATAGATTACAATCTGAATCAAACTTTTAAAAAATGCCTATGGAATTGTTTTACCAACATTACGTATTTTTATTAGTGTGAAGCATTTATATGTATATTGTACTATATGAAGAGTTATATATTAATGCTACGCGCGTATTTCTAGATGTTTCTAAAAAAGCGTCACTCTCACCTTTTTCATATGTTAAATAATTGGTCTATTGGTGAAAGTGAATTATTAGAAGTAAAGATTTATTTGTAATTTACTGATCTTTCAAACATATGCTTCGATTTTTTTCTGTTCAACGGACAACGATTTTTATCGATTACAGATACCTGGTCTGTCGTATTTTTTCGTCTTTCTCGCCAATGTTGTTTGTTTTGGTGCAGTTTGGATATATTTCAAAGTGTTCAACGAAAATAGCTTACACGATATGTCACTCTGGTGAAATGTCCTCGCTTTCTTTTCATCACCTTCATCACATTGCTTCGTTTGCACTATTTTGATATATTTTGTGTTTTCTTAGGAGAATCTTTTGTAAAGTTAATGTTTCCGATTCCATATATGGAGTTTTATTTCAAATTCCAGATCGAATTTAAAATTTAGCACTCTTCACATATGACAAGCGGTATTTGTATGCTGAAGTATCGGGACAACACACGCTGGTAAGGGCTCTGGACAATCGACTATTGATGAACGTGTCGAATCAGGTACGTAGATTAAGAGAGGCCCGACTCGGTTCAAATAATTTTTCTAGTTTAGACGAGACACTCAATGTCACTGAGTTGTTGACTCCCAAGATGGAAAATAGTTTCAGAATATTAACTTCTATCTACATTTCCTTGGACTTTGGTGCTTATTTTTCTATAAAACCCTTCATTTGCATAGACTTCATGAATCACTTTTAAAATGTGATTTTTGTTTTTTCCGAAATCGACCGAATTCTTTGTTTGGGTACATTTAATGCGGTCCTACTTCAGACACAATAAATATCGAACTTGTTTTGTACGCAACTCTCTTTTTGTCACACAATATGCAATGTGTTTCTGCACAGATATTGTTTAATTTTTTGTGCATTTTATTTTGTTTAATTTCTCAGCTCGCTTCACCTTGATAATGTTTGCAGCATTGCTTGACTTCATAAAGTTTCAAAAACTCAAAAGCGTACAACTGTGTGTTTCTATATGTTTCTATAAAGGTGGATGCAGAACTAACCAATTTAGCATGCTGTTCATTCTTGGTTTGGGAGATATAAAGCATATGATACTTTGGGGAACTCAATAATACTGTGTGGAAAAAACACTTTATAACATCAGAACCGTTTCTCAGTTTTTTTGAAAATTTAGATTTCAGGTCAAAAGATTTAAGTGGAGTTTAAGGTATTTGTTTTCTCAAAACGGAATTTGGGGTGAAACTTCCCTATACAATATTGTCTGAGCATAAGGCTGATGAATTTCTGCTCTACAACCCGTTGTGGCATGATTGACCTGGCATACATCCCGCGAACAAACCTGACAGCTAGAATATTGGAATTCAGAAAAATGTATGGAAACAAATTTGAAATGCATTTTTAATGGTGGGTGGCCGCACATAAAAAAGGGCTATTGCAATCTGAATTCCTTGAAAACCTGAACTAAAGGCTATTTCATGAAATAAGTTTAAAGTTCTAGAGTTTTGACGATAAAAAAAATTAAATGTAAACAACTGTAAAGTACAGGCGAGTCAGGAAAGCAACGATTTTATGAGCTTGTTTAAAACATCCCTTGAGCCATTACTGGTAATCTAAAGAGATAAAATGAGGTGGTTGTGACACTTCAAGTGATTTGCAGGTTGGCTGTGATTGATGAATGAATTCATGGTCCTGAAAGGGAAAACAATGTCGATTAAGGATCAAAAAGGACATCCGGAAAATCTTCATTTGTTTTTTTCAAAGATACAAAGACCACTAACTTCAATTTTCAATAATCTCGGTCAAGTGTCTGGTAGAGGAGGGATGGCAAGTTTCAAATAGCTACTACTTTCAATGTTTCTGGGAATATTTCATCGGTCTTCAGGTCGCAAAAGTGTAAATTTCGCTATACATTCCATTATCCAAGTCGGTGTGATAAGGCTGATGAATTTCTGCTTTACAACCCGTTGTGGCATGGATTGGCCTGGCATATATACCGCGAACAAACCTGATAGCTGGAATATTGGAATTCAGAAAAATGTATAGGAACAAATCTGAAATGCATTTTTAATGGGAGGGTTGCCGCGCATGAAAAGAGCTATTACAATCTGAATTTCTTGAAACCTGGACTAAAGACTATTCCATGAAATAAGTTCAAAGTTCTAGGATTTTGACGATAATGATGCGCATATTACCTCACTCAAATCATTTCCTTTTCTCTGTGCATGATACGGTCTTAGCCCACTCTCGACATATTCCTCCGCTCTGGGCTCTCTCCCAAGTATCACACCTCCAGCCAACTGAACCAGTTTTTTGATTTCACTTTCTCGATATGGTAAGTATTTATGCTTGCAAAAATAAAAGTGACATCCTCGAAAGAGTCCTGGCTTCTGGAAATATATAATCTCTGAAATGTTTACAAAATTTATATGGAAGCTGGAAATTCTTCTGCATCATTTTTTTTCCTAAGAAATTTAACTACATCTTATTCGATGTGAATTTAATACATCTTATTCGATGTGAGTAAGACAAAATTAGCTTGCCGACTGACCACTTTTACGGAGTCCTTTAAGTTGCCCCTTATGGATTCGCTGCACTGAAAGATCAGGTAATCTCAGAATCGTCAGCTAGGGAGACTTAAAGTATCAAAACAAAAATTGTAAATCTGTATAACAGCGCAAAACTGCAGAACAGAGAGGAACAATGTAAACAAGTAGGAAAATTTTTCATTTTTCTTGCTTTCGTTCCTTCTCTGAGATCAGCCAAAGACATATGCTATAAAAAATTCATCAGAAGAATATGTCACTGAGAACTAATTCCATTTCGACTATTGATGATAAATTTAAGCAGAGAATGCGTAAGGTCTGTAACAGGAGAGCCGTGAAATTATTGTGTGCTGCACTTTTTAATACCACTAACATCGAAAGTATTGCACTATTGCACTTATTGTGATAGCAATAACGAAAATTATCATTGTAATTAAAAGCTAATTTAGAGGGAAACTGACCATCCTAGCATTGTTTTTTCTAGCTGTAGAACATGAATTTGTGGCAAGCAGCTGACCATTCCGATTAATAGTTGTAATTTCATACATTTCTTCATCCACAATATCATTTGCTTGCAAGCATGCATCCAACCATTCACTCGTTAAAATATATTGTCCACGTAGCATAGCTTCCAGAATTTCAACTTAAAAAACATACGAATCATTGAATTGAAAATGTAGTAAAAATTGTTGACTGGTACAAAAAAGCTAGTTACATTCCTTCAAACTTGCAGTCAACAGAAAGACTTCTTTATCCGCACAGTTTCACGTACACACTTAAAAAAACTGTTCCTCTTTCCACTTCCCATTTTTTATACTTACGAGTTGCTTCAATTTCGCTATGGCCTCCTTTTTTGAAAGTATCTCTGAGGACTGCAAAATTTTCAAACAAAACGTACTGGTGATTTCTGCTGTTCGATTCTCTGCTGCCCGAATAATTAAATGTGAGGCAGTATCGAAATTTATAGCATATTTTGAGAGATCAATGAATAAAATTTTGCCGCACTCGAACTTTACATCAGGTAATGTTGCTGATAAGAATATGGAATATTCCTTTAGTTTTCGAGAAAGATATACTAGAAAAGATATATTTTGTTTTATCGAAAATCATTTATATTTTAAATAATTATTTTATACACGAAGGACTTATGATTAAACTTAGATTCAACTTATCATTCAAACACACGTCCATAAACGTCAGTGGCTAAAAAAACTACTATGCTACTATTTGCTTGCTACTATGCTATTGAATAACCTGTGTTTGCTACTGAATAACCTACTAATTCACTATAAATTTGTTAAGACATTGAAGGATATTTTATTTGATCTTAAAGAAGTAATCTTCTTCACTTATGATATGATACTTCGAATGTGTATGTTCATGATTTTGACATGCATCAATCAAAATACTTATTCACTTGTCTGAATGCCGTTAAACATCGTCAAGCAAATAAGCGTAGCTGATCTACTCCAAATTTCATATTTCAGCGTGTCTATTTTTTTGAACAAACTAAACATACCAATTTGAACAGGATGGGAAATTCTGCTAAATACTGCTCGTATTTCTTCATCGTTAATAAAATCCATCGGTGTTTCACCCTGTAATCTAGAGTTTATTCTTCCAATTCACCAAAATTTTCGAATTATACAAAAAACGTTGCGGAAAGATAGATGACATTTTTCTATGACAGATAAATAAAAACAATAATTAGGCTAGAATTAGCTAGGTAATGCGTAAATAACCCGCGCTACATCAATAAACAAATGCAAAGTAAAGTTACTTTTAAGTTACGCGCTCTTCTATCCGCGCCTTTTGATAACAAATATTCCACAGCATCAATAGCTTGCCAGCGTACCGCTGCGTGAAGTGCTGTCTCACATAACTCTCCACCTATGTAAAATTTATGGTTACTTAAGTTCTTGGAAATTACGATTTTTCATTTTAATGAATTACCACAGACAATGGAACTACTCGATTATCTAATATATCGCATCTCTCGGTTGCGATATGATCGATATGATCTATTTATCGTGTTGCTCATATCAAACTATTTAGTTTCAACAAAATTTGACAACAAGATAAAAATAATTTTGATTCTTAATTTCAATCTGGCAAAATTATTTCAAATTTTAAAAACTATACCCTACCATGTGCATTGATAAGAGCACCATTTTCAACCAAAATTTTGCAAATTTCGGTGTAATTATGAGCTGCGGCATGATAAAGCGCCGTTAAACCGAGATTATCACTTTCATTAGCATCTTTCCCATCCTATAATTAAACAAATGAAGAAATATGAATTTAAAATTACTGTTCACCAAATCAAATCCATCCGTCTCTTCTATCATAATCACAAGTGTATCATTCTACTCATCGCACTGCAACAAGAATTATTACCTTTAAAGCTTCCAGAAGCTTCTTTTTCGATCCACGTATGGCTGCATTTACCAGATTATATTCGTAGCGATGAGAAGCTAATTTGTGAGAATTTTGTGATGTTACTGTTGCTAACGGGATCGCATTTGAACTTTTGGTACTCCGACTTTTCAATTTACGTTCCGAATCATTAAACTGAAAATTTCTTTTGAATGGGAAACATTTAAATGCTGGAGATTTTAAAAACTGTAATAAATATAATCTTGAATTTTGGTAGTGAAATTGCAATAAATCGTTTTGAAATACACACTTGTGCCACGATCAGAGGATGTTACTTACTTTCCTAAGTGATGCAATCTACGGACAACCCTATAGAACGATTTAACCGATTTGGTGATCCATCTCATATGAAAAGTTTACTAATAGATTTATAAAGATTAATAAAAGCTGCGAGTTTAAAAATATACTACCTTCTTCTTTGTTATGATTCTACCAAAAGTATTTTTGGGTGGTTTCTTGAAGAACTGAAAATTTCCTGGCTCATCATAAACACGCATTTGTTGAGTCATTAGGGTATCATTTTGGACGGAAGTTCCAGCAACAACAATATCTTCTATTTGCGTGAATGGTGTAACATTATCTGATAGTGAAACGGAGCCCAATACATCACAGTTCAGAATAGGGATTGCTCTGGAATCGTAAATTAATTGAAAAACAGCTCTTTATTATTGCTAAAAATCAAGCAAATTCAATTTATAGAAAATAAATTCATATATGTAGAAGAACATTGAAACTATTTTTGAGAAAAACTAAACGATACAAAGACTTGCTCTGATGGTAGCGCTTTTGGTTGTCCATTTACAGTCGCACGACTAACATCATCCTTGATTACAGCATATTCCTGCGTAGAACAAAACTCTTCTACTGTTCTTCGTTGTTCATCTGTTTCAATTAGGCTAAGTACAATTTGTCGATCACATTCGGAAAAGGTAAACTGTAATATTATCCAATTCTATTATGTTCTTTGACTGAGCTTATATCGGGACTTATAGCATATTAATGCCATTAAACAACATAACTTTGGACATGGAGACATCAAGAATGTGTTTCAAGATTGAGAAGTATTAACACTTTTCAACTTATTTTCGTAAAGTCTTCAGTATTTTTTACCAATAAGTCTTTATATTATCTAACTCCAAAATACCAGTCTAGTTTTTTCCATGTTGTGGAATGAACTATATGAACGGGAGAACTAACTTTAGCAAGAGCTTCCTTCAGTGACAAAAGATTTTGAAAAAGCTGATCAGCAAAAGTGGCCGACTTCACGTGTTGCAATCCAACAGGTAGTAAACATTGTGGACATAACGGGAAAGACTTTTCATCACAGATTGCGTCGACGCATGTCCTGAAAATGTCATAGGTGAAAGTGTCATAGGTCATAGTTACTTGACTTATGTTATTTATTAAGACAAAATTTGAACCCTTCACGTATCCTCTATTCGGGATAATTTAGGATAGTCAATATATATAAATTTTCAAGTTCTTCAGAAGACTTTTCTCAACCTCGCATTAATTTTCAAAAGTATCAAAATCAGTAGCAACAGTATTAGAAGTTATCATGTGAAGTATCTAAAACTTGGCATAATACTTCAATTAAAGACTAGCAAATCAACTAAGTATTATTATCTGCTAGGAGGAGGACTCCGATTAGTGAATGATGCCTATTGTTTAATTAAATTTTTCAATCTAAAGAATCAGTTCAGTTCCTGATAGTGGAATACCATTTATTCCTTACAGCGAGCATGAAATTTGAGAGTTATTGGATCACATTAATAAGCTTTGTCATCTCGACTTTAGATAGTGAGGTCTTTCTTTCGCCCAGCATTCTGAGTAGTCTATATGAGTGAACCTATTCCTTCTGAATAGTATATTCTAAGACACAAACCTAGAGACGAAAATCTAAGGTGGAATTCGCAAAGACTTGCAAAAAGCTAGAGTTTTTCTTAAATTTTGAGTTTTAAACAATCCCGATGATTTCCAGGTTTATTTCAGAGGTAGACAAGAAATTTACCAGCAGAAGACATGTTTGCAGGATGATCCAATAAACTGCAACTTATCGGATGGCTGATGACTGAAACTTGCAAAGTTTACGATAATTCGATGAAATTTCCAGAAATTTTATTCACAGAAATCCGTTAAAATTATGAAAACTTTTGATTATTTAATGAAACATTTAAAATTAAATATTAATTTTGTCAAAAAATCAAATCTCATTCTCTTGAAAATTGGTGAGAAGTTAGTAACTGCTACGAAATAAGCAAGAAATCTACGCAATTTTTAATCTTGATTAAAATATAATAAGTACCATTGATCACAACATATGCTTTTCAGGAATGCTTCTGCGTGATTTAGTGTTGAAGCGAACATTACTTTATTTGGATTCACAACCTGGTCCGGTCGAATCGATAACTTATCCTGGAAGCTACAGTAAAATTACCGGCCACATCTGCAAACATTGTCGGAGCAGAGTATGGAACTAACATATAAATTCCTCTTGAAATTCTGACACAGGCACATTCGTGCCATTTCATAGTCACAACTCCAACAGCAGGGCAACTGGACAACCTGACCTTCAACCCCCAACAGCGTGACTTTGATTTTTGAATTCAAATTTCTTCTCAGAGTCATTTTGCAATTTTTTACATCTCAAGTCATTTCAAGATATAAAGTTATTGTTGTTCCCTCTTTGATTCGTCGGTAACTGAGCGTCGTGTCTAAGAATTTAGCGTGTTCTAGTCGTTTGCATGCTTATTACTTATTTGCTTTATTGCGAGAAAAATCTAATAAACTTGTAAATTAAATTATGCAGTTAGTTTAGATAAGAATTAACACTCAAAATTTCATTTATAAAAAACTATCTACTCGTTTATTTTATTCACTAGCTTACAGTTCTACCCACATTACTAAATTTATAGTTGTTAAATGTATATTCTTTAAACATGTATTTATCGTCCAAAAATTTATGATTCTAATATACGCTTGATCAGTTAATAGAGTGAAACATATAATTTGAAGATTAGTGTACCTGAACACTTGTTTACTTGTTAACTGATTCATAGTTTCATTTCAGACTTAACCATTGGAAAAATTAAGATATACAATTAATTCGATAAATTGTCCTTGTTTGTCCTCCAAAAAATATGTTGGAGAATTAATATATATTCTCGTATTAGCTTAGTTCTATCCTTAGCTCATTGAGAAGCAAATTGGAATGAATAATTTTTAGATAAAGGAGAAATCATTTCAATTTGCCAATTAGCCAATAAGTAAATTGAAATAGTTCTTTATGACTTTTAAAGACTTAAGTTTTATCCCATATAGAATTACTTTGATAATCCGAAAGTAGAAAAACATTTTTCTATTGAGAAATGGTTGATTAACTTTATTAAGTTACGGTATTTCAGCACAATCTTTTATTCTGGAATGATAGCAAGTAAGTATTCCTTTGTATTGGTAACCGGAATAAAGTTTATGATGTTGATGATCAAAGCACTTTATTTCAAGTATCGGTTGGAAAATCGGAAATTATACTTATGATAAAGAATTATGAATAATTACCAAAACTATTCATATTTCTTACCATAAGCTATAATGTATCAATGTTTATGATAACGTTTCAAAAGTATAATATATTCCACGCAACTGATGAACTTCATCATAAATTTGCTTTTTTTAATTATTCAGTATGAGATTAAGATAGCGAAGAAGAATTGGATAATCCCATCCTAAATTTCCAAACATCATATTTATAATCCGAAACTTGAAAAATTATCCTTTTGTCACGGTTAGAGGGAACTAATAGGTATAAATTTTGTCTTTCCAATTCTTAAAATTTAGAATAATCTTTTGATAATACAAAATCAATTATTGGCTATCATAATGATACTATCTGCTTCATTCATGTTTCCATTTCATTTTCTCATACTTTCTCTGGCGCACTGATCAATGACGTTTCCATCGACGGAGGTGGTTTATTTCCAAATTGCCTTTTACGTCCAATTCGACATATATCGACGATCCGCCTACTATATAGCTAAAAAAAACATAAAATTATAAACATCGAACAAATTCCATATCATTTTTAAAGATAATCTGTTCAAATACAGAAATAGCCGAATTTCATGCCAAATTTGAATTTGAAAATGAACTAAACAGTGCATATGATGGAAGCAAGATAGTTTTTAATGTCCGTTTAGATATATTGTCAGAAAATATCGAAGGAAATAATTTAATTCAAGCAGTTCAATCAAAAGTATTGGTAAATAGTGGATGATCGGTGGTTTGTAATTAGAGAATCCTTAAGAAATTCCGGCATAGGTTAATATAGCATAAATTCCCGAGATCTGATAATTAAAATTAGACTCACACTGATACTGTCATAAAATTCGATGCTCAAGTAACAGAGCATTCCAACCAATAACATTCCTAATGAAATGAGTAAAAATTGAGTGATATTCGTAAAACGAGTGAGAATAAGCCCAAAACCAAAACCGATTGATTCCCAAAATCGATAATTAGCAAATGCAGTTTCTAACTGACTAGAAGATAGCGCTATCCATAATCCTAAAATTGAATTTCAATTTATCATTTTCCAACCTTATTTTTTTGATCTTTTAAGATCACACTAGTAAAGTGTGAAATTCTAACACATATTTTCTGTTGGATCCTTATTTTATATACAGTTATGAGTTAATTGTTAAATTGGGTTCAAAATTAATTATTGACTTATATTTAAACATAATGTCGGAAGTTTAGCTGAAACGTGAGGTTTAATTATTTATCGACAAGTTAAACAAATGTAAATTAGATACCACTAATCTGAGTATTCCAAACACCATCAGCCATGCCCAAAACACCAACGATGGCATAGAATAATGATGTATCACCAGGATTTAGAGGCCAAATCTGAAGATAATGATATCTTAAACGGAAGATGAACTAAATTGAACGGTTTAATACTGAATTATGTTACCGGATTATTATCCCGAATAATCTGCAGATATATTTGCATGTAAAGCAAGAAAATACTACTTTCAGTTTTTACAAATCAAAAACAAGATATGAACCGAAAATTGACTCAAAAGCGCAACAAAATGCAACTTGGACAACCAATAAATTGATCGAAACTCAGGAATTAAACTTACCAAAAGTGTTAGTGACACAAGCATACTGATAACAGCACCAAAAACAAACAAAGGCATCCGTCCGAACAATTTCATTAATGGCCCAAAAACCAAGCTACATATGGCATCTGTTACACCAAACGCCGTCATCACGAATCCAATTTGGCTAATGCCAAGGCCACAACCAATGTAGGCCTTTTAAAAAATCATTTATTACTTCATCCATTAAGAAAATCTCATTCATCGATAAAATAGGAACGGACTATCTGATATTATCAAATATGTCAACACTGAACCAATTTTTGATAGCCAAAAAGAAAATTTTATTTAATCAATTTGGAAGATAAAAAAGTTACTTTTGTATAAAGGCCTACTACAAATGCCTGTTCAGCACCACTAAAAAGTGTCAACGGTACTAATAGCAAAGATTTTGGATGGGTAAGATTCCGAAATATCGCTCTACAAATGTCTGTTGAAAAGAATGGTGCCTTTAATCTGAAACGAATAATTACTTCATTGAATAGTTCGATGATTTATGAATTCTACAAGCTATGCTGCCAATAGTTTTCAGAACTTTTGTTTCGGTATTTTTTTTTTGAAATTTGAAGAAAAAATTAATTTTTGCAACATTCCTTTGCAAAAATGTAAATTTATTTGCTAAAATTTCCGACTGCTTCGCTAACTTCTCATAATTTATACGAATAATTAACTTAGACAAAAGAAGAATGATATAGAATGCTAAATGAGAAGATTTATATTCAAATTTTACTTATTTCCAAAGTTGCACTCATTTTTTTCCTTTCTGATATTTTCATTTCACCGATAATTTTGACAATAACTCTTTTCCGATATTTCGGTAAATAGTTTTTCTTTGTTGCAAGTATCTTGCTTTTTCTTTGTTGCAAGAATCTTGCTTCTCGAAAATTATTTTGAAATTACTGAGATTTCTTTAGTGTTGCATATTACATGATCATTTATCCGAAATAACTTCATGAGAATTTTGCTGTACTAATCTTTACATCGTTTCTACCATTAATTAATCTACCAATATTTTAATTGACATGCTAGCATTTCTAGCTATATAGATATTTTCTATTTTACATTGTTTAATATATCTAGAAACATGGTGTTTTTCTCGTAATTTTGCTTAACACTTTCAGATGTAATTTCCATCATACATCGATACTTCATTCCTTCTTACAAAAAAGTGACATTTAACCTGGCAATTTCATCTTTTCTCAACGAATTTAGAAAAAGAAGCACGATCATGAGTGCAACGATGGTGCAACAGAAATAGATGCCACAAAGAGACAGATAAACACTTTGTGCCGGCCGTCGTAGATTTTCAATTGCTTGTTCGCTTAAGCATGATATATTATCAGAAAACGAGTGACCACAACTGAAATTTGTATTCAGTTAATGCAATTTTCATTAATCCAATATTTTTGAAAGCAAAGCAGTTTAAAGCAAAATAAAATTTTCAAGTTTTGATTTGAAAAAATTGAATTTGCATGTTGATGACGTTATAATAGATGTAAATAGAGATCATGCAGAATGAAGAGATATTGAAGCAAATTTTTATACAAAAACAAAAAGAAAACTGATGTAAGGAGATGGAAATAAAGCAATACCATTTCTGCACCTGATCTTCTAACTGATGATAACCAGTTGCAGCTGTTAGGATGAAAGATGAAATGAGATTACCTATTACTTGACCCAAATGAAGTACCATAAAGAAATAACCGAAGAACCTGGAAATTTGATACATTTTAATACGAGACTATAACTACAGTGCTTATGCCATTTGATTATCATTCATTAATTTCCTCGAACTAATTATTACAAATGATAGCAATCTAAATACCTGATGATGACAAAATTTTGCGCTTCAATATTTAATTGCGCATATTTTGTCCCGCATTCCAAAATGTAGACACATTTTGCTGCCCAAAGACAGCTTCCAGCACATCCGGCAAGAATAGAAGCTGGAATAAGCGAATAATATCTATAAAAAATTTATATACATATATATAAATATTAGGATAAAAAATTATATAAAAGATTATTTATTGATTACTCTTAAAAATATGCAAATTATGTTATGGAAATTATCTTGCTTGCTGTTATGGCACAATCGAATATTTGTAGCAAAAGTTTATTAATTGATCAATTTTCGTTCCTGTTCAAATGTTATAAGATAATTAGAAATTATCATTAGTAGAGTCATTCAGTGTATCACAACGGTACTCGAATTAATGCATCGAATTATTAATTGATAATAGCACTTATTGTAGTGATTGGAAAGGAATTATAAGTCATGTTGAAGGTAACAGTAAGTGATAATGAATGGCCTTTTGGATAGAGAAGAGCTAAGTAAACAATATTTGGTAATGAAGTGCAAGAATTTAAATGATTGAAAATTCAACTCCTTAATCTTTTACAATCATTTAACAAGCGAAATACATTTATGGTCCTTTGGGTATGAAAAGAGTAAACAATAAACAATCATTATTGTTTAATTTAACCAATTGAAAAACAATCTCTGTATTAATGATAAAAATAATTGTGTTATTGCAATTGATTTATATTATGAAATATATTGGTTTTCCAACAAATTACATTCGCGAACTTACTTGGGTAGAAAATTTGACAGCATGTAAATCATAAATATTCCCGATGATGCAATTAACGTACGCTTGCAACCAAGACGATTCAAGATAAATGACGGAACAAATAAATATGATAATGATAAGCTGATATAGAAGATTCTAAAATTATAATTGAATCTCTTAACGGGATGTTACATAATTTTTCAATTTAAGACAATGCTAAAGCATCTAACTTTTCATTAATTACGAGGCTAAATCACTATTCAAGATAAAGTGCCATTTTTAATACAGTGGACAGATACCCAGGCGCTCGTTTTACATAAATATTATGGCTCAAGATTATAAAAAAAAGTGTAAAAAAAACATACGAGAGGCTGTCTGTTCCAAGATGACCGTTAATAGAAGATTGCAGATTCTGTAATCCATGAAAAGCGGTAAAGAGGAATAAAAATGCTAAGCTAACGATCCATAGATTCACTCGAATCTTCCGTTTAGCCTTATCAGACTGGTATTTTTCGGAACCGGATAGGAGGGCACGGCGTCTTTTTCGAATTAACTTTGCAGCGAAACCTTGGCTAAAAATCAATTCGAAATCTGTCTTGAACTCATCCAAGTTTTGTTTTTATTTTTCAATATGAAATTTAAAATTGAAGCATGAAATTCCTTTCCTGAGTAAAATAACTCCTGATGGTTCAGTATCGTCAACTGATTCAATACTCGTCAAATGATAATCGAAATCGCGAATCTTTATCCTCTTGTTTATCATGCGATGTTTAGAGCCATGAAGTGGGCAAAATGGATCGTAGACATTAACACGTTCAACATTATTGTTTATGCTATTGTTTCCAGGATCCATTGGTTTATTATTGTAGAGCGAATCGCCACGAAATAAGTAAGCACTGAATAAATATGAAATTTTAATTCATTCTAAATTCAGCCTTTAAATAATAGATTTCGCCACTATGGAAAATAGAATCCCCAAGAAACTATAATTTGTATTCCTAATTTAAACTTCAATTTTTAGAAATTAACAGGTACCAATACCATTTAATGTCTGTTTCATTTTCCCGAAAAGATGATCGATAGCTGGGTTCTGGTTTGGTTATTGGTAGTTGTGAAGAAGATAAAACAGATGATTGTTCATCATCTACCGCAAAAACCGTTTGTTCCGATGATTTATACTTTGAATGATGATGTGACGACGATGTTTTCAAGGTAGGTAATTCGGGAATTTCTGCTTTCTGATCCACAGTAAGAAACATTTTGTTGCTTTCGGTATGTCCATTTTTCAGTCTATTCATCAATTTATTACTAATTTTGCGAATTTCAGACCTTTAAGTAAGTAATGAGCATAAATTTTCAATAGTAAGAATGAAACTTTTAAACGGATTTAAAATTGACAGCTAAGATTATGGTTGAAATTGGCCATAAGAAAGTAGGTAATTTTGTTATCATAATTGTTCCGCAAAATATTTTTAAGCTCACATGGTATTCTTTCTCTTCGATTCTTCACGAACCATTTTATTGAGTATTTCAGAAAGTTTCTCAGACGGTAATTCAGTTGTACCAGCTACCGTTTCAACATCGGCCAATTGTTGATTAAACTAAAATTGATGCAATAATTTATTCGACTGCTCAACTTTACAAATAAAGAGCTTTTATTTTTTGAGATTTCATTCGCATCCAATTTTAGTACACATCTCTTTATTGTATATCAACAACGAAGTTATTATGTCATCTCTTTAATTTGTATAGTCGTAATAGTGAAAATCAATATGTCAACTTCCCCGAAACTTCATCTGTTTCCATCCGTTATCTTTGCTAACTTCTCTATCAATGATCGTATACTCAGCAAATTTTCCTCTGTCAATTTTTACATATATTCACTTCATACGACTTATGCTATTCATTTCAACCATATAACAAAGTAGAAAATGAATTTTCATACTTTGATTGTTAAGGATCGAGTAATTAAGTAATAATTGAATATATAAACAATTACATCATAATCAAAAAAGGATCGTAACGGGAGATTGTTTACTTAATGTGTCTTGAAGATTTTCCTTTACTAAATTCAATATATTGCGTCCGTCCATTTTGAAACTGAAATTTTTGGTACTAATAAGGCGGAAATTATCAAATAATGATATTTCCGCTTATTTCATTTCATTGATTAATAAACTGATTAACTTTATCTTAAAATATCTTTTATTTATAGACCAATAGATAAAATGATATTAATAAATAAAATGAAATAAAAAACATAAATTGCTTTCGAATGGAATAAGTAACATTATCAAAACTTCAACTAAAGAAAAGATGTTGTTTATAAATTCGGAAATTGAGCTATTGGTAAGGGAGAGAAAAGCTGAAAAAGAGGAAGCGCTGTATTAGTTTGCTTATTTCACTTCTTTCAGTTAACCATCGAGCAAAGTTCGCCTATTTTCGAACATTACAACAAAACTGTGCTTCTTTTCCGTATTCTTTATCTCAGCTTTTCTTCACTGAATGCAAGTAACTTAGAACTTAAGATAAAGTTTTAAACTTTCAATTCTATTTCAAATTAGATCACATATGAATAAGAAGAAAAAAGAACTTCATATATTGAAGATTCTAAAATACTTGAAACATGAAATAATTCATCTTACAATGTCAACAAATTAATGATCCTTCTCCCTAACTTTTCGATAAGTAAATCAAAATTATTATTGCAAAAAAATTATACAAATGTAACAATGAAATGAATTGTGAAATCGACAGATTACAACTTTAGTACTGTTTGTTATGCTTTAAGAATATTTTAATAATAACAGTTTTAAAATGAGTTGGATTGCCTGTGATATTCATTATTTGCTGCATATAATGATGTGGACTTGGCAGAAAGTTTGATTATTGTTCTTAAAACACTTCCTATCATACAGTGCTTCGATTAAATTATTTCCTATTTCATATCTGTTTCTTTTGTTTCTGAAATAATTGAATTCTGCAAATATTTTGGAAAAAGCATTTCCCAAAATGCATGAGTAAAATAATTGCGAACAAATAAACGTAATAGAACTATTATAGTAATGCAATTATCAAAAAGTACTTTGATGGATTTTAAGGATTTTTATATTACTTTCGATCAAACAGAACAAATCGCCATCATTAATCTTTTTTTGCATTAAAAGAAATTGTATGCGTAATAATAACATATCTAACAGCGTAATTCAGAGTTGCCACTTAATCCTGTTAGCAGGGAGTTATATCATTCGGATAATATTGACAACTGTTAGAGTGTATGAATCACTTTTATGAACAAATAGAATTTTCTGTCAATTGATAGAAGAAAGTAAAAAAAAGTAGGCTAAAATTGTATGAATCACCAAGAATGCATACTCTTTGTTGAATGAAAAGGGTTAAATTTTATGCAAATTTTATAAAAGTTTGCATTTACCTTAAAATTTAAAATAAGCGCCAAATGTAAACAATCTACTGTAAAACAATTTACTATCAACAGGCTTCTAGAATTTTAAAAATGAAATTATTAAAAATCCAAAATATACCATTTGAAAATTGCAACATCTTTTTATATTCCTCAAAATACTACGATTACTTACGAATCAATGGCATGGCATAAATGTTATTGATGAAATATAAATTTGTTTAAATATTTTTTACATAAAAAATAAATCAACTTCTTTTTGTGAGAACCAGTACAATTTCTGCAATTTGTTCATATATAAAGTTATTAATTGGTGCGAACAATTGCGGATAATTAATGCGTTTCTGTAAGAGCAAATCTTTTGGAACCAACTAGAAAACAAAATGAGATATCAACTGATAAAGATCAAATCAAATAGTAAGTATCATTGATAAAAATTTGGATTCAGCGGCGAAGATTGTTTTCTCAAGTTAATACTATGAAGATCTCCGAATTAGTGTCCAACTTATTTCGCACTGCTTGTGAAATGACCGAATGCTAGGGTGTTTATGTTACGTTCTTGCTCGAGAAGATTTTCAAATATTCCAAAATGTCATTCCGCAGCAAATATTCACGAAATCAACCTTGAAGAAGTTCAAACTATCAGTAATTTACATCACGTATGCATCTAGAATCACAAAGGTACAATTGCACGTTACGTGTAATTACATGTTATAAGACACTTCTTACAGAACTGTATCTGATGATGATTCACTTTTTCGCTCCTTTTTCATAAGTGGCTGTTAGTATGGTTTATGCAAATTTTCGCGAATCATCCATTTGCCAAGAATAGTCAGGAAAAACGGGAAGGATTGCTTGCTGTGGACTTCCATACTTGTGTCCTGTTACAGTCATTTTGATGACATGTGATAATCCGTTATGAAAAGTGTTAGCCTTCATTTTTTAAGTGCTACCAACTACCAATTTTTTTTGCCAAGAATTCACTAGCTTTAACAATGATATTTTCTCTCTTGATCGCAGGATACCGCGACAGTTTATTTCATCATAATTTCAAATTTTGGGGCAATGAAAAGCTTAAATAATAAATGTACACAAGTTCTAAGCTGCCAGCATTTGCGGAATGAAAAATTAGTGACTGTAGGCCAAGGTAATACATTCCAAATGAGCTGTTGTTCTCCCTAATTTCATTGAAGGAAAAAAGGAAGAATTGGCTAAATTTTCCATTCGTTCGATAATTTCGAAGGGAAATGAATCGTAAAGAAGGTGTTCTAAGCTAAGCAAATATGGCACAATGAGCTTTGCATCATTACTTGAACTTTCTTATTTCAAATATTCTGCAAAAAAACTTTTAACTGAAAACAAAAAATTGAATTTCAGATGGAAGTTACGTTTCCACTCTCGATCTTTCGAAGGGTATAAACCATATCAGAAATCTCTTATTCAATATCGTGTAAAGTAATTTCATGAAATTATTGTTCGTCATAAGATTAATCAGATAACTTGCGCAGTAACCGGTAATAACGGTAATTTTTTTCTATGATGTAATTGTATCATATGACAAAAAATCCTTCTATGGTATAATTAAATACTGAACTGAAAAGTTGCATAATATCTTTAACGTTCATTTGACAAAGTAACTTGTAATTGTTGATGATTAGTAAAAAAATGTGGAGTATCACCTATAACTAGATATCGTGATAGATAGATATGCACTTTTATTTTTAACTTCTCGTGTTTTTGCGAGATTTATTTAACCTTAATAGCTATTAAAACAGTTATAGTATGTGAGTGTAACACATAAGGTTAATGTGTTGTTATCAGTAAGCCGAGAATGCATTATTATGTGTTGGTTAACTAAAAACAAGATAATATTATGATGCTCAAAAATTGTATCGAATAATTCGATTATGAAATTTAGCTCTGATTGAAGTTAACATCATTTAATCTAGTACGGAATTTTATAGATAAATTCACATGCAGACCATAAATATTCTTTTAACATTAAAAAAGACAATAAGCAAGATTAGGAAAGTCCCGTTAGATATATCCCAACGTAGTATCAAAATTCCTTTCCTTTTTTATACACGAATTCACACCTGAATTTCTCCGCTGGATGGGAGTTGTTTCTTGCTTGGTATTTGAATAGTTAGATTATTGTATTGGATTAGTGAAACATAAAATGTTATCCATTCAGTAGTTTTACTACATTATGTTTTATTTTTGCTCTTTTTCAATTTTTTCTGAGATTTTTGTTTATATTCTTTTTGTTCCGAACGTAAGCATTATTTTTGCATAAATATAATAAAATTAAAAAGACAAATATTACATCGATTTGAGACGTTGGAATTTTGTAAAGCAGAAAAGTTTTCAGGTAATAAAATTGACACAGTAATAATACAAGTAATAAAAAATAGCAGGTAATATTTTAATCAAATTTAAATTAACCAGAACCTAAAATAAAGTTTTCATAGATTGTAAATTGCAGTTCCAAGCTTATTCGAATGACCTCATAGTTATTTATTGTTGTAAAACTTATCCAAATATTTACTGTAGTGCAGGTACGGATGGATTTTGTACAGATATTTACTTCATTTATTATATTTTCCATGAAATTTTTATCAAATTAAAAATGCGGCATCAATTTCAAAGGTAAAAAGGTAGGGTAAGATATATAATAGGAATAGATGGTAATGTCGTGAGGTTATTGTTTTCATTATATGCTTAGAGATTGTCGATTATATTATTATACTTTCTCTCCTTTTTAGTTTTTTAAAATTATTTTACGGAAGAATTCTGCTTAGGATACAGAATCGAAAGGACAAGATGGCGAAACATCGCCATATGCGTTATATGCTAATTGATAATTTAAATTGTAGTGTTAGACTGTTAGATGTTTTGACGCATGATACTGCTTTGAATGGACATAAAAACATGATGCTTGATTGCTACTGGCATCCAAATGACACCGAAATTATTACTGCTTATCGGTAGGCTTATGACTTGTATTATTCGACATAAATGATAAGTTTGCATTAATTGTTGAAACAAAGCAGTTTGTTGAATCTTAAGAGAGTGTCACTACCACTGATAACCAGAATAACTATTTTGACTTGAATGAGATATTGAAACGAAATCTTCCTCTAATTTTGGTATCAATTAATAAAGGTGACCAGATGATACTATGATAAATCAAATACGAATAATTATACTTAAGGAGCATATAAAAAAGAGGTGCTGTACCGAAACATACGAATAATTTCCATGTAATTTTAAAATGGTCGTATAAGTTGTTATAAGTACGAATACACTCGAGTTGAAATTCCTGCTTTTTCTTTTTCAATTTGGTAGATTCAAGTTAAAAATGAGTCTTGCCTTATTTAGAAATTTTAATTTTCAAATCGTCGAAGCGTGATTTCATTTAAGGTTTCAAGTTACAAATCCTTAGTACTCGACACAACGCTTCAAGTGTCAAACATGCGATATCAAACTGATACTACGTTAAAGTTCAATAAAATTTCAATTATGCCTCACTAATAAACGTTGAAATATTGTATAATTTCCATATAGACTCCACATCCCTTACACTCCAGCAATATGAAAATTCTTTGTGGTTGAAGAACGCTCAATTTTATTTAAATGAATGAATTGAAATTCAGTGAAATTATGAGATATGTAACTTTTACTTCCCTCAAATGAAACAAATTGTTTTAACCTTTAATTTTGTCTTCAACGTTTTCCTTTTTTATAATATCGCTTTTTATCATAGTGGCATTATTTTGCTAGAGAATATTTCTTGTCAAAAAAAACAAAAGTCCAAAATTTCTGCATGAAATTCTCTGATGTGGAATTTGACAGAGGTCATTGATGTTAGAATGAAAAAAAAAAACTGAAATATTCGGACTGAGCCATCCAAGAATTGCTAATTAGCGAAAAATGAATGGCATCTGATCTGCTTGATGTGATCATATTTTAGGAGTTTAGTCATTCTTCTGGAAACTAATTCCATCTTTCTTGTGGGTTACTATTTTTTAGGTACAATGTATGAAGCAAATATCTGTTTATGAGACGAATTCCTTTATGCTTCATTAGCTTGAAGTATTGTCCAATTTTTAATCTCTAATTAAAGTTCAATTATTTGTAGGTTATAAATGCGAAACTTCCAAGTGTTAGTCTTACTGTTGGTTGAATTTGCAAATTCACGGTCAGAAATTTGTGGCCGTTCTCGAAATTTAGATAATCTTATCGATAACGGTAAACTCGTCACTGTAAGTTTCTTTATGCCAGTCCCTTTTTCCCTACCAAATACAGGACTAGATAAGTTAGAAAACTGTACTTTAGTTTTTATGATCAATCGTGAAACAACGGAAATATTTGATTTTACAGCAAAATATACTCAAGCTATATTCGTTCTCTATACAAGTTACTAATATTCCGAAAAATTATTGCACCCAAGATTATAATGATCTGAATCGATTTGTAGCAGAATGAACGTCGTGTAGTCGGAGGTAACGAGTCAACACCACACATATGGCCTTGGACCGTGCAACTGATTTATACTGAAACGAAGATCCATCGATGTGGTGCAGCACTTCTGAGTGATGATATCGTCATTACTGCTGCGCATTGCTTCTCTCGGAGGTTCACTTCTTATTCTTTTTCCATCAAAATGTATTCTAATATTGAATAAAATAGATGATGGAACTGATTTAAGAAACCGGAATATTAGCAGGTAATCTTATTAACGCTAAAACAGAAAACTTAACATTAGTATCCAAAAAAGAAACCATCAAAAAAGGTCAAATAACAAAACTGATTTTGCTGCATGAAATGTTAATATTTTTAGTCGTAATCCAGCACGCTATGCTGTTCTTATCGGTGGTCATGAAATTGGATCAGGAGAAAGCTATGAGATTCGCAACATTTCAATACATCCATTATTTAATGTTCTTATGCCAAGTTCATTTGATGTTGCTGTTGCCAGGTGAAGATATTCTCATTAACTATTAAATTAGATGAAAATGTCCTTGGTTAGGATTGCTAATTATTTCACTTGAGTAATCCAAAATTTAATCTTTGGAAACTCGGGAAATTTCAATATATCATCATAATATCCTATATCTCTCTTAATAACTTAGCATTATTTAGGCTGCATGGAAAATTAAACTTTAGCGAAAATATACTACCGATATGTTTACCGATGTTGGAGCCATTAACAGCAGACAATTGCATTGTTACTGGTAGAAATAGTATTGCTGATTGAATGTAATATAAAAGGAGTATCGGAAAAGAAAAATAGAGAAAATCATTTGATGCTGAAAATGTCTCGCTTACCCTTCAGTTTCTTAATCTTACCGCGGTTCAGTTGGTTTCGCACAGTTATAGTATATCTTTTTATAGGATGGGGTTTTCAAGAAGAAAGTGGTAGTTTTTCATCGAAGTTACGTGAAATACACGTCCCAATTATACCAATTGTTATTTGTAATAGTATTTTGCATTATTTTGGCCGTGTGGATCCATTATCTATGCTTTGTGCCGGTTCCGGTGGTGCTGATGCTTGTCAGGTTTTTTTTCTTTGTTTGTTTTCCATTTAAGAAGAATATTTCGAAAGTGAAAATGAAATTTGACAATATCGGTATAAATCAATATCATCTCTCAACCAATCAAAAGAATGAAGTCTTCCATGAAATGACTTCAATATTAATGTATGATATGTTTTTCAGGGTGATTCAGGTGGTCCATTAGTGTGTTACAGTCGTGTGCGTCAAAGATGGGAACTACAAGGAGTGGTCAGTTGGGGTCATGGATGCGGCCGGAACAATATTCCTGGAGTGTATTCCAAAATTAGCGCCGTTGCTGGTTGGGTGAATTCGCAAATGAAATTGCTTCGACTCAATGATAATGATATTCTTTAGCTACCTTTTACTCTCATTCATCGTTCATTTCAGAATTTGTTCGTCATTTTCGTCATTTTAAAGTTAATTTTTATTTCCTCAGAAGATTAATTTCACATTCCGCAATCAATAAGCCAACAATGTCAAATATATCTCATAATTACTGATCAAATAATCGAAACATCAGGTAATATTATGCCAAACTATATGGGCTTTCTTCATTCTTTAAAATATTCAAAATATGCTAAATTTTTTCAGAAATTGATGCTTTTTTTCTTTCTTGCGATTCTTTGGATAAATGTACTGTATGTTTAAATGTAATATTTTTGTGCACATTTAAATGTAATGTTTTTGTTTTATTACAAAGAAATAAATGATTAAATAATTCTTTATTTCGGATATTTTATTTCAATAATTTAACATGGTTTAAAAACAAATTTTGCGATTGAAAAGTTCAAGTTAAAATCATTGGGAATTCCCCGAAACTAAAGATTAAAGTAAAATAATAATTATGACATTTATACGATGGAATCAGAGATCAGCTGATTTTATCCTAAAGGAGCCTACTGATATTAACTCTTTAAAAGTTGATCGATCCTTTCATCGATGTTGATCAGTCACTCCTCTTCGAGAAGAGGAATTTTGCGGTATTGTCGTCAACTGAATACAATCGCGAATTTATTTTACATGGCGCATCTATTTCAACATGGAAATAAGCATGTCGAAATCAAGAAGCCCTCTTCCATTACTGTGATAAAACCTTTAGCAGTTAAGCAAATAGGACCTTAAGACGATTTAAGGTTCGTAATAATAAACGATTTGTAATAATAATTTGTAGGGATATGTTGGTGCCAGAATTAATATGTGCTCCATGCCCCTGGCCACCGTCACTCCCAAACTAACAAGTACAATGAGATGATAAAATGGACGAACCCCTTTGTACTTATAGGTTCTCTCCAATGAAAAGTGGTGGACTGATAGTATTTCTCTTTGAAGGAGAGTCTGAGTTATGTCTCGAAATTTGCTATCTTTTGGACATACAAGTGCTTTTAAAAGTTGTGGGAAAACTCGCTCTCAAAATTAGCCCCAAGTACTTCCCGAGATTAAATATCGATGCCTTATCTTTACTCTTTTCTTTTCTCTAATGTTATTTTCATCCTTTCTGACCACGCAATGATATGACACTGTTCAACCCCCGATTCACTAATGTGCGCTTTTCTGCTCTGAATTACATGTTATTCTATGCATATATTTACAAATGTAGAAGTAGTGGCCTACAATACCGTGAGAATTTTCCTTAATAACGTTGTTTCTTGAATTTACTGTATTTCATTTATAATTTACCATCATTCAATTACTTTCATCATGTTGATATGAATCGGCGAATCTCATGCATGCATGACGCTATTCTAACGTACACGTTAACTAGTGCGTAATGTTATTTTCAACTTGGCACTGGCCAATACGTGAATAAAATTCTTTACAGTTGCATAATATTTTACAATAGTAATGAAGTGTTGGTTTTCAGAAGACTTGTTGTGATCGCATGGAGAAGCCAAGAATGAATAGCGATAGAAGATTGGGAGCGTACCTCGGTAAAAGTCTGGTGTTGAGCGAATACCAGTTTTGAGGTAATTCTTTCATTTCCTGCACGAAATATTGTTCATGTAGTGATCTAAGGATTGCAACATTAGTTGTATCAATTATTAATATTGCATTTTTGCAATTTCAAAAAATTTTTTTGAATATTTTTTGATTAAATTACATTTCATATTCATTTTTTCTTTTAAGGAATTTCGAAAATTTTCAGTAGATATTACTTAACATTCCTGGTCTTTCTTTCTAGAAAATGGAAGGAAATAACTAATTTCTGAAATTTTTGGAAATGTGACGCTGTGAAATTGTCTTGAAGAAATCAAGCAATCTTCCTTCACAAGAGAAACGGAGAGAAATTATTTATATTGCAGAAGCAAAACAGGGTTCAGGAAGATATGTGCTTAAGAAGGTTCAATTTTCCTAACTTTCTGAAAAATCCAAAGTGATTTTTTTAATTAGAATGAACGAATCAGTTAAATAGTTATTTAAAATATTTTTCGCAGTAATTAATGTATAAATTTTCTTTTTCCTATATGCCTTTCTCGTATCTTATAATTTCAGAGATATGGAAGGGTTCCTACGAATGAAGCTTTTTATTTTCACTGTAGCCTATAGATCATTAATTGAATTTATCTCTGAAAATTTGCTCTACTAGAAGCTGAAAATGTTCCATAATATAAAGAATGCAGGAAGCTACGTCTATTAAACAAGTTGTTTTCTCCCCATCTCATTTAATAATCATCTTTGTTCTCTAGTCAAAATAATGGTAAAAATCTTTACGTATTGTGTTTCTTCCTTTATTTTGAGAATTTCCTTTACAAAAATTTAACGCATGGTTTACATTTAGCTTTTTTTGTGTTTGTAATATTTTTACTTATGGTTCTGAGTGTTTTGAAAATTGCAGTATTTCCATGTAAGCTAACAAATTTATCGTGATTTCCATGGATCCAGTAGAGAAGATTTTTAAAAAATGGGTCCTAAAAATCGTAACAAGATCTATGGAATACTTAACTTTTGGGTCGGCATTTATCTATAAATGTTTTTTGGGCATTATGTAGATGTTCATTCATCAATCAAGTAGAAATAAGATCCGAAGCATGCTTGAATAGGGAGATTGCCAAATTTTGTGAAGTAACTTTCGGAGGAAATAAATTTCGGATCAGAGAATGGTTTTATACGATTTAGACTTTTTTTCATTTAATTTTCTCGTTTTTCCTGTAAATTATGAACTCCTGAATTTCATTGCTTTTTTAGAAAAATTCATTATTTAAGGAGTGTTTGGGTAATTTCGGTTTTGAAAGATAATGATATTCCTGGGAAGAGCATAGTATTTCGGTTTTTTAATTTGATTGCATGTAAGGGGTTGCGTTTTTACAGAATTTTCAAAATTATTTTTTAAACTTGGGGGATTATGAGTTTTGGTCTATATTGACACAGGAAAGAAAGGCAGCTCTTTTTTCTCTTCGATAGGCACATTATTCAAGAAATTAATTTAGATATTTTTGTAGAACATCAGTTCAAAGAGAAAAAAAAAGATAATATCACTTTTTGAGTAACTGCAGTTTTTGAATGGTTTTTCTAATAAATGACCGATCAATTTTACATAATTTTACCTGAGTGATTTCTCGAGAAGATTGGTTAAGAAGGTTAGTCTTTGACAATTTTAGATTTCTTGAGGAGGACTAGGAAATTATTGCTGGCCAATTAGTTGCGCAAGTTTTTTAAGCACTTGTTGGATATGATTTTAGAGTTCTGTTAGTGATTCTGATTATCGTATAATAGGAATGGGTATAGAATGAGATGCATTTGTTTCACATTTGAGCATTTCCCAATATAAAATCATTTACTGAAACAGGGCATTATTTAAAAAAAAAAAAACAGGGCATTACTGAAACATTTTAAACAATAATAAGTGAATCACTGAAAGTTTGAAAAAACATCGATCTTATATAGGCGAAATGAATTAGTTTGTCTTTTATTGCTTCATACTATTTATCGTTTGCTAGAAATTGCATTTTATTTGAGCTGTAATTGAAGGTTTTTTAGTATCGATTAATGATTTCTGGATTAACTTCGACAATAAATCAAGCGAAAATCGGTATGGTGAAAACTTTATCTGAATTGCTAATGGCGAGGATAGATGATTTAATATACAGTGAATTGCTTATTTTTTCTTTTTTCTTCTCCGTACTTATGCGGCAGGTAATTTTTTATCTGCTATTGGTAGAAATATACGTTATTTTTGGTTAGTTTTGTAACTTCTGTTTTGTAACTAACTTTAAATATAAATCCTAAAATTTCGAAATTAATTACAGGGAAGACATTGCTAACATATCCAAACTATAGTTAGTTTTCAAAAAGTGGAAGTTTTAGGTGCGTTCGGGCAAAATTCGTGAAATATGTGGTGGATTTGCTGGTATTTCATTGGTTTACTATTTTACCAGTTGGAAGCTACTGTATTCTCTGCTTATTGTGATTATAAATATCATTATAAATTCGGCTGTGAAGAACCGGTAAATCTTATGCTTATCAATATTTTACACATTTTTTGAGGGCAGCATTTCAGAGATCAAGATATGAGAGATTCGCAGTATTTATCGTTCATTTTTCAACTATATAGCATTTTCCAGGTATTTACCTCTGGTATCTTTCATCATTACATTCGTTTATTTGGGAGTTCTTCGAGCTATACATCTGGTCGGGTTTCCAGCTCTTGTTTCTCATTCAAATGCTGTTCAGCTAATTATGACGTTAAGAGTATGTTTCAGTGATATTATATGATACTGATATCACGGAAAGAGATTCACTGATAAGCAGTTTTATTCTTGCTTGAAACATGAATAATTCGGTGCAAAAGGTTTTGCTGATATTACTGTAAAGAATAAGCTTTTTTTAATACTTGATAGCAACGTATAATAAATGTCTTATGCTAGTTTTTATTTGAATCATAATTTTAAGACACTCCATAACAGGAATAATCATTTATGTTTTATCTTATGAAAGTATTTTTCTCATATTCTCCCCTTCCAATTTTATAATTTTTATTTCCAACATATTCAGCGAGAACTTGCATGAATAACTTGACCAACAAATATGGGTAAGATTTTATCTTTTTTACGCAAAGAAAACTCTCTGTTATTGTTTTTCCCAGTAATACTGATTGCAGCTCATTGGTCTAAGTTTCGAAATTGCTGACAGTAGAAGAAAAGATGAAATTAAATTCGATCCAAGCAGGACACGATTCATTAAACAACCGTCATGGTGGCAGGCAATTTTATATGCATATAATTTCCCAGGTCTTTTTACTGGTACGTTTATGCTTCATACTTTGACATTTTAATCAAGCTTAGTTTTTAACGCCATGAAATTATTTTGCTTTTCATTCGATTCAAATATGACAGGTGTTCATATAACTTCAGGAATATACGATCGTGTTAATAACCTGTCCATTCCCCTCTAATTCGTTTCGCATCATAGTTGTGCAATTTTTATAGCACCCTATTTTTTCTTTTCTAATTTGTCAATTATAAGAATTGGTTGTATTATTAATGCAGCTTGAATTGTTACTTCACATTGCAGATGTTTTTTGTTTTGCACGGCAAACTTGCTGTAGCTGCAATGAATGAATGTCATAATTAGATACATCCTGATATGTGTTTTAGCTCTATATCTCAGTAAACTTATCTTAAAATATATCATTTCAGGAATTTTGAGGTCTTTGATATTAGGTCTTTCACCACAACATCTGTTTCGCTCTTTCTTGGGAAGGTTGATAGTAAAAGAGATTTCATGAAGCCAGATACATTATATGTTTTAAGATCTTCATATTGTCCATTTTCTATAATTTTATATTTTTTTAAGGTCCATATTATACATATGCAATGTACCGAGATGTTGTCGATAATGATAATATAATGGAAATACCCGTTTGGAAACATATTAAATGGCGTTTATATAATTTTGCTTGGTCTTTACCTGCTTTTATTGTACTTTTACATGCTTTCCCTCTTGAAGTTCGTTATATCATACTATTTATTAGTGATATCCAGTAGTTAATTTATGATAGGGGAAGATATTTAACATTTCTGGAGTTGTAGTCGTATCAATTCTTAAGAAGCAGCAAATGATCTTTGTATTGCTAATTATCTCTCCAAAAATTTGATGTTATTGCCAAAGTCTTTTTAACAGATGATGCGTAGAGATAAGTTTTTCGACGAAACACTCTATTATCGCATATCGGTTAGTTTCATAGTATTTTTGTGGATGCGATGTCGTGTATACAGTGCATGGATGGTTGCTGAATCAATCTGTGTGCTGAATGGAATTGGAATTTATCCAGAAGAAAGTTGTCCTTCGGCTGGGAAAGGACCCAATAGAATTGATATTTTAAAGTATTACTTCTTTTTCAAATCCAAAGAAAATATTTTTGTGACCATTTATAATTCATTTTCTAATCGGTTTTCTTTACGGTCTTTTAAAACCTTTTTTGAAAAATTGGCGGACCACAGTAGTGAGTATATCACCAACATATGATAAAGTGAATAAATAAAATTTTGTGATCAAAGTGGTGGTTGTGATTATTATAGAGAACAGATGAATAAAAAGGGAACAAAGTACAATTCGGAAGCAATACGTAATTTGGATATTTGGTCGATCGAACTGAGTGCTACATTTCGAGATGGTATAAGGGCTTGGAACCGTACCGTTCAATTCTGGCTTGCAAACTATGTGTACAAACGTGTACCGCGATCTTTGGGGTACTGTTAAGTCATCTATTTATGGAAATTTTCTTTTCGATAAGTTTTCGAGTAGGAAAACGATACGATACAGGGAATTTTTCAACAAACAAAGAAAAACATTTGCTAATTTGTAATCTTTTGCTTCTTTTTTACGAAGTTCACAAAATTCATAATTGAGATGTTTCAGGATGTTACTGACGATGTCAGTGAGTGCATTTTGGCATGGCATACATCCGGGCTATTTCTTATCCTTCCTCACAGTTCCTTTTTGCACAATGGCAGAGGACAGCATCCTATCATTAGTGCCAAAGGACCCTAATGGCAAATTATCGCCTTTGTTCATTGTTTTGTAAGTCATTTGTAAATATATTCCATAGAAAACTTCCATATTATCTGAATAATTTGGCAGATTTAATAATCAGTAACTCACATCTACATTACACTAAGAAGCATGCTAAAGAATTAGTGGAGATGACAGTTTTATAGGTATAATAAAACACACTTTCTGTTTTGTATAGTATGTTGTATGTGCTTCAGTGTCAGAAGTCTTTCTTATCTTTCTCGTTTTCCATTGCACTGGATTAGCAAAGAATTGTTTAGTATCTAAATGAATGTTATTCCGCCTCGTGGAAGCCGTTTCTTACGGAACTTGAATGGAAATAAAATATGAATATCACAGTAAAAAAGAAAGTTATATTTATTTTCTTTTAAATCATCCTGAAATTGATAGACGTATTAATAATTGTTATAACAATCAAAATAAGTCAAATTCGAATTTTATAAAACTTATCATATGTTTTAGTAGTAGTGACTTTGTTATAGTTGGTATTTGATACGACAGCTTGGCTTTGCGTTGATGGCGTCAGGATTTCTATTACTGACGTGGCATGATACAATTCGTTATTGGAATTCGGTATATTTCCATGTACACTGGATTATGATCATAGTTATTACATTTTCATGGTTTTACAAATCATTAATGATTTCAACAGGTTGAATTTGAGACTAGAAACTTTTTCTTTCTGAAAAGGGAAATAGAATTACTTCTTAAAAACGTTCATTATTTTTGTGTGATTGCTTGAGTATCCGAATACCTGGATGGCTATTGCGAGAACATCAAAACATTTATTTTAAGCTTCTCTTTTAAACAGTTTGTTGCTAGCTGAATTGGCAGTAATTTTTTTATTTAAATTTAGCCATTTAACTGGCTTGTCTACTCTTGCCATTAGACACATAATGTCAAAGCACTGCGGCTATACTTAGTCGTTGTTTTCTCTACAGTCCGATGGAGAGCTCAGGTTTGGTCTAAACAGATGCCATTCATTCGTTTGCTACTTTTGGAGGTTTTGAGTCGAGTTTCTTCTGTAAATCTGTTATATTTCTAAGTCGCAAAAATAAGCCAACCTTATTTCAGGAAATAAGAAATCATTTAAAACTGATATCAAGATGAAATTAAGCAACAGTGAGATTCCAAAGGTACTTTGCTCATTACGATGTTGTAGGGATGAATTTTAACTATGAGACAAGGACAACAGTTGGGTTTAATAATGGATAAACTTTGTTTTCTTAACTTTGTTTTCTACCGTTGAACATTATCTTCAGGAAGAAGCTGGTGATTCAGTAGTTAAAAAAATGAATTGAATGTGTCATTTATAACGATATTCCATAAAAAAGTTTGATTTCCTTCTGAAATGAACGTAGAAAGGCAACCTTCTGGACCAACCAACTCTGTCTCATTCGGAAAACTTCACAGCATCGGATTCAACGTCTCTGTTTTTAAATAACTTATATCTTACATCTAATTTATTTTCTTATGAAGTTTTCATTCGTGAGAGATTTGCAGGAATATTTGTTCTATATAACTCTGTTACTTCTAGTTCGGTGTGAAGATTGCATCGACCAAACACATCAGAATAATGGGCAAAAATGAAATGTATTTACTTACAGTTGTGGTGATTTTTATTGTTTCATTTATCCTTTTGGCTTTTAATAAAATAAGTTCAGCTATATTGAAGGAATTTTAATTTCTATAGGCAGTTATGTACATGAAGTTATCTATATCGATCTCTTCTATTGTAAAAATGTCTTATTGTGTTTGTCATTCTTTCATGTTAGTTTGCAAATAGATGGCTAGCTTCGTGTGTTTCACAAAAATGTTGGTTGATTTTGAACGTAAATTAATTTCATTTCCGTTCCATGCTTTTTAATTTTAACTCCCTCCTTTTAAAAATGTTTGTTCGTCTCTTTTCTCCGATTTTTTTTACTTTTTTTCTGTAGATTGAAGTTTTAGATGTGTGTTTTTTTCTTCCGTATTTGGTCTTAATCAGTAAAAAAAAAGCATCTTTTTTTGAGGAATGTTTATGCAGTGTCCATCCATAAGTTATATTTAATGAAGGGATGAAACTCTGGTCAAGGAATTCGAGAATAAGGATTCCATACATCTCAGTTAATGGAAAAGGGTTGAAATGGAGATGAAATTGACGATGATTGGTTTAGATGTAAAGGAAGAACCAGGCAGTACAGGGGTGAATTCGGAAGTAATATTAATGAATTTTTCTTTGAATGACTTTAAGGTGGTGAGAAATTCTTTCGCTGCTGTTCCGCAGTACATATAAGAGTCGAAAAGGAATACGAATCGGACAAGGAAGGGATGTTCAAGCGGAAATTGACCCGAGTTAAGTTAAGGAAGATTGCAAATTTGATTAAAGATAAGGTGGAGGAGTCATGTGGTAATAGTGGTAGAATGAGAAATTGGAATCGGAAAAAAGTGACAATTTCATTAATGAAACAAGGTGGGGCATTATTGACCAGAAAGGGACATCTGTTAACTTGAGTGTGGCTTTGATTGCGTTATGATTAAATAAGATCTGTCTTGTCATTGTCAGGAGTGTGGGGAATTAGACAAAAAGAGTTTCTTAATTGGAATAAAAGATTTAAATACCTTACAAGTGGAGGAGTTTAGAAGATATTAATTATCCTGCCAGAAAGGTCACTTTAATTGAGGTATGATTGAGTACAATTTTTTATAAGTATTTTATATTTCAGGCTATTCTGCAAAACCAAAACGAAAATATTCAGTTAAAGTAATTTCTAAGGGAGATGATTCACCGATATATCCCATCGCGGAGAAGGTAATGGAAGCCGCTGCTGGTTCCAAGAAAATGCTCGGAGCACATGTCAGTGTAGCAGGTATTGTTTTTTAATTTTTTTGATTGAAATTTCAGGAAAAAAATCAAGTACAATGAAAACAAGCAATTTACTATTTTTGTTTAGTTGGATCATCTGCTGAATATTAAACAGGGTGGTTAAACATGTCGTGAAAGTTTTTGATTTGAGTAGTTTGTTCTTTTGCAGACAAGATTGTTGTAAACTTTAAAGATTTATTCTTTGTAGAATATGAGTTTTATTCTTCCTGACGTTATAAAACAATAATCACAAAGTATCACGGGTAAAGTCGGGTTATTATTTGGTAGTTTTATATGAACGTACTGATAGTGACTAGATTATTGTATATATTCTGATAGTATTACTACACCGAATTGAGGAGACCTATTTAAAATCCATTTGAAGACAAAGAAAGCTAAGTGATCAAAGAGTGCTTAACATTTGCAACTACTTAACAAACAATACACATTATTATATCCTTTAGACATAAAGCAAGCTAATGAACAAAGCTTAACTTAGCTTAACATTTGAAATTTAACACATTGATGATTAATTTTTATGGTATAGATTTATATATGAATTAATTTATCAGATGTTCAAGGTATAGGTTTGCCAGGTGCTTAAACATATAAATTTTAAGTTGGAAGAATTTACATATAAATTGAATAAAGGTAAAAATAGAGCAAAGTTCTAGGATGCAAATGATTTAATTATTAAGACACAAAGATTTTATAAGATTATTTCAGTTTTCCTGACATGATGATATGCTTTATGTGCGTTATAAGCATTTCGTTGAGATGAATCTTTGTAATTTATATTAAACATGTTCCATATAAAAAACTATGTTCCAGGCGGTTTGGAACAAGGTTTTTACAACGCCATATCTATTGGATGTCGATCTTTTGCTTTTTTTGTCCGGAACCAGCGTTCATGGAATAGTCCACCAATGAAGAATAAAGTGGCGCAAGCGTTTCGTGAAACTGCACAGGTATATTATACATACATTGACATGTGTGATATTACAAGAAATGACCCAGTATGTTCGGGGTGATAATTTGTATTAATTCATGTACACTGTGGAAAAAGAGTTCTTCGTTTTGGTATTTCAATAAAATTATATCCTCGATCATGCATCAACTTTTTTTTCTTCGATAGAAATTAGAATTTCCAATGGATCAAATTGTTGTACACGGATCATATTTAATAAATGGTGGTAGTTGTGACATGGAAATACTCGATCGATCTCGAGCATGCATGTTAGATGAATGTAAACGATGCGAACAGCTTGGTATCGTTTATTACAATATTCATCCTGGTAAACATATGTTTATATTTATGTTTTGCTTTATTTTTATTGTGGTGTCAGACTTCAGGAAATCCCACTAGGATAGTACAAACCTTCATGCATTGGTTTTATTTCTCATTTGGTTTTAAAATACTTTTGATGCAATTATCTCTCGCTACAATAAATAATCATGATGGACATTATGTTGAGTGATTTGAGGATAGAATTTTCGGGATAATTGTAGGAGAGAAAGTTCTAAGTAAACGGTTAGATTTAAGAAAAATGGTTCCAGGATTAACACTGCAAATTTCTACTAAAGGTATGTGTCACATAATTAACCGATTTGTTTTATGTTGCAGCGTGTTCTACTAATTAGCAACTGATTTTTAGGATCTACGGCAGGAAAATGCACACGTGAAGAATGCATCAAAACAATTGCTGCTACTTTGAATTATGTTATAGATCACACTGAATATATTACAATTTGTTTGTTTTTGATATTTTTTCGAGCCTAACAAATTTCCAAAATTTTATTTCGACAAGGAAGGTTCGCCTCGAGTATTGTTTTCATTTATTTTCTCATTTAAGCAAAGAATTTTATTGAAAAGTTATATTTGATGGCTTTTTTCAAACTTTTGCAGCACTTTTTGTGCAAACTTTTGTTTCTAGTGATTGAAACAATGGCTGGTCAAGGAAATACTATTGGTGGGAAGTTCGAAGAGCTGCAGCAAATTATTAATTTGGTTAAAAATAAGAAGCGAGTGGGAGTGTGCCTTGATACATGTCATATTTTTGCTGCGGGTCGGTTTCCTAACATATCTCGGTGTTCTAACAGTTTTGTGCTTAGCAATTTATTATAAAAAAATTAACCTTATTGTGATTTAGTGATAAAATATTACAACTTTAAATATTTCAATTTTCTATAATTCTGTGACATCACTTATATCCAAAGCTAGCACTTCCGCATTACTATATCTGTGCCAAGGCATGAATGTGCCAAATGTTCTTTTGTCCTCCGTATAAAAACATAATAGAAGATGTGTGTCATGTAGTGGTCAGATTCAGTTCGCCTGTAACTATGAGACCAAACACAGATCATGAATGAATTTGAGTTGAGTCATGAGAGTTCAATTCCTCATGATTCCAAGTTTTCTCTATGTAAAAAAACTTCATTAGTTTTGTCAGAAAACTTTAATTCAACGCTGAACGTTCATTTTTATTTCTAAAGTTTTATTCTGCATGCAGCTTTTAATTCTACTTGATCTTCTAAGTTAAATATTTTTGTAGAGTAATAAAGATTTCGATAAGTTTCCAATTACTGCTACTAGTACTTGCATTGCCAAATTTAGGTTATGACATACGATCGGAAGATGGATATAAAGAAACTTTCATCGAATTCGAGAATACTGTTGGCCTTCAATATCTCCGTGCCTTTCATATTAATGATTCGATGGGTAAGCTTATTCTCTGAAATGCAGAATAATTCTGAATTTTGCTGCTCAGATTATTAAGCAGTGAATATCGGTAAGGATCTATTCATAGAATTGCAGTCTTTTCAGAGAAACTGTGTATCTTTGTGCCCATGTGCGACTGCACTGTCAGTTAGGGGCACAGCAAACTGAAGAGCAAATTGAGATATACAAATTCTAATAATGTGGTAAATCCGAGGCAGTAGATTCAGGTGACTTTGGTTCGAGATTGGATCGTCATGCAAATATTGGTAAAGGTAGGCTGAAGCTGGCAGCTTTTCGTCATCTTATAGCTGATCCACGATTCGACGGTTTACCAATGATTCTGGAAACACCGGAAGGGGACTATGCAGAGGAGATGATCCGATTGTATCACTCATTGAATACTAAAGAATATAAGAAAGATATCAGATCATTCTTTTCATCCATATAAAGCTTTAGCTTATTTTCGTTAAGTTCATAGTTAAAAAATCGAATTTTTTATCATTTCCAGTAAAGATCTCAACTGTTGTTTCGCGCATGTTAATGTATTTTTTAACTCTTCACTCATATAGAGTTTGATATGCTGGTAATCGAAAATATATGACGTTAAAAAGAAAACGAATAGTGTTTGTTTTCTTTTTGACTTCATATATTTTCGATTAGCAGCATATCACCATTAAGCAACATTGACGTTCACAGTGCTAAACATTAACAGGATTTATCTGCACAAGACTTGAAGACCTATTAAAAGGACTTGGTGCTTTAGAAGATTAGCTTTCTTAAAGATGTGAAAAAAGGAAAGGCTTTTATTGTTAAGCGAAAGAGAGGATCCATTGTTAATATACTGCTCAATTAAATGAAATCTAACATATTTTGTTAGATGCTCCTTTCATGTCCTACCATCTATCTTCACTGAATTGAAAGTTGCGCATATTTATGAATAGGCTTTTCTTCCTAACTGAAACTCATCCTTACTACTTTGAAAAGGAAATGATTTTTGTCGAAATTTTTTAATGAACTGAAATTTTCCTATTCCAATAATCTGGAATTGGTAAGAGCGAAATCTTTTATGCAGTCTTTTCCGATATGTAAGCACCTTTGTTTTCGAATTAAAATTATTTTGCAGTTGTTACTTTATGATCAGAATGATATTCGAATTAAGAGATTACAAGATGTCAAAGGAAAAGAAAACGGAAAAGAAAAAGATAACGATCTCTGTAGGATACAGAAAATCTTAAATTTTGACAAGTCGTTTTTCTGTTTTTTTTTAAGTTTTTGATATTCAATGAAAATGTCTGGATAATTTGATTGACAAATTTGATTTCAGCCAAATATTTTTGCGTTTCTTTGGAAATGAACCAGTTGGTTAGAAAATTTCTTGCATTATATATGTATATATATAATGGAAAAAATGAATAATATGAATAATGTAAAGCTTGGTTGGAGATGGAAGCTGACTGTGGGAGAGTATGGGATGACCATACTCATTCCAATACTAATCTCTTAAGCTTTCAGTCAGTCATTTTGAATTCTCTCAAGAAAATAAAGTCTTTTTTAAATTCATCCTAAGACAAAAAAAGTTCAAAGGGTGGACGTTTTGACAGCATCAATTGGATACGAATATTAGAATTTGGTTATGCTGAATGAATTAAGCTTGTTCTTTTTCATCTTTAATTCTTTCTTTCATTTCAACTATGCTTTCTTTTCTTTATACCATGAATAAATTAATTCCTTCGGGTAACACAGAAAGAAGAAAATTGACTTTCTGTTTGGGTGAAATAGTATGAAGAAAATAATCTTCCCGCTTTTTTGATAATAATATAGAACAGATGAGTTATCGATGGTTGGGCAACATGTTAACGGACTTTTGACAACATCCATTGGACAATATTGGTTTCGAAATTGGGTTGGTGAATTTGTCTAACATAATTTACTCATATAGGTAGTAAACTGTATGAGTAATTGAACCATAAATTGAGTGTGGTGTTCGTCTTTCTTCTTAACCCGTAGGCTTGCAGAGAAATTGAGATGCTCTTACTTTTTGTCCGCCATAATAACAACATAATAATAATTCCACTGACTGATATTGATGGCAACATCAATATGAATTAAGCCCTCATGGGAAATTAGACTGTCTTCTGAATAAAGTAAAACGGCAATATTCAAACCTGTTTCCTGCGAATACCTGAATCTGTTTTCTGGATAACACTAGCTTAACATATACCCTATGCAGATCTACGTACCCATCCAAATAACAAATTTCCATAAGTTACCGCGTCATCTTTGCGTCACCGGTGTGCACAGGGGGTGGTAAATCCTCTCTTCACTATCACCCATGCAGTAGGAAATTTGTGTAGCATAATGTCCAAAATTGTGTCTCTGTTGAAGTACGGTGATAGCTGCCGTACACACCGGCGGTCAAAGAGTTGTATGGAAGGAGTTTGAGATAGTAGTTTCTTAAAGTGGATGTGGTCTATACTGACTGAGTCAAGTACCGTTTTAGGAGGAAAATGCTTAGGCAAGAAGTGCCATGGGTATAGGATGTATAATTGCGAAGTGCGAAGTGCACAGTTTGAAAAATACACCATGTGAGAATCATTCCAGAAGAAGCACGCTATAAGAGGGTGTAGGGGAGGCACTTTTCGTTGCGAGAGATGCATATCATCAAACACGAAAATTGTGAAATCATCTTGTATATTATACACTTTTAGCTTACGTTCGACGTTCTAATACTTTGTGATTGTAGAACACTTATGTGCTGTAAAAGAAAAAGTTAGCAGGTAATTGAATAATATCTGCAGTTGTCTTGAACGCCTGATTGCGTTTCGGTATTTATCACTTAGATATACTTAGTTATTTGATTTACTATGTTTCACAAGACGAGAAAATTAGTTCCTACGTGGTCCGAAGCAAGCGCGTTACGTTGGCATAATATTTTGTCAGTTGATCATTTGACGAATGTAATAGGCGATTAAATATCTGACGCTGATATCCATTTTCATCATGTCAAATATAGATGTTTTTTGGGCATAAAAAGAGAATTTATAAGCTTATGGTGCAATAACTGTATATTTGTGTTGTAATTTTCAGGTTAAAGCCGTTGAATAAAATTATCAATAGTGAAGTAATTGGCTGTGATGTCAAAAGGTACGTCAAGTAAACGTCGACATGGCTGCAAAACTCTGCATGAACAAAGTGGTACGACTTCAGATTATATCAGACCATCCGCCACGGGTTCTAGTAGTTCCAGTGCAAGTCTATGTCCTCTAATCTTTAATGGACCATCATTACCTGGTATGATGAATTTTACTTATTAAATTCATGATACGTTTGCTGAGATGGAATTTTATTCCCAGAGTTTCTGTGCTTTTTCGCATTAAAGAGTAGAAATTAAAACTCTCATTCATGTTAAAAGGCGTTATGTGAGTTGCTGACACTTTCTTTGATCTCTTGATGTAGATTGTATTCATTTGGAAATAGCCTATTGTGTAGAATTACTGCATCCAGAAAACTAGCGCCTAAAATTTTTTCAAAGTTGCTAGATCTATTTTGCATAAAATAATTTGGAAACTTTTACTCAATTACTGCTCTGTCTTAGGTGGCGATGTAAATCGCTCCCCTCCGGAAAGTATGCCTTGTGAGCCATCCACTTCGAATGTTTCCAATCAGGTTGCCGCTGAAACTCCTCATTTGAGTGAGTAGTTTTAATTTTTCAAAAGAAGTTTCTCTGCTTTTAAATTTGAAATCTCTTGATCTGAATTATTTTTGATCTAAAATTTCTTATATTACATGAAAAAAGGGCTATTGTTTTAGTAAATGTTACATAGCTTTTCTTAGATTTTCAAGTAATACTTCTTAAAAAGAATAGTGTTTGCCAAGTTTATATTTTATTTGCAAATACAGATTCGGAAGTTTTATTACCTGTTCTCCCAACAATGGATACAACTGGACCGTTGGGTAATTTAGATGACAACAATCATTGCTACGTTGGTTTAGTCAATCAGGCAATGACTTGTTATCTGAATTCGTTGATACAAACATTGTATATGACACCTGAATTCCGAAATGCAATTTATGGGTAAGTGAAAAATTAGTGATTGCAGTTCTTTATTTTCAATAAAAAAGGGAAATTAACGTGACCGAAATATTTCGCGAATATTTATAAGTTATATTTATAGATGGAAGTTCACCGGTTCTGAAGCTGCGGAAGCTAGAAGTATCCCATGCCAGCTGCAAAAATTGTTTTTGCTACTACAAACCAGTGATCGTGAATCATTGGAAACCATTGATTTGACTGCCTCTTTTGGTTGGAGCAATTCAGAAGGTAGTTTTTTATATTCAAGTTTGAACCCTATAATCGCGAGTTTTTCTTTTCTCAAAAATTTTCAGGTCTTCTTTTTTACTAATTGACTTCTGTTGATTGCATTTTATGCTTTAGCTATCCTGTGAACGTTTGAAGCTAAAAAATATCCTTATTGTTTTTTTTGCTCGTAAATTTTTATTTTTCTTACAGCTTACGAGCAGCATGACATCCAGGAGTTATGTAGAATAATGTTTGATGCGCTGAAGCAGAAATGGAGCAAAGCAGACGCTAGTTTTCAAGAGCTATACAGGTTAAATAAAGGAGCATTTGTTAAATAACACTTAACTAGTTTAGTAACTTTTGTTAAGCAGCACTTAACTATATGCTCTTTGCTTCAAGAATTTGGAATTTTATAATAATATAAATCGGTTTTAAGGGGTACCATGGAAGATTTTGTCAAATGTCTTTTCTGCCAAAAGGAAAATGTTAAGCAGGATGAATTTCTGGATTTGCCATTAGCAGTGAAGCAGTTTGGTGCCAGTGATGCCTTCAAAAGCGTAGTAAGCTTTGTGTATGTGCATTGTGTAACGACTTACTTACACCTTATTATTTGCTTCGTTGAATTAACTTTTATAGGAAGAAGCACTTCATGCGTTTATCAGGCCGGAGGTGTTGGAAGGAAGCAATCAGTATTATTGTGAAGGATGCAGAAGAAAGCAGAATGCATTGAAAGTAAGATATTTAGATAGTTTTCGAAATAGTTTAACTGTGCTCAATTATCTTGGACAGCAAATTACACTGATTTAGCAGTTAGTAGCATGGATCCATGGACGTTTTGAAAGAATTTAGGCTAACTTCTAAAGTTAAGGTAACGCCTTATTTTTTAATACATGTGCTTATTTATTCTGGACCGTTATTTAATGAATTTATTTCTGTATCTAGGGTCTTTCACTTCATGCGCATGCTAATAAAAATACTGTTTTACTTGTTTGTTCATTTAACAACAATCTCTTTCATGATTATTTCATCTATTCTTGCTGGAATCGATTATAGGGTTTGCGAATAATAAAATTTCCGTATTTGCTCTCAATTCAACTCAAACGTTTTGATTTTGATTGCAACACACTTCATCGCATCAAATTAAATGACAAGTACGTTTGTGTGTTTTTTCTTCAATACCATCGTATCGGGATATATGTTGGCTATTTAATCTGATGATTTTCTAAGGAACCCTTAAATTGTTTTAGAATGACGTTCCCGGCACTACTTAATTTGAATGAATTCGTTTACGATGCAACAAAAAGTGAACCACCAAAGAAGATGAGTTGGGCATCAGCAGTCTCAATGCCAAGGTTTTCTTTGCTTCTTGTCTCAGTTGTGTACTGAATTATTTATATGTCTCTTATTTCATGTAAATTTATATGTTGTAATTTATAATGTTATTGTTCGAAATAATTGCCTTTGAACTTCCCTCATTTTTTATTTTTTACAGGAAAAAAGATGAACCAACAACATCAAAACCAAATTTATGCGATTACGGTAACAATTTTCGAAAAAAATTGAGAAGTTTTGAATTCATTTATAGAAATATCTAGTTATTTACTGCATCCTACTATATGATTTGCGTGCTGGTTATAGACCATTGCTGGTCAAACGATGATCTTGTTTTTAACACACTGATTAAATTATCAGTGCTTAAAATGTATTGGTATTCTTGAAATGTATTAAAATGCCTTAATTAATTAGTGTCTCGTGCGGAACAGAATGATGGTCACTTGGACGAACAAGAAATTGATATGTTACTTAAAAGAGATGGCCCATTTCTCTATGAATTATTTTCGGTTATGGTCCATCAAGGAAATGCTTCAGGAGGCCATTATTTTGCATATATTAAGTGAGTTTTAGGGCTTTGTAATCTTGCTTTTTTGAATGGTAAGATTTGTTAAAGGGAATTGCTCTCATGAACAACGAAACGAACGCTCGCATTATTTTTTATCATTATTACATTTGAATTCTTGTGGAAGGCCATATTGCATATTAGTATTAATATTTGAGATGTTTATAATACCTGTTTTAGAGGCATCATTTTATTATCATTAGCTCTGCGCTGATGTTGGACAGTTTTCTCAATTTTAACGGGTAAAATATTTTAGATGATGGGATATCATTCTGCACATTTTTTAGGAATATGGATCAGGATAAATGGTTTTGCTTTAATGATAGTAGCGTAACCTCTGCTTCAATTGAAGACATTCATCGTACATTTGGAGGATTTTCTGGTGGCTGGTCATCGGGAAACACGAACGCTTACATGTTAATGTATAGACAGGTTTTCTTTCTTTTTTTAAAGCGAACTGTCGAAATTCAGGAACGATTTTTATTTTCATTGACATTTTTACTATGAAAGGGATGGAACCGGTAGTTCTTAACGGAGTTTTTCCAGATTGATCGTAAGAGAAATGCGAAATTCGTGAGGACAGGTGAATTGGCAGATCATCTTCTGGAACGCTTGAAACGATTTGAGGAACAGGAAGAAGAGAAACTTCGGGAAAAGCAATATAGAGAATCGCTTGTTTCGGTAAAACCCGTTTATATAATATGTTTTCTATGTCTTATACGTTTGTTTTTAATGTTCTATGTTTGTTTTTGCTTAGATGCCTTACTACGTTTATAACTGTGTTACGGATTCAAAGACCAGACAAATTTTAAATGTTTCTTCAGTGTTTGTGATTTATTATCATCGTTAGAATACAAGGTTATGTCTCAATTTCAGGTTAACGTTATGTTTAATGGGGCTCATATCATATCAGACGTTGCTAATCTAACGGAAGCAATAAAATTCCCATATACGGCGAAATTGTCCGAAATTTACGATACAGTTTTTCAAACATTCTGTGCTAAGACTTCGATTTCAGCTTCTGATGTTCGCCTGCTATTGTGCAAAGATTTTACTTATTCGATTATACGTTCATTCACAGAAAGTGAAATGCAAAAGGTGATCGCTACAAAATGCATAATAAGTACTTTTGTACTTTGTAAAAATATCAAAAGATCATTTTCTTTTATTTTTATGCTCTTTTCAATGTTAAATTGAAATTGCTTATGTACATGAAATCCGTTTGCTGCAATTTTCCTGCTTCACTGTTGTTGAATAATTCTTCTTTTACAGAATAAGTTATAGAAACAGAATATATTAAGAAAGAAAGAAATTGGGAAATTACCGAAGTAATAAGCAAGAAAATTTCAGACATTGGAAGAAGTATATCCTGGATGTTCCGTGAAAAGCTTATACCGTCCAATCGTATATTTTCTGTTAGATGTAAAATTGTCTGAAATAGAACAATTTTATCATATTTATGAGGAGGAATCAGTTGGTACAGTAAAATTGATCGCTCTTAATATTGAAAATGGAACCTTCCTGCCAGCATATCAAATGCAATATCATGATAACGAAACAATGAGCATGATAAAGCAGAAATTGGGACAGGTATCAGCTATCTTTATATTAGCGATTTTACCATAAATTCTGCACTATACTGAAAAATAAATTTTTTTAGATTTTCAATCTTTGTGAAAACAAGGTCCACAACTTGCGATTAGTAGTTGACAAAGGAATTGCTGCATCACCGACAATGGTGTTGCTCGATGATGACCGTTTTATTTGTGCACAAGCTCTACTAAATGTTACAAATGTTAAGGTAAACATATGAAACTGCCAGAAATTTTATCTTTCAGCGAATTATTCTCATTTTTATAATATTTAGTTGTATGTGGACGCCGGTGGGGATGGATATGCAACAGATGAAGATCGAAAAGTTGATTTTGATCAATCAAAAATGTTCGCACTTTTGGAAAGAAGAAATCATGCAAAGATATTAATGATAAGCCTTCCTACACCAGGTATATTAATTTTGCTCACTCATATATTTTATGCAGAAAATATGTTCATGTATATTATATATTCCTGTAATATTTCTATTTTTTTTTATTTTTTATGTTTATATTTATGTGAGCTTGTTTTTCTGCTTATTTTCCCACAGTAGGTAAAAAGAGTTGCCATGTTTGAAATGAACAAGCTTTTATATTCGTACTTATGCTTCCAGTGAGCACATTTTATGTCGGATTCTTAATTAAACTTATTTAGATGATTACGTTCATGCTGGAATTATTCCACCAGTTTCACATGACACTAGTCGTTCGACAACGCCGATAGGAAGTATGCCTGCTGACACGAACACAACGACTTCCTCGGGATCTTGTTCAACAGTTATTGACTTACATAGTATTCTTGCTTCAGGCGTAACAGAAACACTTGCGATGAAGCAAACAACTCCCTCAATGGCCAGTAGTCATTTGTCGTCGGTAATTTCCGAGGAGGATAATAATGGCCCGTGCTTGGTAAGTATTGTGTATGAAATCACCGAAGCTATCAGTTTTTCATTATTCATCTTTAGATAAGTTAGATTATCATATTAGTTCTGACGTGGCTCCATGTTCTGTGAAGAGGAGGATAACACATGGCTGTGAGTACTGGACTGTGAGTCATTCAGTAGTCTCTTGGTGAGTGCTGTGTGCAGAAATGCCCGTTTAATTTCTGAAAGTACTTTACGGTAGGACCTGTGAAACTGTTTCCATTAAATTTGTCGGTTCGTTGGTGATGGCTGTTACATTGGTGTGCTTGTAATGGTAGGATTTTGATAACTTGTTTCCGTTCTGTTATTGAATGTGAGAATTAAGGACGGTGATGGTGATATGGATTCTGTAAGCGCGACATGTACCCCAATGGTATCACCGGTTGTATCTGATAGCGACGATACTGCTGATATTGCTATCAGGGATTCCGCTGTTGACCGAATAAGCCGTTACGAAGTAAACTTTTACACAAATTTAGTCTTTTCATCTATTTGTACTTCTATGGTTTTTATGGAGATCGAATTACTTCATTTTTTATATTTTCATGTTTCCTGGTATCCATTTCTATTCCAGCGAACATATGATGCAGTTATGGCAGCCTCAGAACAAAAACGGCTATTTGAAATGGAGAGTACAGTGGAAGTTGAAGCAAGTACTGCAGGCTCCTCTGGTGATACACTTGTAGGTGGTACACACACATACATTTCTGGAACAACACAGTCTAGTTTTGATGTTATCATTCGGAAATCACGGATGAAATCACCTAATGGTTAGTTTGAATGGTTCAAAATTTATACGTCCTTTTTAACGGAACATTAATAAACAATGGTATCATCTTAATCATTTCCAAGCTCTGTTTTACTAGTTTTAGTTCATCATCTCCCATTATGATTCGTCATAAGTTATGTTTGCCCGATTTTGGATTCAAACTGATGCTTTGGAGGAACTGTCTTAAGAACTATCATTTATTTAGACGTGGAAGTAGATGTGGACGATCGACAACTAGTGATTCACATGAAACAATGGTTGTCATCAATAATCGGAGTCGATATGAATGAATTTGTTATTCTTAAGCATTATAGTGCTGAAGACGCTGATGGTTATGAAAATGTTATTAATGAAACGGAAACTATTCATGACGCTTACTACGCTGTTTATAAGGTGTGATGTGAATTAAATTAATATCATGAAAATGAATTAATGGTATTTTTGGAAGGACTGGAAATGCAGTACATCGGATATCGAGTGCAATGCAAATGTCATTAAGTTGTAAATAGTTTTTGCGGAGATGCTGAAATCTCTATCTACATAGGTTTTTTTGACGAAATATCGATTGCGATATTTTGTTTAATTCGTGTTGATTAAACGGTCTTGCGGAGATGCAGAATTCATGATATGGAAGAAGAGCTAAAACTCAAGCGGTAATATGTGGGAACTTCCTTTTTCGGTGCTCCCTTTGATTTTTCATGTTTCGGAGATTTTTTTTGGAAAATTAAAGAGAGTTTAAAAAAATAACGTATGTATTATAGCTGTCAGTGAAATTGCGTTCGCCGCTAAAAGAGAATGAGAAATTGATGCGGATTATCAGGTTTGATCGTGAAAATGCTGATGTAAGTTATTTTACAAGTACATGTTTATTCATGTTCATGAACATTATCTGGACGCAAAGATTTTTTTTTTGATTTTAGCAAGATAAGTGGCCTACATTGTTCAGTATTCCGGCTACTGTCGACATGCTAATACGTACATTATTGATCCGTTGTCAGGAGCAGATGAAGAAGGTGTATGCTACAAAATACGACCTTAGCCAGTAAGTAAATCAAACTGCCCCAATTTAAAATTGCTAGACATTTCGTCCGATTCATCTTTTTTTTCGTCTCTCTTATATAGTCTATAAAATATGTGATAGATTTGCTGTTACTTTGTACCACAAATGGGTTTTTGGAAGTAAATTATGATATTAGCTATTATACCATTCCTTCTAGTACTTATTGTTTAGATTTGTAATGCTGTAAAAAGCAGGCAAACAAACAGCAAGCAAAGTAGATGTATTTACTCATACGAGCTTTGTATTTTATTTGTTGAAGTTGCCTTGTTAATATGATATAATGTTGCTCTCATTTCAAAGGTTACGATTGCGAGAAGTGATTGTTGGTAGCGGAGCTCCAGTACTGTTTCCGAGTGACCAGCTCGGCCGACGTGGTCACGAGTGGAACAAAAATTTGTATTTACAAATCCTTTCAGGTTAGACATACTTAGTATAACAAGCATCAAATTTTTTTCCCATTTGTGCTAGCAGGAGGTCTTTAAGAAGCCCATTTCAATACGTGTGACATAGTGCAACATTTTTTGCAGATGAAGAAGTTGCGCGAGCAAAAATGCATACATCAATATCTTATCCTGTGATGGTTAGACGTTGGAAATCGTCAGTGCCAGAAGTGACATCTTTGGTTGAACTGATGGTTCCAGTAGAAAAACAGGATCAGATCGTAGCACTTAAAGAACAGATTTCTTTTCACTATCGTGTGCCATTCGATCAAATCCAACTATCAGAGGTAATATGTTCCGCTCTTTCCTCAAACTATTCGTCGTCTTAAATACCATCTAGTCCACGTAGTAATTGGAAAATATAAAATCAGTTGATTACTGGGTGTCTTGATCAGTGATGTGAACTTCTAAGTTACTTCTTTTATATAATTTAATAGCTAAAAATAAAGATCAATTATGTTTTATGCTCATAATTTAACGAACTCATTTTTGTAGGCATTTCCAACAACTTCATGGAGTAAATGGCCATATACAAAAGATAGAGTTGATTTGTATGAAAACGTTTGTTTCACCAATGATGTAGCTCCAGCTAGCGGAACATTCAATGGGAAGCTGATCTACTTTAAGTAAGTTTTTGTAGAATATGTTTTTATAATCTTAAATCAATTCTAGGATTTCTTAGCCAAGTTGCAGTTGATTATTAGACTTTTTTCAAGTTCACACCAGATACTTTTATTGGAATTTTGCAGTAATAATCGTAGATGAAGCATAGAAGGCTGTCTAATTCAATTTACAGAGAGAAATGTCCGAAGTCAAGTTATTTGGCTGCTTCTGTTCGGGATCAGTGATGAGTTATATGATTACTTTTTTTAGGTTAGCTAATGAGAAAGTGCGACAGTTAACAGAAGAGGAGAAACGTACGTTGAGATATAAAGACAGTGCTGGAAAACTTGGAGATGCTACCATCTTCCGAAGAAAGGAAAGACCGCTAAGGATACAATTGTCGACTAGTATCACGGAAGACGATTAAGGAAATGTGTTATTTATTCATTTGTTCTTTTCTTTCACTTATGGTACATGTCAAAAAGAGATTTTTGTTTGAATTATCCAATAAAATGACTTACAAATGGTAGGAAAAGTGACTGCAGTGCTGCTGCTGCTGTGATTTATTACCTCTGATTGAAATTGATTTGAAATTACTGTTCATCGATTTTGATTATTTTTAGGCACCAGTTATAAGTCTTATCTCTGTATAGAATGAGAAGTTTAGGAATAATAAGAGTATTGATTTTTTAGAGGATAGTCTGCACAACCATATGTACAGTTCATTCAGTGCCTATTGCTTTATCTCATGTTTTTATGCATTATTGTTTCTGTATTCATCTCATATCGTGATTATTGTACTATTCTTGTTGCTGATGTTTTCGTTTCAGCAAATCCTTTTTTTAAGAGGACGTTTCTATCCATATATTCATCTCAGTAACTTATATCGTTTTCTAAAAAATTCTCGACCTTCTGAATTGAATTATTCAAGGATTGTGTCGCTTTTGTCATACGGGATTCACTGATTTTTCATTATTAATTGTTTCTTTTTGTTTCGGCCAAAAAGTTTCGCTTCTCGATAGCCATGCTATATTTACACACTCGCTTTACTACTCTAATAACGGATGTTTTACCGTCATAATCAGTTTAGATGTTCAACAGACAGAAGCAACCCCTAATGATTTTTTTTTCGTTTTTACAATTTTTCTCCTTTACTTAATTTTCACAGAATCAATATTGATGGTAATTGTTGCTTGAGATTCATCTCTATACCTAATCATGGTGTTATTAACAGTTGTGGTTCATTGGAAGCTTCTGCATCATCATTTCTTCTCTCAAATTCATCTTACCACTGATTTTCTTGTCTCTTGGACATAGTCATACTTCTTCATGTAAACAACCCCATACGAACTTTTCAAATCTTAATGTTAAATAAAACCAGACTTGGTGGTAGGCAGTGCTCCTTATATCCTCACCCTCTCGCAATATTACTACCTTAATCAATCTACTAAGCATACAATTTTCGAGGTTTATCGTGGCATGAAAGAGCCGCCTGATTCAAGTTGTCAGTAATCAGTAATGATTCCGTGAAGCAATTTGTTGCCTATGGGTTTTTCGTTCTGCATGTTTGTATATTGTATGTCGTGCTTGTTATGGGAGTTAATAGTTGTGTTAAATGAATTATTTTGCTATTTGTGGTGTTTGTTAAAAGCAACTCGATATGCATATTATTCCTGTACAAACCACGTGGAAGGTTACATAAATATGCGTGTTAGATGTGTTAGATTACAACTTTATGGTTAGCTGATATGTCATAAAGATACACCTGCAGTGTTTTGAATTATATTACCTGCATCATGAAATAATTAAAAGGTTGTCGATTACATCTTTCATCTTATTTCATTAGAGCACGACAGTGCGTGGTAACAACAAAAAACATGTGATGACCGTCGTCACCATTGTGAAGAAAAGATTCAAATGAACGATGGTTGTTACATTAAGTTTTGACGGAATACTGGTAGCAGTTTAGAGTTAAAAGTAGGAAGTCATCTTGTTACAGACATTGTTTCAAACAGTGGGTTTACTTTCATCCATAGAAGCCGCCGAGACCGCAGCAACTCATACCGAAACCATGCAGACCAGTGCCGTATAAACCATAACCACCAATCCCGCCATAATTTCCGTAACCACCAATCCCGCCATAATTCCCGTAACCACCAATCATGCCGTAATTTCCATAACCATAACCATAACCGTAACCATAACCTAAATTAATTAATAACTTTGTAACGATTGTAATAAGTTGGTAATATAGCAGGAAAAGGAAGTTTGAACTATCATAGCTGATATACGTTAAAGCTTTTCCATTTTAAAGGATTTCCAGTTAAGTGCTCTATGAACACTTTTATTCGTTAAGTTTAGACCCTGTTTATTGTGACGTAGACTTTCATTATTTCAATCAAGTTAGTTAAAACTTGGAAATTGGATTTAACCATTTGTGCCAAATGATTTAATATTTGGATTAAATTACTTAAATTACTGGTGCAACTAATAGTAGTGAATAAATAATCAACCATACCGCCGCCGCATCCAAGCATACCGAATCCACCACAACTGCCAAAAAACTGTCCTTCGGCAACGGATAATAAAAGAAGTGACAATGTTAGTTGTACCATTCGCATAATCACTCACTCTATGGAAAGTAATTTTCCTCGATTTTATCGTCCAGTTAGTAAGAAGATGAAATGTTTGTACAATTATATATATATACTTTGTTGTGAATAACTTACTAGTTTCTTGCCATTGTATGATCTTTGTTGAAGTAAGGTATGTATTGAATTTTATGCAAATAAAAACACGAGCGAGAGATTTATTAAATTCAGTACTTGAAATGTATATTGTATCATTATTTTTATTGTATAAGCAATACATTTAAGTACTACTTGCTATTACTGCTACTGTCATCACTATTATTATACTATTCTATGGATCTATATAATAAATCTCTTCACTTTAATGTTGTTACCTTACGATGGCTTTTTTTTGTCTTATTTCTATAATAAATTTTTAACGAAATTGTTAAAATCACGACTGAGAATTCTTCTCTTTATTCTTTGCTGTTGAATTCTGTATATTTATCACTAAATGTTTAAGTTTACCGTTTTTTTTCTCACAGTTATACGATAGGATAGAATAAATTAACAAACAATGATTTTATTTCATTTTCGTTTTTCAATTACATAGTTTGTATTCATTATGTAATATATCACATCATTTATCCTGAAGATCAATAAGATAGATTAGCATTAAAATACAACCGAGTAAATATTGTACAATGTTTAGAAAAGATAGAATGATAAGGGAGTATGGACATTGGAAGCGCATAAATCACCGCCGAATGAAGTAGTTTTATAACTTATTCGTGAAAGCTAAAGCAAGCAAATTATGCTTTTATCATTGCAATATACTAATAACAAGTGAGTTTTGTATAACTATTAGTTAAAGCTCCGCAACACTTATCCAGACGTTTATTTATTTGTATGATCAGTGAATAGTGGATGTTATTTTGATTATTTGTACCTTCCATCATCTTTTTCCATTACTCGTCATTTCCGCCATCTGACATTTCCATCTGTTACTTTGGTATTATCTGGTGAAAGTGGCTATGACTTCATTATTTTTACTTTTCAAATCTTCTGTCACCTTCAATTGCTATCAGTCCTTTCTGTTATTGTGTCTTATCAGTGAATAAAGAAGTTTGACAAAGTTATTTGTTGGTTGATTGACATGTCATTCGATAATATAAGTTCTGATAGGTTATATGCGGCATAGAATACCTCATCAATGAAACTTTCATGACATTGGAACAAATTTTCATTATTATTCCTTTTCCTCACTTACCCCAACACGAAAATTCATACTGTAATCTGTTTCTTTCAACACCTTTAAATACAATGTAAGGTTAGAACGGTAGCACATTGCTTTTCATTATTGTCAATCAAAATATATTACTATTACTATATTACTATTACTACTACTACTACTGCTGCTGTTTGCCGGATGGTTGCAAATTGAAAGGAGGAAGAACCGGCTCTTTTTCATCGTTTTCACCCCTCTTTACCTTTCAAATCGCGCTTGGTATGTCGCTTGGTATGTCATTGCACATACTTATATGTTGTGTGTGTATGTCTATATATATATATATATATAAATTGAACATGTCTTACATGAAGCTTAACCCAAGTTGTTCTTCACTTCTACTTCTTTATGAAATAGATTAGAACGTGGGTAATGTGAAAGAGAAAGAGAGAACAAAGGGAAGAGAACCCTCTCGAGACACTGCCACAAATGTCAACCTTGTGTCGTCATTATCAGCAATAGTGTGCGCGGAACTGTCACATACACATATACTTGTGCCATTTCATAACAATAACATTATCATTGTCATCTTCATCCTGTCATTCATTATTGTCATTAATATTATCATTTATCATCACTACAGTTGTGATACTGAATCGGGGAGAGGAAGAGGTAAATTACTTCAGGAAAAGAGTGCATTCTCATCCTTTTCAAAACAAATATTTTTCCATCGCTTGACAAGAAGAAAAATTCTACCATCCTATTTGCATTGTGGCCATTGAAATAAACAAGTATATTTGGACTTCTTGCATTCGCTAAAAGGTATGCCTGTGTGTGTTTGTGTGTGTGTGTGTGTGTGTGTGTGTGTGTGTGTGCGTGCGTGTGTGTGCGTGATCCTGTTTTAACTTTTCATTCGTTAGGTTAGGTTGATATTGAAATCAATGGCGCCACGACGACGAAACTCTTTTTAACCATACCTAATCCCCGTTCTCGCCCCCGTCCTTCGCTTCTATGCACCTTCGCCTCCCTTTCAATTAACTGTTTTATTCATTTTGGTATGCTTATCAAAGCAGTTGTTTTGTTGTACCGCATACTTGCACTACCAAGAACTAAGTGATAGGAATAGAAAGAGAAATGGTTGCAGGATGGCAGTATCGATTTATTTTCCTCTATTTAATTAAACAAAACATTTGATCAGTGTTGGCTCGCAGTTTTTCAAGAAGAAAAAAGTCCAAAGTCCAAATTAATTTTCTTTTTTTCCATTCCTAAAGATATCCTCGGAGATTTATCCATGCGGGCAGGACAAAACTAAAGAATTATTCTGATAGAACATTATCTGAGCATTTCCTTGGTTTCAAAAAAAAAATCCAGCTTTATTTGATTGATTCCAAAAATCTAAATTTTAATGAATTCTCATCCACTTTTGTTTAACATGCAATTCTGGGTGGTGTGTGGGCGGTATTAGTATATTCTACTGTGGCGGGGTAAGGAGACGGGACGATATAGGTTGTTGTTTTCTTGGAGCTGTCGCGGGAAGCGAGAAGAAGGGAGAGTGTACGCTTGCGGAGAGGTTCGTTGTAAAGTTTTCCGTTTTGCAAGAAACAGGGATGAAATAGCTACGTAATTTATGAATTCATGTTCGGTGTAATGTGGAAGTGTCCGTTTGTTCGCCTCCTGCAGCTTCGCTTAACTTTGTATCATTGGCTCTGTTAGCATCGGAGCGATAGGCTCTTTTTTTTCACATGAGTGAATGTTCCGTTTCAGTCTGAAATCACTTTCACAATGCATCAATTTAGTGCTTTCAGAAAAGTTCTCTCTTCCTTCATATCAATTTCTTATTACTCCCAAAGGTCACCCGACATTTTGTAAGAAGGAATGTGTACGCCACTGTGAGATTTTCATCTTTTTTTGTTTAATTAACAGAAACTAAAATAAGTTAAAGAAAGTGCTGGGAAAAGAAAGGAGTATGTATTGGAGAGGAATTTCCGAGAAATGGGAATACTAAGGATGGATGATGAAAAGTGTAAAATGGGAAGGCTTCCTGTATGCTAGCATGTTTATGTTACCGGAAATTGAAAGTCGTTGAATGGTTGATTGGGAAGTATGTTAAACTTAGGGAAGGGTATTGGTAGAGGGCGGGGAGCGGGTGAAGAAATGAAGAAGAGGTAGGAGAGAGAGAGAGAGAGAGAGAGAAGAGATGGTCGTTGGAGTGAAATGAAGGAGAAATGCTTTACGGAATTGAATGCGAACGTTCGCATGGAGCGGAAGTGATCGTTCGTTTCATAACATTATTTCTGAAGATAACAGTACATCCGTAGAAACTGCAATGATTCATTGCTGTTTATCGGAACTAATCCAGAATGAATTCTGTTGTAGCTAGGTTGACTGAATAAGTTAATGGTAATGTTTGCAATGGAATGGATAAAGAACATTTAACCAATAGATAAAATCTTAATTGGTTAATAATCTACAGTGACATTGAAGGTTTTACGAATGGAAAGAATGAACGAAAGAATTATTACAGAGGTAGGTTAAACGTCGATTTCTTTAAGGATGGAATAGACTTTGATGGCCTTTATAAGTATTTTCCATGAGGGAGAATAAGAAGAGAGTTTCATATAATTATAGCTAATCATTTCAAAGGGAATATAATTGCTATATCCATTTATGGCTTTCCTCAATCTCCAGTTGCTGTTCTTTGGCTCTAATGGTTTCTATGAAATGTTTCCATTACTGTCATTATTCCCCTTCTTCCTCGTCTCATAGGCTCTCTTTTTCCTTCCGGTCTAGGCCTTATTCTCTCCTCTCATTTCGTTGCCTCTTATTCTACCCATCTGCTACGGGTCATATATGATCGATGGTCGGTCGATGCTGGTCGGCGTTATAAATGACCGGATCGATGTGTTGCGTGGACAAACGGACTGATGGATGATGGTATTGGATGGATAGAGATAGTGTGTAGTTTGTGTTGATTGGCTGCAAGTAGAGTGGGCACTTTACAATAAATCTTTTTGTTCCTTATGCCTTCCTTTTTTTTGTTTGTTTAATGAATTCCAGATAGCATATACACTTACGTGTACTTTTTAAATTTACTTATAAATATCACACGTGCGCATTTGTCGATAATACTTATTACTAATATAAGCAGGTAATTAGTTAATTTTTTACTCACGTATTTGAAGTACAATTGAATAAGATTAAAAGTAAGTGCCTTAGACAGATCATTCACTATGTCATTTTCATAAATTCTCTCAATAGTTACTGTTAAGTGAAATAGTGCGAAAAATATGGACGAGATCAGATCATACAAATCAGAAATGAAGGCTTTCTGCTTTTAAGCAAGATTACTTATCATAAGGATTCTTTTAGGTACTCTAGAATTATTGTAGTTTGTTTCATACTCCACATAACATACTTGAATGTGGAAATCAATAAGATGAGATCACTGATATGAATTTGGCAGCAACATCAGAAGATTTTGTGATAAGGGTAACAGGTCCTTATTGATGTGGTGCTAACAATTTCTCGAATCAATACTGTTTGTCAAGCAGAACAGCCAGACATAGAACAAATTATTAGTATAATTCTGTTTGTTGACTTTGTTATTAGTGCTTTAAACTTTTGCCTTACATTTCTAATTTGAGTAACAAATAATTGGCTTATCGGTTCCGAAATTATATTATAATTCTGCATTACCAGATCTAGACAAGAATTCGAAATCGGTTTTTTTGACTATGGCATTCCGTGCTAATTGACTTTTTCATTCTCAGTCAGACATAATTCTTTTATTCTTCATTGTAGCTGCAATTGTGATCCCTCGTTAATGGTACTCAATCTTTATTGAAAATTTTTTTATTCATTTCAGATAAGCTCTGTGATATTTTGGAAGAAGCGGTAGTTTGGGGAGACCAGTGCTTTCTGGTTGGCGATGTATGCTTCTGTAAAAGGGAATGATTATCATCGGTTAGAACGAGAGATCCGCTCGGTGATCCCTCATTATACTCTAGCAAACAACCGTTCTCAATAACGATGTGTTGGAAACCAATAGTGGCTGGAAAGATAGCGCAATGGCTTTGGTGGTCCACTCTTATATTTCTGCTTCTCAGGGCTGCAAAAGTATGACTATTTCATTCCTTTCCCTTGAATACTTGTTTTAAGAAAAGGAGTTGCAGAAGAATGATGTAATAATAACCTGGAATAATAAATAGTCAGCATTAGGCAATTTGTGAATGATGTACGGTGAAATTAATTAAATATAATTAAATATATGAGTTTTTGCAGCAATCTGATGCACAAATAGATTTGGCAAATAATCATAAGAGTGATCTGAATGATAAAAATATATGGTATTCGGGAAATATTAGCGCAACATCTCTTAAACTACAGCCGAAAACACCCAACGAATTGAGTGAGTTTTTATTGTATTTTATATTTATACTATGATATGTTGCAAAAATTAGATATCAGGAAAACCTAATGGAAACTTATTAGCTTTGTCAAAAGAAATGTTTCAGAGATACCAGAATGCGAAGATTCGATCAACGATTGTGCATACGGTGGTAAATGCGTTGCTGATCAAAATGGTTACAAATCTTGCCTCTGCCCAGCGAGTTGTCCAGCTTGTTAGTTCTTTTCTAATTTTTATGAAATTTCGCAATTTTGGGAATACAAATGACATCGATTGCTTAGTTCTGTCTAATCTAATTTCTACGAAAGGTTTTGTTAACCAAATGTTAAAGCGACTAATATATATAGTGTGTTCTCGACTGCAGTTTTTGCCGTGTTGTCCTATGAAAAATTGAAGATAGCCAATGATGTTTTTTATGTATATATTGCATTCTATAATTGATATTACTTACGTATATTGCAGCAATTCCGGTGTCATGTCGTGCCGGTAGACAAGATGATTACTGCATGTCGATGAGTGATGAGTATAGGGATAGATATCTACTGCCAGAACCTGCCTGTCATATGGTTTGTTCCATTTTTGTCTTGTCATTTCCATAATTATCATTCTTTCAAAATTTTTTAATTTGGTGTGATATGTGAAAAAGTATCTTCTTGGATATGTATATATGGAAGAAATTCTGTTTCGCGAGCAGTTTAAATTTTTCTTAAAAATTTAAACAATCGTAATTTGAGAGTTTGGAAATTCTTTTGAAAAGTATGAAAAAGAAATTCATTTATCCAGTTTGGAGCTTTAAAGGATTCTGCAACATTTCTCATATTCTTTTAGAGATATCAATTTTCTTTCACTGGTCCAAGAACTACTTTTGTTAGTTTAGTATGTTCTGAAATTTTAAGACGGAAAGACCTAGGCTTTTTAACTTCAACTATTTGAAAACAAAATATATTGCACAATTCACCATTCTGCCAAGATATTGAACTTGATTTTTAATGGTTGATGAATTGATAAGGGGTTGAGCTTACATTCCAGAAGAGCAAGTTTGAAACCGCAACTTGTGGAAGTTGTTATTTGATTTTTCTGTCATTATTTTTTAAAATGTTCGGAAATTAATTTTTACGCTGAATTTGCAATTTTTATTTGAGATAACTAATAAGTAATTCAGCAATTCAGTTTTTTGTTGAAAAGCATAATGCGATATCTCTTAATCGTTACCGGACGTTCTCAGACTTTCATTCTAACTATGACGTGATCAATTGGCTTTTAGACAGACATTCGAGTGCGCTCCATAGTATAGTGAATTACGTTTTCAAATCCAAATATGCCAACTGTGTTTATAATTAAATATCAATAATTAATTACGAAGAAATTTTTGGTAGTTGAAATATTTCCTGTTTTCACGGTATGGTCAAAGCCAGATAGTATTAGAATTGTCCTTAGATAGTATTAGAATCCATTTTGATCTCGAAAGTCGAAAAAATCAAGTGGTTACATTTTATTTTTTTCAGCATTAATCGAAAAGGAAATGAGACGAGTTGTATGCATAAGTGAATATAGCGATTTGAAAAATTTTTTCATTTTGACGTCATCCAAGTTGTCTGTCGTTACATTTCGTAGGAAATCTAAGAAATCTAATTGAAATGAAGTTAAAAGAAAAGCATTCATTGTATGTAGGTTTTTTTATGGTTAATATTTGTTCTGATAATTTCGGTATTGGTAATGGATTGTTATGGGGAGATTGGCCTTACTATGTATTGTTATTCTTAGTCTGTCATATTGCAGGGCATTTGTGTTTGTCCTCCAATGTTTGATTCTTGGAGACTAGAAGGAGCTATTGAATTACTTCCCTTCAAATGCGATCGAAGTATATTTATTTCTTTAAGAGTTGATAAATTTAAATTGTTCTAGATCATGCTTTTTCATGAAGTTACTTATCGATACAGAATATAGAGAGCTCGTGAAACAGTAGAATTGATTAAAATGAAAAATAGAATGCGATACATAGGTCTTCTTATTTTCTAGACATTTTTAAATTGATCAATTATTTATAAATATCGGAAAAAAAGTGATTGCAGGAGAACTAATAGTGCAGGGACGGGCGCTTCCATCAGATTCTGTCTATCAGGGTACTGATGCCAGTTTATTTTGTTGCATTAATATGGATCCGAGATCATTTATTGATGACGATGGGGTTTGTTCTCAATGCCTTTTTCTTGAAAATGGATTTGCTACCGTCGTTTTGTTTAAAACTGTAACATTGTCACTGTGATATGAAGAGTAAATAGTTAACAGTCTGCAAAGATTTCCGGAACTATTCGTTTGGGTACAGAATAACTTATCTTCGATCTTCCTGAATTTCTTATCTCAAATTTAGTCTTTTGTAGGTATTCTTTAAACTGTTTCCGTTCTTCCGTGTACCAGTCAGATGGATATTATGAGTAGATGAATAATATTGAGAAATGTGATTTCCGAAAAATTTGGGAAAATTGTTAGTTAACCTGGTGATCTTTGATTTCGTTGTCACCAATGATAGAGAAGAGAGGAGGAATTGGATTTTTTAGGTGGACTTTATACAGAATTCATCAATCATACGTGAGCCAACTAATACACCGTACGATGAAGTTTTCACTGACGGCATTGAACCACCACGTTGCTGGTCACTAGAAATTAAGAACGCACAGTATAGTGACAGTGGAACATACCTTTGTCACGTAAAAACAACTGGTAAACATGAAATCAACACTAATCATACGATCAATTTCTTCGTTAAAGGTATTTTATCATTCATTTATCCATTCATTATATAACTGTCTTTAGTGAGATATTCGAGTTTATGCAATGGTATTCAATTAAAAGGAAAAAATATTCTGAAATTAAATCTTTTTATGAAATCCGAGATTTGTTGCGTTGACTTTTTCAATCAGATTTATTGGGATAGATGCTCAGGCATAGCTTTAATGTCACTTTTACAATTCTCTCAATTTTATTTTTGACGTTCAGTATTAATCACTTCTTTTCATAAGACCAGTATCATCAAGGAATGAGAGAAGATTGCAGTAATCAGGATCTTAGAATCTTAATTTTAATGGGGAATATCTTTTTCTTCTTCGAATATTGGTCTGGTTATGTACCAGTAAAACGATGATGGTCGTAAAAGCTGACAAATTTTGATATAAATTATTGATATTATCAGCTTTTTGCATCAAAAATGCGGTAACTCTTTCATATGAGTATATATCAACTAGCGAGATATCATTAAACTACTGCTAAAAATGGGATTTAAATTTTCTTCGCCTTAGAAATTATATTGTTTATGATATAGATATAGAAAAAAGAAAGTGAGAAAAGAAATATTTTTTAGGGAAAGAAAGTATAATAGCAAGTCTATCGAATTATTTTCTTTCTTTGCGATCGTTCATATTTCGAAAAAACCTATAACCCTTTCCCTTAGAAATTGTATTGTTTATTATATAGATGTGGCAAAAGAAAATGGAAAAAGGAAAGTTTTTAAGGCAAAGAGGGTATAGGTAAAAATCGGAACTCTTAAAAAAAGTATTTGCTATCATAATGTCTGAGAGAAAAATTTTTTGAATTCCGAAAATAGTTCGGGAAAAATATCCGTTAAATATCCTAGATCAAGGTAGTCTTCCCACTCGCGAACATTCATCGTCCAAACTGAAATTCCTCGATCTGCTTGCTGAACGACGAAAGTCCAAGAAATTTGAGGAGAAAAGTGAGTCAGTAGGAAGTTTAGCATGTACTGTCACTTTATGATCTGCTGGTATACTTTTCTAATGCATGTTTGCTGGTTTGTGAATTCCAGTGGATAGCTTTAAATTCTAGAAGATTTCTTGATCTATGACAACCTTGTAATAGAGAATCTTTTTCAATAAAAGCATCGTTTATTTAGCAGCCAGTACTTTTCGATTCTCTTTAGATGACGCTTAGGGATAGTTAAATAAGAAAGGCAGAAGTACTTGTTTAAGAGTTAAATGAAATAGTTTAGTTATCGAAGAAATAAGAAATTTATTGTGTCCTTTTTATAATACATAATGATTTGAGAGTCTTTTTGTGTTCATTACAATCTTCAATTTGTGATCGATTCCTTATTCTAACAAAGTATGAGGCGCATATAGAATCTGTTTGAGCTTTGTTTTTTTTTGAATTTCGAATTTAAAAGTTAAAAGCTCTCTATAGCCATGCGATCACAAGGATGGGCGAAGTATTTGAGCAGTTATTCAGGAGATTATGTAATTAGCTGATTCGCATTTTTTCAAACATTTTATTTAGCATAGCCTTTGGAAGGAGTTTTAAGACTTATTTTTCGGAATTCATCATTACAAGATTCTTATATAAAATATTAAGCTTGAAGTGCAGTACAAAGTATGATAACATTAATATGCCGTTATTTCAATGGACATCTGCTGAAAATGTAATGGCTATGATTGGAATCTTGAAAATATTTAAAATGTTGTTGATATCAAATTTCTAGCACTTTTTTACTCCCTGATATGTGCATGTATTCATTTGCATGATGTTTGTTGCGTTGCATGTATGCAAGCTCATCGTTGATTGAAGCCATCCATAAGTAATTTTATTGTATACTTATTTCTAGCACCTCGAATTATTCAAAATGTGACGGTGAAAACGAATGCAACTCATGCGGAAATTCGATGGGATGCTCAGGATGATGGACTAATGCTGAAGATTGATTTCAAGTAGATTTTTTCCTTGTGTATTAGCTATTAAATTTTGATGTAAGCATATACTTTATCAGGTTGGGGAGTGATGACAAAGTGGTAATCAAATTTTAAGATATGCTTTCGGATAATGTGAAACTGAGAAGGCATTACCGCATGTTTGTAATAACTGCAAGCCTAACTAATTAAATTGATTTATTGAAGCTAAAATTTAAACAAGATTGCATTAATTTTTTACTGGTATTGCAGATTAGTGCGACGAACAGATGGGGTTGAAGTGTGGTCAGACATTAATGCAAAATCTGGCGTAGTCATTGGAGAGTTGTTACCGGCGACTCCGTATACATTATTTATATCGGTTTTCGATGGTCAAAATGAACCGTTCAAAATAACCGAACATTTCAGAACATCTGAAAGCGGTAATTTTGCTTGCAGTATTACTATTTAGCAAATGATTAGAAAATGATTCATGATTAGAGTAATACTTTATAATGACGGTGCCGAGGTGAGAAATTTGATAGATTAAAAAGGAATGAGTTTTTTTGGTTAGAAAATCTCGAGTGCCATTCATTCATACTAGTTTCAAATCTTTATGGCAGTTTTGGAAAAGAAGGACAGATTTATAATTTTAGTTATTGCGGTGCTTTTTCTTTAGCTAGTAATTTCGATTTCCATTTTGATTTATAAAGAAGGATGGATAGATATATTATATTATTTAAAATTGCACCACTTCAATTTGCTTATATTTGATAAGTTTAAAGTTACATCAGTTCAATTTGCTTAAATTTGATAAATTTTCACAATATCATTTTCTCTATCTATTTTAGCTCCGGAACCACCAACACTGGGTGAAATACGTGTTCTCAATCTTCAAGGTGGTTTGTATTGTGAAGTTGAGTGGATGCCTCCGAAAACACCTAATGGACGTATCATTAAATATTACGTATGTTTATGTCGATTTCCATATATGGATTTTTTCTACAGGGTTTATTTTAACCTTGAAAATTTGTTGAAATATCAAAATTTAACAGGTAACAGTACGAGGACAAATACGACATGTTTCGTCTGGAGGAATTTTATCAAATGATGATTTTCCAGCAGAGGAGAAAAATCAATGCGCTAATTACAATAATAATGATAGTAGTTATACGAGTGCGGATGCTATTGCAGACTTTTATTCGTGTCGTTTTGGACCGCTGAAGGTATTCGATTTTTATGCATATGAAATCTGGAAATAAAATTTCGATTAATAAATTATTTTAAAAATTTGTTTACACTAACAAAATTTTTTTGCCCAATACATATTTCTAAAGTTACACGTCATATTTCTTTTTTCTTTAGATGTTGTTTTGCTTTCTTTAGATGTTGTTTTGATACAATATATTTCTTTAGATATTGCTTTGCCTTTGATTACTGAACTCTTACTAAGTAATCAAATATTGTTCAGGACTATTAAGTTCTTTGAAAGATTGATGATTTCCTCGTGGGATTAGTGAAGTTACTTTACTATTATTGATCTTCTTCGGAGTGTCTACAGTTAACGATGTGAAGTCTTTTCAGAACCATTTCATTTTTTATAATTGCTAATTTCTTTCTAGATCATTTAAATCTTCCTGAAATTATTAATTTGTAGCCAAATCGGAATTATACTGCATTCGTGTGGGCTGAGAATGGTGTTGGTCGAAGTGAAAATGCAACTTTTTCTGAACAATGCATAACGGACTTTGCACAACCGGATGCCGTGGATGCTCCTGCTTCGTTATCACAAAACGGAACAATATTTGCTTTAACATTCAATAGCGAACCGGATGAAGTAAATGGACCTGTGGCGTAAGTGATCTATATCTAAGTGACGATAAAATCTCAAAAATCTCAGCGGGCTGCTATTTAGTCTTTAGTAATTTTATTGCTCATACAAATAAAGTTATAATAGATGAAAACTGACTTTTATTTATAAACTTTGATGCTCAAAGTGGAGGAAAATGCCATGGTTCTGAAAAGTAAGCAGAGTTATAGCATGTATTTTTTTTCTTTGCACTTTTAACGTAAATTATTTCATTTGTTTAGTCTAAGGACGATTTTCATAGGAGCCGTCAAGCTAGTATCAGTACTAATTTAACAATGAATTTTAAGGGTCCTACTTTTGTTTTATAGATGTTATTACGTTGCAATTGTCCCACTAGCACAGGACGTTGTTATTGAGAGTTTGCCGTCACCCGATTCACTTATTGTTGATACATTCCTGAAAACGATGAGCAATAATTTGCAGAGTGAGCAGCTTAAACAAGTAATTTATCTATCTTTTTTCTTGTTTAATACATCTCCATACAGTTATGCTACTAATGCGTGGCTGTTTTTTTTCGTATTCATTGCAGCTCTTTTCTAATTTTGGCTGGCATAATCATAGAGTGGAAACATTTTGATTTCTTCTGGAGGAAATTGCAATACAAGCAGTCATACTCTTCTGTCTCTATCCACCGATCACACTTTCGGCGGTCTGCATCTCTAACCTTTTCTCTTCCAATAAAACGTTGCAATTTCGGAATTATGCCTTGCTATCTCTCTATTAACTCATACTGAAGATATTCCAGTTCCATTTAAGATCTTGTATTTGAATAATATATGGAGGAAACAGCTATATAAAGACAAGATTTTGGAATTTTTCAGGGTGCAAAACAGAAACGTTACTTTGCATATATTGCGGAAAGTTATATGCAATATCCAAAGAGAACACTTATTGGTGATGGTAATACTACAGCTGGTGTAGAACCCTGCAATGTTTTGTATGTCGTATAATAGAAATCGAGATTGTATTGGTAATAGTCCACATACGAGTTTTCTGATAGCCAATTACAGGTACTTGAGTCGTCATCGACCAGAGGACCCAGCGTTGAAGCCCGGTTTAAAATATACTGGTTTCTTGATTGCACGCGTTGATCGTGATCATTCTACGCGTAGTGAATCATTCCGTCACAGTGATCCTTTTTTCATGAAGAGGAAGCGGTAAATTTCACTGCCTCTTTTCATTGTTGCATGTAGCACGTCGGTATCTCTTTCTTCGTTCTTCTTGTCATGCTTAAATTTTGTATTCATCCTTGGTTGATATGTAAAATTTGGTGTATGCATCAAATAATGTATTTCTGATAAAGATCAATAATTTTTTTAAGGAGGTGGTTATATCAGAACACAGAGAAACGATTTTTGGGTCGAAGCCGTTGGTTTAGTTATCGTGAGAATTCAGAACTTCCACGTCATTTTCGGTCATCACGACAGTTAATTGTTAGTGGTCCAGCATATGGCTTCAGCGGATATTTTAAGCCCGTAATTTTAGAAGCTTTTGATGGTATGATTTGGATATATTGTTTGTAAGTAATATTCAATAGAGAATTCCTTAACTTGGTTACAAATATATTGATCGAGTTTGAGCTTTTGCTACTGCTTCTGATAACAAAAGTTAACAGGATAAGATCTTAAATTTTGAAAGCAATAAAATGTTTTCACATAAGTTACTTTGGCAATCACAACATTAGCGTCATGCTTTGATATCATAATAAAATGCAAAGTAGAAAGTCTAGTTGTGTAGAACTTTGATTTTTGCCGAGGCCCCAATTATCAGTCATTTAAAATAGATTTTTTGAAATTTGGTTGATTGAAATAAGTTACTTTTTTCCTCAAATTAGTGCCAGCGATTTATTGTTAATAAACAGTTAATGAAATTTATTGCAGAGCAGTGGGTTCAATCATGGATGACGGTACTGTTCAGTGTGCTTTCTTTGGTTTTGTTCATTATGCTAGTCTCCTCATTTGTTACCTATATTTTGCACAGGTATCTTCTCCACTTTCATTATTTCTAATGGTAAAATCTCTTGAAACGTGTTACCCCTTGTTGGGTACAGTTCGTAAGCCGCCTTTTAACATTCCTGTTTCTATATAACTAATTTTTTTTGCTAACAGTGCAAATTGATGAGTGGATCTCTTCATTTGTGATCAGGATTTGTTGTAAGTGATAACTGCTCCTTTATCGTACTTGAAGGCGTGGAATGATAAAACAGCTATGTCCGATGAATAAGGATCGCATACTTCTTAAGCCTCATTTTCATGCAACACTCGTTGATGATCTACCGGAAGAGTATGCTATTAGACGTCGTGACAGCAATTACCTATGCATTTCCGAGTTTGATGTACTTATAACTTCTTTTGTCATTTGATCAAAACTATTATTTTCCGTTGTATAATTTTTAAAAATATCAGAGGTATCTATTCTTAGATGTTACACTTGCCACTTGTTCTAGGATCACTGTGTTCCTTCATTCTTGGAAATTTCAGTTAATAGCAGCTATTAATGCTTCTTTTGAAGGCTTTGCCAAATTATCGTTCAATGGAGTCGAGTGCTTCGGAACGCCTCGAGAATGCCCACAAAAATCGTTACAATGATATAAAGGCATTCGATGCTACACGTGTCAAGTTACCAGTTATTGGAAATGATCCGTCAACTGACTACATCAACGCAAATTTTGTCAAGGTTGTTATATTGTACAAATTAATTTTTATCTTTTTTCTTTTTCTAATTGTTTTGTTATTAACTTTTTTTCAGTCTGATTTTGCTGCACGTAGTATAAACTGACTTTGTTTTAACCGACGTGATTAACCAATTATTTTCACTATGGCTTCATCCCCTTAGATTATATTTGATAGTTGTGGGGAAGTAAATTCGGAGTATGATACCCAATATTTTCATCAAGCTATTTTATTAATCACAACTGTTTGATCAAAACAACAAGATTTGCTTTTCTGTCAAGTTTCGTTTATATTCCTCATGTTTCCAATATTTTTTCATTTGTTTGCTTCGTAATGGATGAATACCAAGTAGTAATGCTTCGTAATGGATGAATATCAAGTAGTAAAGTGAAGAAAAAAATGATTATAGGTCTTGCAAGCTATTCTTATTGACAACTTAGAGCGATGGGAACGATGAAATATTGAAAGTTTCCCCTCTATTCAGAAATGATCTGCTGCTTTTCCTGTATGCATCAACCTGAAGGACTCCTAAGCTTTGTTTTCATTTTTTTCAGGGATACAAAGGTCGAAAAATGTTCATTGCATCGCAGGGTCCGCTAGATGCCACTACGGATGACTTCTGGCGTATGATTTGGGAGCATAAAGTGCGGGTTATTGTCATGGTCGCCAATCTATATGAGAGAAACCGGGTTTGTGATTTCATTTTATCTTTAAATTTTGAATTTTTCAATATTTTTAAGACTTTCTGGTCTGCAACAGATTTGTTTGGAATGAAGCGATAAGATTAAGCTTGCGATTATTCCTCTTTCATAGTGTTTAGCTTGCACATTCCTTCCTTCCTGACATTTTGCATTTTATGCCAGAACACTTTACTGGCGTTACTTTTGCAGTGTTATTTGATGAACACTGGTAAGCGGAAGACGTAACTAATAAATTTCTTGTTTTAGTGTCAGTGTGCGAAGTACTGGCCGGATGATGGGCCAAAGATATATGATAAATTGGAAGTTCGTCCAGTTGATTCGATTTACTATTCTGATTATGCAATACGCAATTTCGAAGTTCGTCGAATCCAACCAACGATAGCGAATGGTTCTCTCTCCGGAAGTCCTGCAATCATTTTGTATGAAGTTCCGAGTACTACCGATACAACTGTCGATCCTTCTGCGGTCATTGTAAATATAAAGTAAGCTATTTTCACGGTTTATTGCAGGTTAAAAATAATTGTAGGCATAAAAGTTGAGCGAAGCTTTATCGATTGTGTACTGATTACTTTTCTCATAATTTCTTCAGTAAATATATTTGTTGAAATGAGAATATTCGAGATATTGAGTTAAATTTCTTATTAATTTTCTGTTGTTATTGGTTAGAATTTTCAGATCCCGTTCATCATCAGTGCGTGGTTCGATTGATTCCATTCTTAATGAAATGTCTTCGAATTCAAAAAGAAATTCACGATGTAGCAATAGCAATATACAGTTAAATGACGTTCATTTAGAAACGGAATTTGTTACTAAAACACCAGGTAATTTATCATAAAATTTTTTTGCAAAATATCGTAGGGATCTTGCGTAATTCATGAAAACATCTTCACTTATTATTTTATTTTTACAGCTGATTTAACTGACCATTTTTGGCTTCTTAGAAGACTCTCTATTTCAGATTTTACCAAAAAGAAAAGTATTCTTGCTAGAGTTCAAATAATGTTATTTGCAGAAGTGCGCCATGTTGTACAATATCACTATACCTCATGGAACGACCTACAAGCACCGGAATGTACTACCGGTTTGCTAAGATTTTTATCGAAATTACGCAAACTGGACGATTATATTCGTGGTCCTGTTGTCGTTCATTGCAGGTATAAATTTTTTTTTTTTGCATAACAATCCAGTTGCATCATGTCATATCAACGCTTACAGTTAAAGTAGAGAGCGAAAAAAATGTGAAGATTCTTAATGTTTAAAATATATCTACGGACGGAGCAAACTAAATGCATGGTTACAGTGCTGGTGTAGGTCGTACAGGTACGTTTATTGCAATTGATAGTTTGTTGGACCAATGTATTGAGGAGGGTAAAGCAGATGTTTTTGGTTTTGTGTCAGAAATGAGGAAGCAACGAAATACTATGGTTCAGAATGCTGTAAGTTTCCATTTGTTATTATTGCATCATAGCATTTTCCAATTGATAAAATGAAGGATATATATATTTTTTCTTTTTGTTGCTTTATTATTCAGCGGTCAGTAATTTGTCAGTATGTTTTTCACTTTTTCTGAATTATTTAATCATATATTTCTTTCTGCACTGTTAAAGATAGACGTGAAGCTTGAGATTATTTAGAAGAGATAAAGCTTGAGAACTATTTTAGTATTTTTGGTCGAAAAATCTGCAAATCTTTTTAGCATCAATTTACTAAATTATGACCTTAATCACTGGAACTTTGCGCATGAACTAAAATGTATTTCAGGAGCAGTATCTTTTTATTTACAAAGCGTTAGCTGAATGGTATATGTTTGGTGAAACTGACATCGAAGTAAGCCAATTTCATGAACATTACCGTACACTGAACGAGCCACAACTCCGCAAACAGCAGCCACCGGCTAATCGGTCAGGATTTGTTGTTGTAAAGCGATCAACCCCAAAGTTGCGTCAAATTAACAATGATACCTCTAACTTGGAGAAAATGCCGACTGCAATGGAAACTGAATACAAGGTATTTAGGCTTGATTTTAGGTTTCTAGATCAGTAACATTTAGCACGTTGCGAGTAATCAGCATTATTTTTCCATCAATGATAATATCCTTTTGTTCTGAGTTTGATGGTCGATCAGCTGAATTATAGCTAACAGCATAAATAACATCGTGAAATTTAGAGAAATTACTGTTTGATTTGTTTGGAGAGATAGCAGGGATTTCATTTTTAATTTATTCAGAAACTGGAGCACACGCTTGAACCGCGTCGGACATGTAATTTTGCATATAAGCCGGAGAATGCAGGAAAGAATCGTTTTGAGAATGCTGTTCCATTTGATCACTGTCGTATCGTTTTACCAGTTATTATTGGAAGTGTTAACGATTCAACTTATATTAATGCTTCTTTAGTCAAGGTGCTATATTTTGATAACTTTTTAAATCATTTCAAGTAAGAAATAAGTGATGGAAGTATGAGTTGTTGCCCTGGAGTCAAAGGTTGGAAAAAACTTGAATTCATGTCTCCATATTTTCTATTCCTTTATCACTGTAATAGAGAGGATGCTGCTGCTATGCATTGCTACGACTACTTGCTGTTGATTTCAGGGTTACTTTTATCCTTACATCCTAGCGCAAGATCCAATGGATGAGCAAACATGCTACGATTTTTGGTGTATGATTGGCGAACAAAATTCACGAGCTGTTGTAATGTTGTCATCTGAAGCCGAATTTATGCCAGCTGAAAAAGTAAATTATCGGCCGTCTAGATTTAGTTTGAAGAACTTTCAATTGTAACAAATAAAAAATTGAATAAAGAAAGAAACATTCTTGCAATTCTTTATTGCAGGTTTTTCGTATATTATTTTTCTGAATTTTAGTACTGGCCGAGTGAAGTAGGACGAATAAAAACGTTCGGACGAGATGGTGAAGTGTCAATCAAATTAATAGGAGAAGAGTTATTTCCAACATTTGCCTTTCGAAAATTTACCTACAAGTTTGCAAAAGTTCGTACTTTTTTCTTTAGTAAATAAATGAAAATACTGATGCCGTATCCATTCTTAGGCCTGTGAGCAACTGCTACTGATTGTTATAGTCTGAAGAACAAAACTGAGTCTTTAAATGGTACCGCTTCTACTAACTTATGTTTTTTATTTACTAAGGGAGTGATTACAGCGCCGTGGACTAATGCTTTCAATATTTGGAAGTTTTATCTTAGAAAAATTTGTGATTTTTTGGCATCTGTATTTTTGAAGTTTCCTGAAATTTTTTAAAACTGAAATTTCCTGTGAATTAATTTGCCACAAAAAACAAAAAATCTTTTCAGGAAAAAACATATCGCGAGGTGATACAATATGCTTACCTGTGCTGGCCGGGAGATAAAGTACTGCCGGAATCGAGTGAATCGATAATTGATTTAATAAGTCGAGTGCTTTCCTTACAAAGTGACCATCAAGAAGCCGGCCCCATTATTCTACATTCAAGGTCCTCTATCTGTTTTTTCGTGAAGTTAGTAATTATTCAGATAAGTGATCCTTAACCCAAGATTTCTTTTTCATCAATAATGAGCATCTCGATAGGTTTTAACAAAGAGATAGTTGTTTACTCCTTTTTCCATTCACCATAGTTTGAGTTTCACTTTCAGTGATAGCATGACTTCAGAAAGCAACCTTACGAGATCAGCTATGCCAACTGTTAAACGCTTTCTAAGTGATTCATTAGATTATCGAGGACATATTATTTTTTCCTTGAATAAGTTGTCCTAATGTTTAAACCGTTTCAGTCGCTGAATTTCTCATTTCCAGAGACGGATCGTTCAAAACGGGTCTTTATTGTTGTGTGTCGTTATTACTCGAAAGGCTTAAAGCGGAAAATCATGTCGATGTATTTCAAACTGTTCGAAGTTTGCAACAGAAAAGACCACTTATGTTCACGAAATTTGTACGTCTTTAAACTCATTGTAAATTTTATCTAGTTTCTCAAGAACGAATTTGAAAGTTTACAGCTGGGGTACTTTCTTGCTCTCTTTGCTTTGAAGTAGTACTTGGATAGTAAAGTATGGATGAATCGAGTAATAAGCTTGTGTTTCTGTTGGATTCGATAAAAATACCACGATAGCTTAGATTTAATTAAATATGCATATGTCGACATTCACTGTACTTAAAATTGATTAAGGCTTCCCTTAAAAGAATATTCAAAAATAAACGATGTGAATTACTAAATTAATACTTCATTGTTTAGGAACAATATGCTTTTTGCTATAAAGCTGTGATCGATTATCTGGATACATTTAACAACAAAGCTACAGTTAATTAAATGGGAATGTTGTGTTGCACTTCAAAAAAAAGGAAAGAAAACTAGAGTAATATGGTTTGTATTGAAGAGTAGATTTCAAGAAAGGAAGGCGAAGAAGCAGTTCAGTGTGAGTTGTGTTATGAGAATATCCTAAACTGAGAGTTGGAGACAGAGAAGATTTGGTTTCAGAATGAAATAAATGAAATATCTAGATGAAATATTAAATAATATTTTCATAAAAAAAGCTTGGCTAGAACGGGAAATGCTCGGATAACTCTTGAATTGACATGTTCCTGTTATTTCCTATCATCACTTTTATCTCACTTTTATAATGTCATTCGTATTTACTCAATATTATTTCATCAGTTCCTCTATATACAGATTGCCAATGTTGATTATTTAAATGACTTCCTCAAATATGTTTGCTTGGTTAAATATCGATAATATATATGGTTTACTTGACAGTTTATTTCTTTTGGTTTTAATTCGAAGAAAATTATTTAATAATAGACGAATGATATTTTTATGGAAGTTGGCTAGGTTTAGAAACTCCCAATTTCCGTTTCCCTTGCCAAGATCCTGCAAGGTGTGAAGGATTCCGAAAAAATGAATAAGTTTTTTGTCCTTCCTCATCTCGTCCCTCATTTTATCCTTCCTCTTCCGTAGTTCGCGTTTTCTTGTTATTTTCTCATTTAGTTTAAACTAGTTTTCATTTTTTTCGATACAGTTCGAAAATTTTATTTTTTAAACATTTTCCATTCGGATTATTCAAAAAATGAATCTATTCAGGAAATATTCCAATAGCATAATTCCGCTTTTCTTTGTAAATACAAAATTATGCATGTTATTTTACTTTTGGTCAACTCGTATGTTTCATTTATTTGATTATTAATATTAACTACATTGTTATTATCATTGTAGTAATTTAACATTGTAAACCTTTTCGAGATAATTTAAGTGAGGATTGCTTTGATATCAATTAGCAGGTAGCAAGAGATCGTCTGCTTTTAAATTTGGTAGTCATAAATCAGTAAGAAGAATTGCCAAATCTATCCGATCATTCGACCAAGTATGTCTTTACACGGTTACATAGTCCGAATATTGATATCCCGACCATCGTGATAACTGGTGAAGAAGGCTATCAGTCAAACTATTCAATTCAATATGCTCTATTTGGTCAGTTTTTTCGTAAATATTTTGTATGGACTTAGGGATCTTATTCTATAGTTGTCCCTTGACTATGTATGTATGTGTGTGTATGTGCATATGTATGTATGTGTGTGTTACATTGAAATTTTCATGTTTTTTTAACTTATATGTTGTTTTTTAATTAAAGCTAAGCTGAAATATATTTTGTTGGTAATAAATCATTCCCTGGCTTCTGTTATTAATGGAAAATTTTATTAAATTTGGGAAACAGCAAGAAAGGAATCCACAGATCTAACACATTTTCAATTCACATTTTTTCACTTATTTAGTTTCATTATTACACGTAGTCTTTGCTATCTTTGCTGTTATAAGATTAGAAAAGTGAAGGATATAGAAGGAGAAAAGTGAACATTTTGTAATGATACGACAAAATTCAGTATATATATATATATATATATACTGAATTATATATATATATATATATATATAATTTAATAGTATTGTTAAACATAATTTGTTATCTTTTACTATACTGTTTAATTTTATTAGTGCACATAAAAGGATTGTTTACATCAACTATATACAAATATTACCCTACTGACATACTACCGTAGTGTCACTCCTTCGTTCACAGTATCACTTTGCTTTGTTATACTCAGTATGAGTGTAATAAAGATTACTGTGATAATGTTGACTGATTTTGTAAAAGAATAACTCTTAGTACAAGCATGTGTCCCTTCAGTACGAGAATACTATCTCTAAAAGAGAGCCATTTCCCTATTGAAATGTCTTTGGAATATTAGAGGATGAAAAATCTACATTTACCTGAACTGGAAATCAAAAAGAGAGAAAGGTTCGATTATCAGGAGGGTAAAAGCAAGGAAAGTTTGTCAAAAAATTTTTAGAAAGAAGCAGGTTAAGATATTCCATATTAATAATGGAATATGAATAATGCAGAATTAAATGTCTTGAAATAACCAGTAATGATTTGATGCTGGCGTCCCTACAATTTTGTCATACTATAGTATGTTATGATGGCATAGTTTGGAATGTTTTGTAAAATAATTCAGCATCATTTACACCCTATTCTGGTATACGATGTATATCTGTCACTCATTTCATCTTTCAGCTTAATTATTTGTTAAATATTCAAATGAGATAGAGGAAGCAATAATACCTTAAAATCGTTTGATGTGAAAAACATTGGTAGCAGTTATGAAAGTTTCATTTCCATTCTTTTATTATAGAATGACGATGTTATTATTATGTGGAAAGCATTAATTAATTAATGAAGCAGTAGAAACATTTTCCTTTCAACCTTTTTTAGGGGATATGCCCAATCTTTTAGAAACAATAACATTTTGGTTATATTACACAAGCATAACGTTTTGTTGTGTAATAGGACTGTTCAGACAGATAAATTTTACAAATTGTGCTTGAATATGGAAAAGAAAAAATATACTTTCATGTCACCAAATTCAATAAGAAACTGTCGACAAACTCCGCAAAGAACTGTGTTTTAGCTGACGCTGTGCAACTGTGATTATTTAAAAATTTCGATGTCCTTCAGCTATGGCTCATACTACTGCACTTCTTCCGCACATACCCTTCCACATAATATCATTCTCTGCACTTCCTATAATCTTTCCAGAGGTTTAACTCATTAATTAAAATATAAGATTTATCTTTTCACTACTTCATTGGATAATAATAGTAAAAAATAATTAATAATAGTTAATAACAATTAATTAATTAATAATAATAATTAATAACAATTGATTAATAATAATTAATAACAATTAATTGATTTATTATTATCATTAATTATTATTACAAATTTTATCATAATTAATTAATAATAATTTCTATTGTGATGATAATTATAATCTGAGTAGTTAAATTAATAATCGGTACAAGCTGTGCTAATCTGTACGATGAGTACTTGAAAGTGCTATGAATTGTCATCGTGATAAATTGTTGTTGACATGAGGATGTTACATGTGACAATTAGCGTTGCAAATAGTTCACATGCTGAAACAATATAATTCTACTGTCTTTTCATAAGAAAAAGGAAGGAGAAAAGATGAAATGTTCATTCATGTAACGTGAAACAGAAGTTTTGACACGTTAGCGTTAACGTATTGAATATCCTTGATCAAATATCTTATTCATCAAAATGTTTCTATTTTGTAAAACGCTTTAAATTTGTTGAAAAAAAAAGTTTGTGCAAATATGTTTCCTGAAAGATAAAAAAAAGAAAAAGTTAATACATATTTCCTGAAAGATAAAACAAGCCAAATTTACGACATACCTACTAGATTTATATGAATGACGCATTTATGAAATGGAAGTAAAACATAGAAATTTAAAGTAATGAAATGAAAGGAGAAAAAGATGATGAATATAAGCAGTCTTATCAGTAATATGATGAATATAACCTAAGTCTTAAATGATATCGTATTATCACATAGTTTATCATTTCTTATGATAGATGATATGTATCATAGGCCATATAGATGGAACGAGTGAACAGTTTGTGAAATTGAAAGTTTGTTTTGGTGAGAACGGAAAGGAAGAAAAGGAAAAGGAAGAAGAGTGGAAGAAGAGGTATTAATGGTACATACCCCCCGCCGATAATGGTATAATTTATAATATATTATCATCATCATATGTATGTCCACACGCTATCCTCATATATCATCTACTTCTACTACATCATTACATGCCGTTTCTTCGTCGCATTTTCCATTATTTTTATTATTTCCTCTGTTACCTTCCCTTTCCCTCTATTCTATTCTATTTCTTTCCATCCTATTCAATTCTATTTCATTACATTTCATTGTATTCTATTCCAAACTATTGTACTTCGATTATTATTGTTATTAGTAACATTTATTTGTGTATACGAGTGTGCATATGTGTGTATGTGTATGTGTTTGTAAAGACAAATAAGGAGCATAAATGGTCTGCACAGGTGCATATCGACAGAAGTGGCCAGCGAGGAGAGGATGTTTAAAAGATCGTCATCGTTTGCCGATACTCTTTCGATATCATCGCAATTCGATACTTTCTAGCAGAGAATAATGAACTTTGAAGTGTTTGACAGCAAGAGGATATGTGTGCCGTTTATATCAAAGAAAGAAGGGTAGAATAGAGCTCGGAAAGAGCTAGACAGTGGTCATTCACTTTTTGCTTTTTTCACTTTCAAAAATTGCAACCAATATTTGAGGTTTTTTATTTTATTTTAATTTTCTATTACTTTTACTTCTTCGCAGGAATGCTATTACATTTAATATTTGGGTATAAATATGCTTTTTGTGTGCAGTCAATGCAATTGTTGATCGAACTGTCATGAAGATGATAAGCATCGTTTCGTCTCTCTATGCAAGTACGGAATAAGTTTTCTGGTAGATCATCACTAATTACACTGTAATATTGATAAAAGAGAACATTGCCAGAAGTATATTTCTGTTATTATTGTTAGGGAATAAGCGAGTTTTTATCTTGTGCGATGTAATATTCGATATATTTTTATTTCATTCCTCTTATAGCGGGGATATCTTGAATAGTCAAATTTCGAAGAGGTAAACAGTAGATTTGATCACTCTGTCAGGTAAATTACTCCTTTGAAGAACCACTCTTTATAAAGCGGTATTCTTCATTTACATATCGTCGTCTTTCAAATGTCTCTCTTACCATCATTGATAAGAGTGCCTTAATTAATATTAAATTTTCACGCATTTCACGTGTATTTTGCAGGTAATAGATTTATTTGCGATATGTGGGTAACATTTTTACGCAATATATATAAATCATTCATATTCATTTTATCAGGGGATAAATATTGATTGCATTTGAATGTTTTAATCGTC